CATGAAATCTGTAAGATGTTTGAAATTCATGTATTCCTATTTCGTTGAGAAAATAAAGTCATGATTTAGTGATTGAATATATTTAAAATAATACAAAAATCCAACAATCATGACAAATCACGTATTTAGTAAATTATTTGTGTACTAATTTATGGCATCTCGAGTAGGAAAAGTTTACTAGTGGTAAATTTATATTTATATAATTACTATTTTGAAGAAATAAAACTATCTATAATCAAATACTATTCAAGATTGATGCTCTCATTGCATTCTCCTTTATAATTTTGATACAAACTAAATCAGTATACATCGAATATTTTACGTAACCGTTCATGTCATTATTGATGCCAATTTTACTTCTATAAACTGTTGATCAGGAATACATTATCACATTTGTTATCTTGCATTACTCAATTTGTTTCTCGAGGCTACATGTATTATTTCAATATAAATATTGATTGATTCCTTATGATGAACGCATGCATGTATATCTGTGTGCCTTTTCTTTCTTCTAATGCCTACATACAAATAATTGGTTTGTTTCTAAACAAGATAAGAAAAATAAAAGCGAATGGGTCAAATGTTTAAACTCATATATTCTTTCTTTCTTTCTTGATGCTGGATCTTATCTCAAACATAAGCACATTATTATTGAAATCGAACAAAGAAGAACAATAAACTATACTGTTCTTACTATTACAATATTATCCTTTAATACAAATTGAAAGAAAGGACAAGAACGCCGTCAATCACAGTACACAAGAGAATGTGTTGGTACCGATTTCAGTACGGTTTAACATCGAGTATTGACACGACAATGACGCAAGAATTGGTACTCAATATGAATAGAACGTTTCGACATTTTCTCAATAGAATATTGTTGTCTGGAGGTAGTAATTAATAGGACTAAATAATATTTTTCTCTCTCTACTATATAATACTGTTATATATATATATGTAAACGAGAGACAAGAATGAGTAGGCGGAAAATGCAATGTTCTCCGTCACCACGAGAATTCTATGCAGCACTTCAAGTGACTGAATAGCATACATGCTTGCTCTTCTCTCTTGCGATACCCACACATACCTACATGTAGTTAGAAGAACGATAAGAAAGTGAAAGAAAATGAAAGTACAGTTATAAAAAAAATCAAACAAGGTGTAGAGATGTGTATACATGTATGTGTTTGTGTGTGTCGAAAAAAATGTTGTCTAAAATGACATTCTCTTATTCACCTTGAATCAGTCTTTCATACCATTAATTGAATCGAACGAACGAGCAGAATGAATAACACGTTACATTTTAGATTCAAATCTCATTTCATTCGATCCAATTTGTATCACCAACAAATATTGCACCGTTCGAGAAATATGATCCGCTTTTGCTAAGAGTGCAACAAATTCAAAATAAAAAATCTAAATGGCACCACTAAATCAAATAAAGTACGTACGAAATCATAGTCTAGATCTCGCTTTCTGATTGTTGTTGCTTTGTTTCCTTCAATAAGCAAACATTGTATACAGATATTCATTATAGAAGAAGATAAAAGAGTATCATTCTATTTTGTTCTTGCCAGTAGTAGTATATGATGTGCTGACACTATTGTTTATGCGCCAACGTTTTTCCTAGTAATGAATCTATCGAGCAAAAAGAAGTCATTTGGTGAATAATGATTATTAATCGTACTGTCAACAATTACCAAATATAATATTATATGAATATATTCCATGTGTAAGCACCAGTATTCAAGTAAAATAATTGACTAGAAAGAAAAACATGAAAAAAAAAGCATAGGATAAATGGCGCTTGAGAATCAGACAATAAAAGAATAAAATTTTTGTAAACATATTTTTTTCTTTTGTTGTTCTACCACAATTGTATAAATACATAAATAATCATGGATTAATTTAGTTTTCTTCTTTCATATAACAAATCGCTTTGAATACACACCACTATCTAATCCTATTTGATCTTTGATTTTTTCTTTTTATTGTGTTTTGTTTGTTTTTATTTTAAATAGTAAACGACAACCGTTTTACAACCGTGATAACCTTGGCCAACAACGACCAATGTCAAATGAAGGCAATAGGAATTTATTTGATGTTAAGTATAAAGTGTTACTACTTGGCGATACATTAGTAGGCAAGACATCATTGCAACGTTTTATTGCTGGTAAAGATTTTCGGACAGATATTGGTGCTACTATTGGTATGAATAGGAAACTGATTTTTTTTATAAAAGTTTTATAGCACTATTGATTTTAGGTGTTGACTTTGTTAATAAAATTATTCCTATTGAACAGTCAAAAATTAATTTACAAATATGGTAAGTGTTTATGAAACCTTCCAAGTTCTGTTTAGAATGCATTGATGAAAGATATGCTATTCATTCTATTAAAAGATAACATTGAGCGTTTGCCATACAATCGTAATCATAAAATGTCAAATAGATCGTTGTGACATGTTGAATAGTATTCTTATTTTATTTTCTACTTCTCATTTTTGACTGACTCAAGCAGTCTTTCTTTTTACTATATCGTGACTTAGTCAATCACGTTGGCGTTGAACTTCCATCTACACTAATCAAAGATGAAGTTAACCGTTAGCAAGTATTCGGCCATCTGATTATTCTCACTGTTAAAATCTTGAATTTGTTACTACTGATGACCCGATCATTTTTTTATAATTTAGTACTAATGTTCAAAAGTAAATTTACATCTATGTTATTATTAATTAATAAGAAAAATAAATACGCCGATTGCACCAAAAAAGAAAAAGAATATCTCTTATTTAGATCAAGTATTTACGATCATAAAAAACCGTATATGTTGAAGGCATAAAATAGTGCCCAATAAAAATTGATTTTAACCGAAGTTCGATTTCAATCTAAGACAAAGATCTATGTGTTTAATTCTTTTCTATTTATCTAGGGATACAGCAGGTCAAAGAAATTTTCGAACAATTGGCAGAGGTTATTATGCATCATCAAAAGCATTTGTTCTTGTTTACGATGTGACAAATATGGAGTCATTTCGTTTAATTGAACATTTTAGTCATTCAATCGAACAAGTCTGTTAAAATATACTTAAAAAATTGAAATCTCAATGCAATTTTCCGTGATTCTAGGCCGGATTAGATTTGGAACGTCGATATTTAATTGCCAATAAAATCGATTTAATTGAAGATCGAAAAGTTGATGAAGAATTAGGTCAACGAGTAATAAATCTATTCATATTTTTACACGAACTTTTGAATAAAAAAACTAATAACAAAAATTTTCTTTGTAGTTTGCTCTACGAAATAGTATGATATATTTTGAAACAAGTTGTAGAACAGGGGAAAATATTCAAGAATTTTTTGAACAAATTGCTTCGGATCTTGTTCGTCAATATCACCCAAAATTAGTATGTACTTTTTCTTCATTTTCAGTACGAAAACATTTATTGAGAAAAGAAAACTGTTTTTAGCTTGAATCTCACCTACCGATATTGAATAATTTTGCTTTTAATTATTATGTTCCACCAACCATTGATCATAAATTAAGTGAAAAATTACGTAATGCTGATAATCAACAAAAAGATAACACAAAAACGAAAATCAAATTTAAACGTCCAGAATTTTCATCATTGAATTCGATTAATAAAAATGAAAGTTCTCATTTTTATCGGTTTATTATCTGTTGTAAACCAAGAAAAGCAGCCGATATAGACAACTAAACGAGTTTTCTCATGCTCGAAATTGAAATAAATATGGAAGCTTGCAATTTTTTTGTGTGTGATAATTTTTTTTCGTGCCTGTTTCGTTTATATTTGAGGCATTAATCAGGTGTATCTATTTGTTGTGGTCAAAATTCAAATCCAGTCAAATTTAAAATTTGCCTGGGCAAAATTCAAATTCAAATTTTGTCCAATGTAATCTCAGTCAAAATCCTAATTTAAAATTTGAATGCATCTGAATTTTAACCACAACCTATTTTTATGTCCACAGTATGACAGTGGTCTTGTTTGTTTTTATATAGTCGATTTACAAATATTCTCTTTTTATTGAATGTACTATAAACATATAAACAAACTCGTTATAATAGAAATAAATATATGACTAGAAACTGTTTGATGTTCAAGGTGGGAAATTTTGAATGCCGCTCTAAAAGAATGTATTTTTGCTCTAATATGAGTCATACTAATAATTATAAACCCTCCTGTCGATAATATGGATAGTTAGATAGATATCAATCGAAAAAAATGTAGACTCAACAATTTTTCTTTACATAGAACTGACAAACGTTATGTGATGACAATGATTTATCAAATTTTTTAGGTATAATTTCTTTTTCTTATTTTGCAGTAATAGTGAATAACAACAAATAAAATTGAAATTTTCTGTTCTTTCATTTCCGTGCTACAATTTTGTTCATACTACTACTGTAAGATGATAGCAGTTAAAACATAAGCAACTGTTCTGATCTCAAATCTACAAAATATTGACTATCAATTTTGTTTGGGCTCTTTAAGATGTTGAGAAATGCCTGAAAAAGAAAGAAAACATTCTGCTCTATTTATCACATCGGCTACAGTTTAATGTAGAATAACAGACAAATGTACGGAAATCATTTATATTCTAAATAATTTCAATGAAAATAATATTTGTAAAAATGAGTTTCAAATAATATGATAATTTAAATAACAATTAAATTGTTTTTGATAGGGAATGAATTAAATGACGACCATGAAGATAATACAATGAAATATCTCATTGGCTTTTCAACTAATGAATGTTGACAGATAGGCACATAGTAGAACATGCAATTTTATTAAATAATAATAATAACAGATGCGTCAATGAAAAAATAAATAATTACTGTTTTATATTTGAAGTATAAGAATTCAATTAGTTTAGCTGACTTGCTTCGTTATAAGATTAATAAAGGGAAAAGTAGAAGAATACGAAAGATAACAACCGTCAAATGCAAAACAAAATTCTAATGGAATTTATTGTTTATTTTATACACGTGACTCAATAAAAGTCGGATTTGTGTTGAACCAACTTTGTTCACAAAGTACATTTGAATTCGAGATAGATCGGTGAGTTTCTTGATCGTAAGATGTTTTTATCATTGGAATATGTTGTTCTTCAAGTAGATTTGAAGAATTTGTTCGTCGAAAATTTATCTTAAATGCTTTTTTACTCAAAGATGTATTCCATGGTGTATTATTTAATAGATAAACAATACAATCATCAGCTGTAACCTCAAATTCATCATCATCTTCAACAGGTCTACTGGTTAATGTATCCCATTTTGGTACTGAAAATGTAAACCTATCATTTTCATCGATATCTTTAGTAATTTTTTTTATTGATTGTAATGAAAAAAATTCAACTTCTGTTGGAATATTTTTAAAATTCATACTTCCAGTTTCTGTCATTTGTGATAAAATATTTGAATTATTTGCAGTTATCGATAGCGAATAATGTTTTAATACCTTTTGTCGTTGAACCAGCACTGCTCTTTTACGACGACGACGACGACGCTGTTGAGCAATAACAGGTAAAAGCACTAAAATGCTTAATCCATACATGAACAATACAAACAATGGTTTATAGGATGCATTTTGTTCATGATTATGTTTTATATGATCATCTTTTAATAAACGTATATCTTGACATTGTATATCAATACCATTCAACGATAGAATAAAATGAAAACAAAAAATAAATCAATAAACGATTCTGTTGATATATTATATTGAGTAAAGAGTTTAATTGAACGCTCTTGATATTGATATGCTGGTGAAAGTAAACCAAATTTTATTTGTTTGTGTTCAAATAAACGAAATGTAAGATAATATGAATGGTTTGTGGTTAAATTGTAACATAAATTAAATGTATCTTTTTCTTCATGTTTGATTTGAATTGTTAATGGATAGAAAGTTTTAGTTTCATTTCCAGATATTAAAAAAATTAGATAGGATGAAAGAGAAACGATAGTTAACCCTTTACGGTCGGATGTTGTCATTTGGCAGCATCGTGCCGATATTTTAAGAAAGGTCTAGCTATACTGTGGATAGACAGTGAATCAACAATTCAATAATTACTACAAGATATTTTAGAACACAGTCATAGCCCATGAAACAAAACAAAAACGTTCAGCTGAGAAAATTGCCGGAGTCCTCCTGAATACTCCTAAAGAACAACTGAATCATAATAGATGTTCTTATGGCACTCTCAATCATTCAATCCCACAGGTCACTAGTGGTAAATTTCCCCTCCTTGATCTATTGTATATTGTATCACTCAAAGAGATGATTCAATGAGTACTGACAATAAGAGGAGGTATGGATGTTGCCAAATGGCAACAGCTGGCCGTGAGGGGTCAAAATTTTTGAAAAATCATTTTTCGTTTTCGACCATCGGTATTCGCTATTTTGCTTTTTTTCATTTATTCATACAAGAACAAAGCATACAAAACATATCTGGTACATTTACATAGCTTTTCCTAGCTTTCAATGGAATTTTCTATTCAAAAAAACGTCAGCATGATAGTATTGTAGCTCTCAATAACTGGTATGAAAATGGATATTTAATTTGCGTATCGGCACGGATGTAGAGAAATAAAAGATCTACAAGAATACCTATCCTGATGCCAACTAACGCAAAAACCCTTACATCTACTGTCTTCTTAAGTTCAACGTATGTCAAATTTTTCGTACAAAAGTCGATTTGAATCGCGGAGAAACTGTGCAGGTGCATCATATATATTTTTACACTTTTTCTTGAATAATTAAATGAAAGGAGCGCAAAATAGCGAACTTCGATGATCGAAAACGGCAAATGAATTTGTCAAAGTTTTGACCCTTTACGGTCGGCTGTTGCCAAATGGCAACATACAGCCATTCAACATAGAAACATCGTTCAATTTTAAGAAATAGTTTTTTGCTATCTCTATGGCAGGATAAGAAAATATGTGCAGACGAAGAGTTTTAACTATGTCGCTTCTGGGAGCCGGCTGGAAAGGGTTAAATGAAACATGTAAGAAATTATTGTTTGATCTATAATAATAAAGACATTGTTTTCACCTGTGTTACAAGTTGTTTATATTTTCTCACACTACAACTCTCTATGGTGGAAAATCCTATCTGCAGAAGAGAAAACGATGTTTACCATATATGACAACGTCACTAAATCAACTTTTTAGACATCGAGGATGAATAGTACTATTTATTATTTTTATTCTTCGCTTTTACTTTTAACATTGTTTTTCTATTCAGAAAGGCATAAGTATTGATGTAGTTCCGCTTGTGTGTGTCTCTATAGGAGCTTTTCGCATATTAGAACTGTCAGAACAATCATTTCCAGTCGCTTTGTTTGCATTATGATACAATGAGTTAAATTTCATAAATTTATTTATTTAGGTAACTCATACAATATTGATTGGCCCTAAAAATCTAAAGATTTTGTATATTAGCGATACTTAAGCTTAACATTATGATAAATCGATTTCTTATCAAGTACACGAAACTGATGAGAAATGTTTCTTTTTATTTCCGACTATTGCATTGTTCTCAAGGATCTCGAGTCAATTATATATAAATATATTAATTTATATTTTATTTTTACTGTCTCAACTGTCTTATATGATAGGGTAAATAATAGATATTATTTCATGCATCGTTGAAAACCAAAATATGATGGATAATTCCCTATTTCATGTAGCTTAGGATATTTTTAGTAGCTTCGGGGAAAGCTTTTTCGGAAAAAGAAGCTTAGCAATAATAATGATGTCTATCAATGAAACCTGCTTTTATACAACATGGGCATTTTTGTTATTCTGTAAGGAAGACTAAGCAAAAACACATCGACAATTCTCTCTGTCACTGAATCGGCCATATGTGATTATTAATGAATGTTAAATGCATTGAAGAGAAACTTGAATATCTACAAAAGAAACGCAAACATTCTAAGAGAAAATGTTTTGCTAATGAATTTATTCCAATACATGAGGCAAAATATTTCTGGGTAGGAATTCCTTTTCATTAAAAAATTCATCAAACTTCAAATTAAGTATCCTGTTCTTATAAGAATGATAAAATTGTTCCTTCTCGTAAAGAATTGACAAAAGAAAAATAGATCTTTATTATCCGTCGAATTTTTTTTTCACTTGATAATAGGAGAATTCAAGATCGAACAATAGAATAGTTCAAACCTATGATGTTATCAATATCAAATATTCAAAGTTACAAATAGATGTTTTAATGCAAAAATATTTTATTTTTGTACTGTCAATCATTTGGGAGAGTTTATCAAATTCAATCACCAATTAAAAAAGAAAAAATTCAAAAATAGTTGATGCATACTAATGGAAGGCAAGTGTTGTGTTCGAATTATCGTCATTTATTGCAATTAGCATGGATAAACAGATGATCAGTTATATAGGGTTTCTCGTAAATCCTAAATGACTACTTGATAGACACTTCGATACATTGATTTAAGCTTTCTGTAATTGATTTCAAAACAGAGTTTTCGAGTACTTGACTGATTGTTTCTGAAGGAATCGAGATTTGATTTAATACGTGTCTATCTGATACTTGAGTGGTTGAACATCTTGAAGGAATATGAATTATTATCCTTCTATACAAGCCAATTAGTCAATGCATAAAACAAGTACCATAAAATGATTTTTTTCGATACATTGCTTATGCATAGATTAGAGTATAATATTTATTAATATTTTTTTGAAAGTATGCTTCCACCAAAAATATTAACAAATATTCGTTTAATTTTTAGTTTTTTATCAGTTAATATTAAATAGTTCTAATAAAACTATGTAAATAACTGCACATATGCGTCTAACATAAATAATCATACTAAAATACTTGAATAAAATGCAGTGATTGTAAAAATCGCGTTTTGCAAATGAAGAGACCAGGAATCAATGGGACTACTACGAACAACTCTTATCGGGCTAGGGTCGCTCCTACGAATGCCTTCAAAACTAGTGAAATAAATCGAAGAAGTCTGCAGTATTCTTTTAGTTGATTTACTGTGAATGGCGAATGCTCGATGTTCCATGACTGTTGAGGGACACTCATAATCGAGACAAATGACAACAGTATATATATATCTAAGAATTTTGAGTGTACGTACCATCTTTCGTATGCTTTCAAAAGTGTATCTAAGATTTTCATTGTCGGTTGATGATAATCGAGAGTTTCATCATAGTTTCCTGCCAATAATAGAGTATGTCAGCAATTTTTTATTGAGAACATGAATTTAATCTAATGTTTGATTCGTTTTGATACATTTTTATTTATTGTATTAGTTATTTCACTCCATTGAATTATCGAATCAACTGTTTGATGAATAATGAATTCAATCTAAGTGCGATCTTCATCATTTCAATTATATGTCCAATCGAGAGTTAGTTTTTAGATGTAAGCGAAAGTCCTGATACTATAGAAAAAGACATTTAAAAACTTCTCACTATTTTCTTTTTATTATTTTAGATTCTCGAGGAATTTATCAGCGGATTGACGAGCCATACTTTTATATATTTAACGTTAGTTCAAAACTAATAAAATTCGATCAAATGCTTATCAATAATTAAGTTCAATTATTCTTTCATAACGTAAAATATACATTAGTAACAATGTATTTTTAAATTAGTTAAATGAACACTAAACTATACATATAATCGTGAAGTCGGAAGACCGAGCATTTCCGTTCATGAAATTTTCGACGCACGTTTAAATCGAACTCATTGTCATAATTATAATACAATATCTTTATTTCTTTTAATTATTAATTGCTAGATACTTTAGTATTTAGTAGAATGATTTCTATCTTAGCAGTGTAACGTAGTTTGCAAGTGTGACTGTGAGGTGTGGATGTAAGAGAAAACAAGATTCTCTCTAGCGCTCTACGTTGCTTCTATGAGACCTATGTAGGACTCGTAAAAATGAGAGCAGAGGTGTACAATATTTGAATATTTTCTGTGAATATTCAAGATAACAGTGCGTCAAACTATCGACTTTAGTGCTATGTCTTTGAAAAATTCCACTACAACTCACTTACAACACTCGTCACACTATAATTGGGCTTTCGTATGAGTTCTTTTACGATGCTCTTATGTTGACCGATTCGATATCCAGGATCATAATTCATATAAACCATGAAGATTTCAATAAATATTAGTACAGACGAAGTTAAGACTCAACTGGCACTGACATGAATACTCGTTCTGTTGCATCATATAAAGTCAAGATTACTTTGCTGCTTGTATTGACTGATATATTCTACATGTTCTCACTATTTCAGGTAGATTTACTTTATTCTTAGATAGTATTTTGAATTAGCGTAAATATTAAGGCATTCAGTTCCTATTTTTTTACTTTTCGATCTACTATATAGTGTCGCCCTCTTTCTTATATTATACACCATTGTTTTCACACAATTGGTTAACGAAACTTCCCTATTTTGTATCCAGTACTGTATTTGTACTTGTAGCTGTATTTGTATTTTTGAGGTAAATGTCTATCCAATGAAACTAACATTTGTGTTGTAAAAAAATCTGTTATAATGCAATTCTCAATAGCAGTTTTATATTCAATGTCTTGTTCTCACTATTACTAAATTTTAAGTGGGATTGAATCATCATAATTAGTTGAATTGTTTGCTTTGAAACTAGCATCTAACTGAAAACTGTCACATGATTGAGATCGATTTTTTTTGATTTTTTTAAGTGTAAAGAACTTTTTTTTCTACATAAATAATCAATATTTACATTTCTTATTGACATTGATTAATCAAAAACTATGTTGTTCTTCTAGGTTGCTTTGCATCATGGCTGACATGGATTTATTTTATACAAAGCTCGTTCAAGATAGTGAGTATCATGTTGAATATCTAGATCATCCTTTAAAAGAAACTTCATATGATTTGAAGGTTTTTCTAATATTTAAATCTCCAAATTTATGTTTGTATTTTCACCCGAAACATGATGTGATTCATATGATTTTTCTAGTTTATGAACTAAAGAATTATTTATTTTATGTACAGAAACATAAAAAAAAAGTCCTCTCTTGATTCTAATATTAATAAATAGTTGATGGAAAAAAATTTAATGATTTCAAGAAAATTTGAAGCAAATTTAACGAGCTTCTCATGAAGGAATTTGAGTCTGCACAGGATTTTTCTAGATTTTTAATTTTGTTTCTTATCATCCGCTGCAGTTCTATATCAAAGTACCAGTAGGTATGACTACTGCAGTATCTTTCAGTATCCTTTACTCTATAGTGCCTATGTGTACTATCTTGATTGTTTCGAATTTTTCACCGATTTCACTGATGTTCACAAAAGAAAACGGTAGTCTTAAAAAGAATTTAATATATATATGTGAACAAAAGTTTGAAAAACAAATTCTAAAATGTTTTTAGATGAATAAAATATTTGGTTACTAGCTCTATAGTTTTGTCTTACGAATATTTCGAATAGATCTACTAGGAATTAAAATTCTATTCAAATACTATTATATAGCTACGTAATAAATCTTGATTGCATCGTCTTTTTTTTTATATTCTTATTTATAGTTGAAACATATATAATCGATGATAATCTAAATAATGATTATACTGTAACAAAATATGCAAATGAAAACGAAGGTTGGATACGAATTGAATTGCTCAGTCGTTCTAATAGATTATCCTGTTATAACTATGATACAATAGTTAGCGTTTTATCCTCTAAACAATCCAATTTAGTTGAGTTGAGTTCATTTCAACCTCGATGCATACGTCGTCGATGCCAACCATTAACAGGAGATAGTATTCAAGATAATCGGATGGTTGTTGTTGTTTCCGGTTTACCATACGATGCTAGACATGGAGAATTGATAGAATTTTTTAATCGTTTCCATCCAGTTAAAGAAATAAAAATGTTTTCATTATCAAATAGATTTAATGGAACAATTCATCTTATATTTGAAGCAACTCAAGATGCTATTGCATTTGTTTCACAATCAAAATTAATACCGATTATTTATGTCACCAATAATCTACATAAATTGTATGATGGTCATACCCTTGTTTGTAATATTTTAAATGATGAAGTTAATAACGGTGATATTAAAAAAAATATTCCACTGAATTTTATTAAGGGTAACAAAATAGGAATTAATAATTAATATTATTCAATAAAATTTTATTTTAAAAGGAAAATCCTTTTCCACTAGACTTGGTAATCGATCATCTCATGTTGAATTCAATACAAACATTTCATTGACGAAAGATAATTCTGGTAAGTAGTACAGCTAATCAATTTCTTTTCATATGATGAGTAGAACTTCAAAACGACAAAATATACAATCTAATTAGAAAAGGTGATAAATCGAAAATCGTTTCAGTCTTCATTTAATAAAAAAAACCTTAACGTACAATATAATGGTTCGTAAAAAGATTCATTCAATGAGCATATATTTATTTTAGCTCATCATAAAATACCAGCGATACCTACTCAAACGAAAAACTGTTTGAAGTCGAACACATGCGCAACAGAACAAATTCTTTTCTGCCAAAACATAACCCAAAGAAGACCAATTAGAAATATTGAAAGCAATAGACACAACATAGTTCATAATAGATTCGCATATGAACTCTATATTCCTAATAGTCTTCTTAAACATACTCTTGAATGTATAATAGTATCTGTATTAAATCCATATTGTTTTACTATTCAACTAAAAGAAGATGCATTAGAATTTGATAAATTTCAACGAGAAATTAATGATTTCTATAATAAACTGGATGATAAACAATATTATGTAAAACCCGAACAAATTCGTATTAACTTGTGCGTCATATGTTCCAATTTGAACTCATCAGAGAATGAGAAGCTTTGGAGTCGTTCACAAATACTTGATTTTGATTCATCCGATAATACAGTTAATTTATTTTATGTGGATTTTGGTACCTGGGAAGAATATGTACCATTGCATCGTCTTAGACATATTACGGACCAATTTCATCAGCATCTGGTTTTCTCTATAACATGCTGTCTAGCTAATATACTTCCATTAAATCATGAAAATGATCAATTAGGATGGACAGAAGATGCAACAGAACAATTTTTAGCTGTTCTTGATCAAGTACCATCCGAAATAGAACTTTTATCATATAAATCCAATGGTTGTTTTCAAGCAACTTTATCTGTTGTTAATTCAGGTCAGCATGTTTGTGTTAATGATTATATGGTGCATATAAAAAAGGCTAAACCTTTTCCCAATATGACAAATATTGATGATAAAAGTTCAAATACTTATAAAGTAAGCGATAATATTCATTATTCGGATTGATTAGTCTAAGCAACGATATCATATTTGCTGACAGTTGACCAGTAAGAAAGTTCCACTACTACAATTAGACTTTTATCACTCCTTCGAAATATATTATGATTCTCTTGTAATTATTTCCATAGTTCGATTGCAGTCTATCGAATTCACAATGCGAAGTAACTTTTAAGGTTTCATAGAAAGTCGATATACGATGGAAAAAGATTCCGCTCATAATAATGTAGCATTTTTTTTTCCAAAGAACGACGTTCAAGCCGCTATTATACTTTTAGGAAATAGGTTTTTTATTTATTTCTAAAGTTTACTGATCGCTACTCAATAGTAGCTAACAACGATTGTCAAGAATGTCACACTATAGTTTCTGTGAAAAAATTGCACTTTCTTATTATGCTATTGAGTGGAAAGTAGATGAGATCATCAAATTTCAATACAAAGTAGTAGTTATCAGTGTAGAGTTTATTTCTTTTTTTTCTTCGGAAATAATTCAAAATTCAAAAATAAACTTGTATATTACTATTGTACTAAAAGTTAAATTTTTCAAATATGCTCTCAAAAATAGTATGAGTATTAATTAACCATAATGGAACAGTCAATGATAATAACAAACAGATAATATTTATAGATGAAAGCAGACTAATTAAAAAGGAGAATTTCGGAAATTCTAGAAGTCAGAAGAAAAGATGTTTCAAACTTCGAAATAATCCCTAAATTTGCATTGATTGAATAAAGACTTTTTGAAGAATCTTCATCATTTCAGTTAGATGAACATTACATGCGTGATGATAGTTCACAAATTCATCCAGTTGTTGCTTTATATAATAGACTTGGAGAGTAAGTAACCAAGAAGAATTATTTAAAATTAACTATTTCTCTTCAGAAATTTACAACAATCACTTATAGAATCCCGGACTACAAGTATAAGTAGTTCTACAATGTCATCTCCGTCGGTACCACCACAAGTATACGTTAAAATTGTTCACGTAAATATAGAAACAAACAATAACAATCGACAAAACATTAATAATCAAGAACAACAACAATTGATGCCGATTGTTTTTGTTCGCTATCAAAAAACAATTCTTGTGCCTGATTTCAACATTTATACTTTACTGAAAATGATTGACGCGAATATTGATATTCATACAATAGAACGTTATGTAAGAATCTTTCTTTTGATATACGCATACAAAGTATAGTTGTTGTTTTTTTTTGTTTCGAAGGCTTTGGCTATTAGATATAGTTGTGTACATATAACACAGGAGTCTCATTTTGATATATTTGCACAATTGAGTTCATTATTTGATGTGAGATATTCAAATGAAATAGCATTGTACACGCTTGACTTTGTTCGTTATATTCTTCAACATTATAATTTTCCCATAAATAATGTATTTCGTGCATTAGAAAATGCTAAATATGCTCGATTGCATGTTTTGGATCTCCCACTGTGGTTCACAATGAACAATGAAGTAGTTAAAAAAGATTTTTTTAAAATTTTTAATAGAAAATATTTTCTGATTTTAGCTTAACACTCCATTGATATATGTATCCAATAATACGACGACTAAGTACGTTTTATTTTCTTTTCCTTTCTGAAATTTTCTTTTTAATCTTATAGAATCAATCCATTAAATGACAATAGATCTCCTATTCCTCCTATGAGTCAACAATATTCCACTCCAGTCCGTCTTCCATTTTCAAATCGATTAATTAACCCGATGTGAAAAAAAACATATTTTTTCTCTCATTTATAAATCTTGATGATCATTTTAAATTGTAATTCGATGGTCTTTTGTTTTCTTTCATATATATATATATACGTATGTGATTCTTCTGTTAATATTTTTCTTATCAACGAAAAACTACTGTGATATGTTTTATTAATTTATGTTTTTGTATGCGTCTATTTTTAATATATTCTATCTAGTGAAGATGTTTTTTTCATATGTAAACAAGAAAAAAAAGGATTATTTTTGCATTTTCAGATCGAATAAAAACAAATCACTATGTCTGCTCGTTGCTTACAAACCACAATTCGTAATGTACAAACATTATGGACAATAACCAGTCGTCGACAATTTCAAACATCAGTTTTACGTTTATCGGCACATGCGTTCCATATTATAGATGATGGAGATTTTCAAAAACAAGTTCTTGATAGTAAAAAACCATTCATTGTAGATTTTCATGCAACTTGGTAAGAAGCAAAATTTAAAATTTGTAACTAAAATTTAAAGAATCTCGTGATTTGTTTTAGGTGTGGACCATGTAAAGTTTTAGGTAATAATATATTTTCTGGGTTTTGTTTTTACTTTGTATTTTATATGATAAATTAAATAGAGCCACGCCTCGAAAAAGTTCTTACAAATCATAATAAAAAAGTAGAAGCTGCATCTGGTGATCAACAAATCAAATTGGCTAAGGTTGACATTGATAACTTGGGTGAATTAAGCAGTAAATATAATGTACAAGCAGTGCCAACAGGTTAGTCATCGGTCTGTTTAATCACGATAGAATTAGACTCTAAGAAATATCTCGAAGAAGAAATACTTTATATAGGAAACAAAAAGAAAAGCGATAAACAAAAAAGATTCAGACATTGCGATGAAATCATGTTTTTCGATTGAGATAGTTAACTTTAATTCTTCAGAAATATAGATTTCTATTGATTTCATTCTATTATCCTTAACGAAATCGAAATTTTTGTTTAGATAAAAAAACAATCAAATGTTTCACTATAGCGTTCATTTATTGAATCAGAAATATCGCGTTTTGAACTAAAAATCAATTAGGTATTATTCTCTTCATAGAATCACTCTATCAAATGAAAACAACTTTTTAACGAGGCCATAAAGCTTCAGTTTTTTGCCATGCATAGAAAGTAGATTCTGAACAGTATTCGAATATCTCGACAACTTAGGTGAAATCCATATTATCCATGTGAAAGATACGAAAATCCATATGGTCGAACAAAAATTGATTTTGAACAATTCAGAATAATACCCATTTTAGTGAATTCTTTCTCTACGATATTTGAAGTAATATAGCTAAACTCAACTTTGTATTTAATCATAATAGTTCAATTATGAGCCAAAACATTACATACCTTTTCTCTAAAATTCAATTTGTTCTTCTATCCGTAAAAATTGTGCGCATATGTTTATGTGCGTCATCAGTTTACCCACACAAGGCAACATGATAACTTCATTTTTTTAAGTAGATACTAATAATATCTATTTGAATAATGAATGAAAATAAATATTGATAGACGAAATCAATAATTAAAAACAAGAATCAAACGCAGTCTATTGATTTATGATTCAGATGTAGCCACTCTTCAACTGTTATATTCATCGCTATCGAGAAAAAAAATGAACAAAATTATGATAATAGTCATTAATATTGAGTTATTCAAAGTCAATTAGAAAACATATAGTTGAAAGCAACTAGTTTATTATGAAAGAAATGTTTTCATAAGCGATGGCAACACATATGATAGAACTTGCGTAAAATAATATTGAACTTCAAAGCAGATAAAATATAAATTGCTCTTTTGTTTTTGTTGTTTTTTAGTGGTGGCTATTAAGAATGGCAAAGAAATCAGTCGATTTACAGGAGTTGCCGATGAAAATCGAATTCAAAAGATGATTGAACAACTCAATCGATAAACATAGCAAGAAACACCCTTTCTCTCTTTTCATTTATTGTATTCATTCGTAGTTTCTTCGATTAAAATCTATCATTGGAAATTTTTGGATATATATTTGGTTCTTGATGTGGTGGTAAATAATTCATATTAGTGATGCCTAACGGAAATTGTGCTGGTGTTTGTTGATAACCTGGCACGCCGAGAGGTGCTGATGGTTGATACGAATAAGGAGAACTTGTCAAATGTTGATATGGATAAGGCATTGTTGGTTGCATTCTATGTTGATAAACCGGAGTCATAACAGCATTTGTTGCTGTAGGTGCTTGGTGTCGAGTAGATCTTGATGCTTTGGCAATAGTAATACCATATAAAATGAAATATAGAAAACATGTGACTGCCATTATAACACCAGAAGCCAATTGAGCTTTAATTAATGTTAAACGAGCATTTCTGCAATGAGATGAGTTATCGTCAAGAACACAGTCGAAATTTTCAACATCATAATTCAATTGATATAAATTTGCACATACTCGTTCAGTGAAAAAACAAGAATTCGGCCGTCGAAGAAACGCAGCATTGATGCCAATTAGAATGAACGCAAAAATAAATGAAATACAATTTTCTACAAGAGTATGTGTTGCACAACTTCTTCGGCGACAGCAACATACTAGCATATAGAAAAATGATGAGATAAATCTAGCTATATTTTCTTATGAAAAAATAAAACATACCATTAGCAAACGTTGAAATCCACAAAATAGTAAATGGTAATGATGCCCAAAATCCAACAAATAAGTTTGTTAAACGAACATTATATAGAATATGTCCAATTTCAAGACCTATTATACTAAATGTAGTTAACATTTGAATAACAGCCAATATAGCTACAATTGATAGAGGAAATCTATCATTGAAATTTTGTTGTTTTCTGTAGTATTCCTGTGCATGTTGAGGCATATTCAGAGTTAGTCAACGAAGAACATCAAAACAAAATGAAAGAAATGCAAGTCAGTATTGTTCTGATATTAACTCGTTTCTTTTTGACATACGATATGCACCCGCCAAATATAAGCAGGCCATATGTAGATTTTATTTCTATGTCAATATGATCAAGCTTTGAAACGACAGAAAAAAATATACGGAATTTTTTTATCCCATGAAATATCATCGAGTATCATCATGATGTAGGCTTCGGCGGAACTGACAAGAACCAAACGTATCAATATTGTGTATGTTTTTTCTTCTTTTTTTCTCCTTCTAAATTCAATTCGTATCAATGATGAAAAAATATGCAACACTGACGATTACTCATTTATTCACCTATGAGACATATCAAGTACATGCTTTACGTCACAATTAAAATTACTCCGCATCTTGTATTGACGTCATGCTCGAATGGTCATATTTAGAGCAGGCGTAAAAATGAAGAACTCATTTTTATAACAACAAAAAATTAAGAAAATATATGCGAAACAGATATTTTACTATTGAAGCTCATTAATCAATATAAAAGGCATGTTTCCTTCTTAGGAAACAGAAATTGCAATGATATTGGCGTAGGAAACACCTACTCATGACGGTTTTCATCAGTCATGCAAAGCTGATCACATGATTCTTTATTAGAGAAAAAGGAAGAAGTTATGAAAATAATGATATTTCGTGCAGCCTTGATTAATAATATTAATGTTTTGTTGTTATTAATACTCATCTTGTTACGCTTGATCAAACTACGCTAGTGAATGGTTTTAAGTAGTTCGTTTTCAAAATAGAACAGAGCATATGTTTTGTTATTTTTTTTATTTCTAATAATGCTGTCTATGAAACAATCAAATTCTCATGGGAAAAAACGAACTAGTAGGTTTGAATTTTATTGCATTTATTAAATTAATAATTATTTTATCTTCTACAAAAGATAAAAGCAAATCTCGTTTTCATATACATCATTTTCATGTACATAATTCGAGTAAAAATGTGAAGAATCTACCACATATTGACGCACGCATACCAAATGATCCTGGAACAAGTCAAATATCTAAAATTTTAACGGAAAAAGAAATTCAACAACGCCAACTTATTGAACAATATATTTTTTCTAAACTTGAAGCGTATGCTAATAAACCACGTTTTTGGCAATTGACACATTCATCACAAATAAAACGACGACTCCTCAATAAATCAGAACATATATCGAATCTTTATTCTTTGCCTAGTAATTTTGTACGTGATTCTATCAATCAAGTATTCATTAATATTGACAAACATGCTTTGCAATTACGTCAACTCATGCAATATAGTTCATGTATATCTTCTGAATCGAGTTTTTTATTTCAAAAATTTAAAACATCAAACAATCAATGGCGTTCATTACAATTAGAACGTGCACAGCAAATATTTCCAAATATTATCGATGAAGAATTAACTGAAGATGAGATTTTAAAAAAGTATTATAATCATGTAATTGAAACATTGACTCCAAAGCCTGATACAGGGAGTTCAAATTGTGCTGCACAACTTCGTGAGCAACCATTTGATTTGAGACACGCATATGAACAAGCTGAAAGTCAAGGAAAAGATTATTTAATGCAAATACTACAAAATAATCGCAAACGTTCAACACCTGATCTTGAACTGATTCAAGAAATGTTAAATCTTGGTAAGTTATTATATTTAGGGGAAATGAAAAAAGCTACAGTATTTAACAAAATCAAATCAATATTTTTTCTCAAGGTTTTCAACATATGAAAATAATGCCTACACATCAAGATTTTGACGATGCAACAAATTTTCGATCGAAAATATCCATTCTTCAAAACGCAAAACAAGCATATGAAAGTGATTTAAAAAATATGGGTGATGATTTTATGTTATTACGTTTTGGTAAAGTCTTCGGACCAAATGCATTACCAACGACAGCACGTTGTAATAATCAATTTATATATCTTGTTCATTTATTTATTAAATCTATTTCACATCTTATCATGATGATACGAGTAACACCTGATAACAATGAAGAGACTTCATCAATCATAAAAGCTGTAACCGAAAATATTTTTTCGGCCGAAATCAATGCATCAATTATTGAGATAAATGAAGATAATTTCTTTTTACCCAAATTCAACATCGATCAATGGACATGGCTATTAGAAAAATGGCGTGACGCTTTACGAACATTTCCTATTGTGCTAACACAAGTTGGAGGATTTTCTCGTTTACTACGTACAACCATCGGTATTGGTATTGCTCGAATATTTAATTTTTCTGAAACAATAATTAATAACAATGAAACACTAGACTCAACATTGATAAATGAACAATTATTTCGTGCACTTCAAATGGGTTTTTATTTTGGTATCGCATATGCTGTTGTCGATTGTGTACAAGATGAAATTCAAAATATAGATAAGATTTCCATGCAACATTTAGAGGTTTTAAAATTAATTAATAATGAAAATGAAAGATTATTAACACCAAATGAACTACTAGATAAATGGATTTTGAAAATGGAAGATATACTAAGCGGTGAAGAATTCAATAGAAACGAAGTACCGAAAACACCATTGACACCATTACTACTGGAATCATTTGATGGTCTTATTGCATTAACCAAAACGATTAATGTAACTACTTCTGCTTTCAATGAATTGGCTCTTCTATTGAGATCACAACGAATGGATAAAAGAGAACCGGAAATTTTTTACAATGACGAAGACTTGTACTTAGGTAAAATTTCATTTTTCAGAATAAAAGTATCATTCATGAAATCCTTTTCTTATTTAACATTCTGTAAACAATATCGACTAAACATATTTCAGTTTCTCATACATTTTCTGATTATCTATATTTATATATTACATTGATGATAGATATCTTCTTGAGGACTATTTGACTTAACAAAAATAAGACATTTCATTACTGAAAGTGTTGAAATTTTTAATAAAATTCGCCCAATATTTAGTGTATATATATATATTGGAACTTTAGTTATTCTATATGTAAAGATTCTTTTCTAAACAAAAGAATGCATAGAAAACAATAATTATTTCTTAAAACTGATAGCATTAACTGTCGAGCTTTTCGATAGCCATAACCTTATCAATAATTGTTTCGAAAATTTTGCCTAGAAAACGAATTTTCTTACTAAATTTTTAAACAGACACTATGTCTAGTTATCGAATAGTTAATAACACTTGAAATAATTCTTCTAGGTTCCGTACTCAAATCTCATTTCACATATACATGTACAACCTATTTCGGTAATATAAAATCTGCTCGTGAAGAGGGTAATCGTTTATGGATAATGCCGTTTCTGGGTCAATTAACTGACGATTGTCGAGATTTCTATGATGATATTCAATCGAGTTCTGTTACTCCATTTACACACTATGCATCATTTAATGGTCGTCAACAAATATCAACTAAACAGTTACTTAATCCATTTTATATATTTTTACATCTTTGTTCTGATATATATGTATCATCTCAACGAGATATTCAAACTGGTGCGTTCATTGGTCGTCGTATATCTCGTACATTAAAATCAATTCAAACAAGCTCAGGTGAATCTGCATTGCGTGAATTTCTTTATTTATTTTGTCAAGATAATTTACGATTACATGATTATCTTTGGATAAATGTTCGTAGTGATTTTTCTAATGTAAGCGATCCAGAAAAATTGTTTTTTCGCATAATAAATAAAGCAAGTATACAATATGCACGAACAAATCGTAAATTAGAAACATATATTGGTGATCATTTAAGACAGATTGAAGATGCTTTACACATTCATTCATTTAGTAAAACTCAAAAACCACCATCAGTCACTCATCCAGATGAACAACTATTAATATCAGCCATGAATTATAGTGTTACAGCTGGTGGTAAACGTTTACGTCCATTATTAATGATGATGGTTTGCGATTTGTATAATATAGATTTAAAAAATGTTTTACCATTGGTTTGTGGCATAGAATATTTGCATACGTCATCACTTATATTTGATGATCTTCCAGCTCAGGATAATAGTGATTTAAGACGTGGTCGACCTACATTACATAAAACAACAATCAATAATGATATACCAAACACATTATGTGAAGGTCGTGCACAATTAGCAGCTGTTGATTTAATTGCTGTTAGTATGAGTTTAATTAATCATGATCTTGTTAAAAATGGATTTACACCTGAACGTGTTAATCAAGTGGTTAGTGAAATATCTTTATCAATGCATGATTTATGTATTGGGCAAATGATGGATTTACGTGCAGCACATGCCAGTATAGAAAAAGAGAATGGACAACTCGATGAACTTGATCGTATTGCATGGTTAAAAACAGGCAAAGCAATTGAAATTGTCCTGATAACACCAGCTATTTTAGCTATATCGCCCTCGACATCATCAGTAGATATTCAATGTATTGAAATAGCAAATATTCGTGAATTAGGTCGTTTAATGGGAATATTATTTCAAATGCGCGATGATTTATTAGATGTTGAAGGAGAGGATATTGGCAAACCTATGGCACTTGATATAAAAAATAATACAACTACTTATGTGTCCGTACTAGGTATTGAAGGTACTCGACAACGTTTAAAAGACCTTCGTCGACAAACATTAAAATTAGTCGACGAATGTTGGTCATCAAGTGCTGGAACAATTAAAGACGTTGTTAATTATATTGTTAATCGAAAAAATTGAGAAAGACAATGTTTTTATTCATATATCTATATATTTGTGTATCTATCTATCTATCTATCTATCTATCTATCTATATATTTCAATCCACTTCAATAAAATTACAATATTTTAGCCAATATTGCAGACAAAGAGTTTGATAAATATTAACGTTCAAATAATGAAACTTTGGCTTTTATGGCCTTTTCTTGATTAATTTGAATACATCGCTTTTATGATCATATTCATTAGGCAAACTTTTTGTTAGGATTATGTATATATATATATATATGCTAAGTATTTAAAATAACTTTCTATTATCAAACATAAATAGATCTGACATAATAAATTAATATAAAGTTACATATTTTCTTTCCTTTTTTGTCTCTAAGATTTTGATTGACAACAAACTAACGATCATATTGAAATATTAGCAATTTATTTTACTTAATGAAATCCCATTTCATTGTAACTAAATATAACAGAACATAAAATAAGTAGAGAAAAATCGATTGGTTACACTTTACAAGAAAATGAATTTATAATAAATATTAGAGATTCTTTTTCACGGACTGAAATAAAAAACTGAACTACCATAAACTACACTAGGTCAAAAAGTAAGTGTATGGATTCATTATTTACAATATTTTGCACTTAGAAGAATTTAGATCTTCGATATAATTTTAACATATAAAAATCCATAGGCTTGCGCCTTTTATTTTTGTTTGTAGAAACAAACAATTTGTCAGTTGTTGAGTTTTATTTCCAGGTCGTTTTTCAATTATAAAGATTGTAAAAAAATGAACGTCGATGCCGGGTTTCCCAAAGCACGAAGTGCTCTAGTCAATAAATTTATTTTACAAATTGACTGCGAACATTCGCGCTCAGTGATTATTACCGGTAAACACATACCTTTGATATTTTCACTGCTTTTACTTTTCTCCAATGCATACATGTACAGAAATTTTGTTTTTCAGTGAATACAAATTCGTCCGATATAGTTATTGTTCGACAATGACTATTTGCATTCTTACTTTAGTACATATGTGCTAAAGCGTTGTTGAAACAATGTTCTGTCCGAAGAAAAAAAATCTTCAAACATATCATATATAGATGTCGATGAAGCTAATCAAATTGTGAAAACGTATATCAACGAAAAGTAAAAGAAGGAGCGAAAGAAATTAGTAGCCCGTTCGGTGGATGTCCCATCGTCGATGTGTCTCTTTTTCTATTCGATGTACGTGGATATATAATTGTATTAATTCGTATCGCTTCTTTTCTCTCTCTTTCTTTCTTTCTTTCTTTCTGTCTCTTTTTCGCTCCATGACATTTCGCCTTTTTTCGTTGATGTGTCTCTCTGCCTCTCTATTGTAAGAAAAAACGTTCCCTCAGGCTACATGCACAGAAAAGACAACGGACTGCCCAGAATGTTTTTGAAGTGAGTAAATGGCCAACAACTCTCTGTATTCATCAGTGCATTAAACAATAAATCTAAAACACCGTGAGACAGCTCCTACGTTTTTGTTTTGTTTGGCTGGCTAATGAAACCATGACAACAAGTGTCTTTTCAACAGACTGACAACGTTTTCGTTCGTTCTTGTATCACTTATATATTAGCTATTTCTTTCGAATGATTTTTCAAAAAAATTAACATATTAAAAGATCGTTAAAGATAAGAACAAAAAATACAAAAACTCTTTCGCATTTTTGTTTCATCAGGCTAAAGAGCAAATATATGCATGCACTACGAAATAGATTATTTACCGTCATCATCATCAGATGAAAATGAAAAAGAAAAAGAAGACAACATGAAATTAAAAAAGAAAGACGTGTCATGAGCATTATTGTAGATATTGGTTTGCGTTGTCAAACGGTGTCTCTTTCTTCTCTATTTACGATTCATTTTTTTTCTTCATTCGTTCTATCTTACTCGTTCGTTCGCTTGTTGATGGTCAAATGTTTGCTTAGACAGGTAGCCATATGAGGTAGCTTACCTGGCCCAATTTTTTCGCCGTTGTCAAAGCCCTACAACGATGCATATTCATACGTTTAAGTGAGCTACTCTTGTTTCAGTAACAACGTATAACAACGCAAATAAAACAAAATATTTGTGTGCATATCGAAAATAGACCACTGGTCTACATATGAATAAAATATAAGGTGATGGTGTCTGTCTACTCTTATCGATGAAGACGATGTGCAAAAACGTTTGTAAGCAATATCGAAAACAGGCAACGATAGTGGAAACAAAGAGAACAGAAGAACGAGAGTGCAAGAAAAAAAGATGAACAAAGTATGGTCATAAGCCGTTTTTCTGCATCAATCTGATTTTATCATGACGACGACGGTAGAAAACTCTTGTACCAAACATGCACATGTTTCCTTTTGTCTGCGTATGCTTCCTTTCGTTTATGGTCGTTTCTATCATCATTCTTATGCTGATTCGAATCCTATTTTAAATTAAAAGAAGGAAAAAAAAAGAGAAAAGAAAAAGAGATCGAAATCTATGACAATAATCGTTTGTAGAATATGATTTGTTAATGTTGATGTAAAGAACAAAGATCAATTTTTTAACTATAATAAATTTTGAACAGCAGGAGGGTTTTTGTAAGAAAATAAAATATTTCGAGCTTTTTAAAAATTGCTTTGAATAAACGAAGAAAACAACTTGTTAGAAATAATGAATCGACGGAAGCAACGTACACGATCAAATATCAAAACACGAACTTATCCAGTTTATACTATTTCAGCATCGGATCTAAGCAGTGATGAAAGTATCATCGAAATAAAACCCATTAAACGATATCAACATCATCGAAGAGAACCGTTCAGATTCAACGTACAAGAATCATTTGTGGCACCTGTTGTTACTGGTAAAATATGAGAGAATAATATCGATCCATAAATATTTTCATGTCAAGTAATGAATGCATTTTACACAATCATTATTTTATTCGATCAACTAATATGTTTAACATGAGTAATAGTAAAAAATTTAATTTAGGAAATCGCAAACATGTCATAACACAAACCGTACCAAGACGACGACAAAAATCAGCAACAATACAAACCGATGAGATGTCTAATATTTTATCAACGACAAACAAGAATGAAAAATCATCGGTTAGCAGTCAAAGTTTTTCCTTGACACATGATCTTATCTAAGTAAAATAATTGAGAATATCAATAGTTCTTCATTATCAATTTCAAAAAACAAAAATGACTATCAGATGGGCTTATAATAATATTTAAAGTTGAATTTATCATACATAATAAATATTTTAAATCCATGCCTAATGATACACAATCAGTAATAGTTAACTATCATCTGACAGTAGTAATTTTACTTGCAATCCAATTTTTATTAAATGAATTATTTATGTACTAATTACACATAGTCTCTTTTCGTTCATAGATTCTTTTGCTTGGTGATTAGCTATAAAACTCTCATCAATAAAGTTGATTGAGTACTATTCAATGCATACGACTGCTGCTATTGAGATTGTATCTTTATTTCTTTTACTATCACTTACTTATTGTAGGTTGTAAATTCTTTATATTTCACTTCTCGATGATAAGAATTATGTACGATAAAAAATTTCCTTGTTCAATATGAACCCCACTAAACAGACAAAAACATACTATAGCGAAATCTCTATTTCTCATCAATAATAGTCGTTGTCTTCTACTGCAGATGTTTTTCAGTTATCATTTCCAATTTTTGAACACCCAGGAAAACGGATGATGAGTGCGATAGTAGAGTATTAAATATAAATTATAAATATCCAGTTGTCAATAAGAAATAAAGAACAATAGGCGATGAATTGAGATATTTAAGAGAAAATTTACATGTTGCAAAAGATGAATTTTGACTGTAGGTTTGATCAATGTAGACCTACTGATATACTAGAGAACTCATATATATATACAATAACGTAGTAGGATTTCTAATATATACAATAATTTAGAAGAATAAATCATCTGTATGCAATCGTCGATGCCTTCGAATACTTGCCTTAATTCTTGCCATATTTATCTTACATATATCTTTATTACTACTTGCTTTTTCACTCAATCTTTTACTTAATCCAAATATGACTAAAATACGTTCAGTAGCGATTGTTTATTCGCAAGCTCTTCCATCATCCAGCTTTACTGGTAAAGGACCCACTGATACTCTTTTGGTTACTGCAATTATTGGTATTATACTTGGCTGTATCATATTGATTATTTCACTACTTACTGTAATATGTCTTATATGTATTAAATTTCGATATTATGTACTATTCTATTTTATTGGACCTGTTTTACTTCTAATTCTCTTACTGATATTAATCGGTTTCGGAATTTTTATTTCGATTACCGGTGATACAGAATTACAAAGACTTGCATCAAGCACACAAACAACAGTCTACTATTATTATAATTCAACGAGTACATCCCTAGTTCGTGATGGATGGGATTTTGTTCAATATTATTTTAGTTGTTGTGGTGTAAAAGATAATAATACTGATTGGTATCATGCACCTAGTACAGGTTGGAAATATAATAGTCAACTACCTCGGTCTTGTTGTGGTTATGATTCCAATGATATCGGACATGTTGGTCGTATTTTCGTTGGTCGCAATATACCAGCATTAACTGGCATATGTTATTATGGCGATATCGGTCAACCTACGTGTTATAATAGTATTAAAACGAATCTTCTTATAACTGTTTTAGTTTTTACTTTTGGTCTTGCATTTCTTGTATTTATTCTAGCAATCTTATTTCTACGTCTCCTGTTTATTTATCGTAAAATGCACCATCGTGTAGAAAATTCTACTGGACAATAACTTTCGTTTACCCTCTTTTCTATTTTTATTCTACATAAAATATATAAATTAATCCTGATCAACAGTCGGCTTATCGTTGATACCAATAAGAATATCCCTTTGTGGTATTTCGTCATTTATGTGTTGTCCAATTGAATTGTCAACACCATTTTCTAGTTTTCGAGCAAGTAATGCTTGAATCCGTTTGCCTGTGTAAAGTTCTTTTAATTCTCGACGACATAAACCAGTTAGAATAGTTGACAAAAGTAAACAAGGAACAAGATAAAGTAATGCTGGTTGAGCTGTATTCATTAGATAAAGTGCAACATGAGTTAAAGATAGACCAACAAAATAAGATATAATCGATTGCGTATAATAAATTGGCCAACGATGATTACTAGCTATATCAAATATTTTACAAAATGTTAATACAATACCCTAAAGAGAAAGAAATAGTTAAAAACTAACCTAAAAAAAACAAGAAAGTTCTTTACTGGTAAAATGATATCGCCAAAACCAAGCATTGATTTTTGTATTGGAACACATGGATCAAGTTCATTTTCAGATATAAACATAGGTAAAGCAAATAATAGTGGTACAACTTCACCATTTGTACCAATACCTAAAGCGACTTGTTCCATAACGGATCGATTTCGTTTTGGCTTTCGAGATATTATGTGAATACTTGACAATGATCCGTTCGATGATGGAATAATGGTATGATTAGAATTTGATGGTATTGATGATTGTTGAAATATTGGAATGTATGGTGTGATAAACACAAAGAAAATATCGTAGAGAAAAAATGCCAGCAGTATAATTGTAATTGCACGCATATTGCCCAGACGATAGATCGAAAGTACTGTCATACAAATAGCTGCCCCAAGAATATTTTGTAAAATCCATGCCCACTCACTTTGACGATATACATACCAAATAATTACAATGGTTAACGAAATAGACATCGCAAATACTGTAAACATATTTAATGGATCTACCTGATAAACACATGGTTTACGACATGTATGAGAAGATGTTGAATAATGACGAAGTATCGGTACGAAAAAACTTGAACGATCCAAACATGATGTTAAAGATGAAAATGCACCGATGCAAAATACAACTAAAAAGAAAATCATCAAGACAATAGTAAATATGTTAAAATGCTGAAGAACACGAAAATATCGATAGTAATGTTAGGATGTTTGACTTTATCGATAGAAATTAGTAATAAGAAAACTTAAGGTTCAGTAGCATTTTCTTTTTAATATTGGATATACTTATGGTAAATGTATATGTGTGTGATAATACCAAAAAATATTTTAGAAATATGCTTATGACTGGATCGTTTAGTGTCTAACATGATAGATTCGACGATTTACAGAGAGAATTGATTAGAGTCAATAATTTTCCAACTGCTTTCAAAATTATATTGAAGATTGGCTTCTAGGCCAATAGTATTCCACGACTAGCATCAGATTATTTCACAAGAATCAACATAATGGTTTTACAGAATCATAAATAACAATTCAATGGAGAGAAACATATTTTTCTCTATCGATTATTTGTTTTGTATAATTTATATTTTGTGTTAGTCATTGAAACTCATCTATTAGATTGATTTATATTAGTTGGAACGTTTTTCTTTTAGAGTATATTGTTAGATCATCGTCATCATTTCTATGAGACTATAAAATTAATTTGTCATTTACTCGTTAATTATTGGATAAACTAGATATTTTCGATTCTCATAGATTTCAATATCAATCAATACCCAATCATTACTTTGTATTTTGTAACTAAAAAAAAAATAAGAGATGCATCTCAAATGGAAAAAGTTCCAAAAAATGACCTTGAGTGTTTCTAATGACGAGTAAAGAGTCAATATTTACCTTGTAGTATATATATCATCACTTTTGGAAAATAATAAAGTAATAAAAGCCATCCAACAGCAAAGCATATAATAAGTATAATAACACAACATGTGACAGGAAGTATTGCCGGTTCATTATTTTCTGATGTTTCATTTGGTGCAATCGAATTTTTCCTAGTGATGATCAGTGACATTCCTCGTCCATTAGTCAATGGTGTTGCATTAATATTGGATAATTCCTGATCTATATTCTCATTATGATCTTTAACTTTATTTTTAAATTCATCAGCTGCCCAAAAATTACCAAAAAGCAAAATAATTAAAATCAATAGGAACATTAGTAATACACTTGGGCGAAATTTTTTCGTTATATCGGGTGGAAAAGCAATGGATAATTCGATATCAGTTAAATGCCCATATTTATTATTGAGTTTCATAAAATCATTATGCCAAAAAATCAACACGGGAATTGTAACAGGCATTGTTGTTATATTATACGTTAATTCATAATGAGTATTTGTTCGATTCGTTATTATCATTAAGGAAATTTGTTGTTCAAAATATTTTTCAACATTCCATGCCTGTTCTGTTATTTTACATTCGTGTTCATAAACGATTAGAATTGTATTTGGTGCTAGTGGTTTAGGTAAAGAATTACTAAAATTTGATGCGTCACAAGCATTAAAAGATGGTGACGATAGATAAGGCGTATGCCAACCAAAATTTTTTATATCAACTCCATGATTATTTGGTAATTTAGCAAGTTCAATACAATAACGATTATTATTCAACATGGCTTTTGAATGAACAAGTAAATTGATCGATTCGTCAGTATAACTAAGAACCACACGAAACAATAAGAAGAAAAACAACATCGTTATTGTTCCCATGTTTTATCTGAATCAAAAATAAATAAAACAGACAAATACAGACGTAGTGACATTATATTCTTTTGTCCACGTATTCACTAATGTCGTATATTTTTTTATGACTCCAGTGTTCCTTTTACCTTCCGCTCGATTTGCCAGTTGGCGCCTATTGAGTAATAGTTTTTCTCATCGTTTTATCTTCTGGCGATGCTTTATGATGCCTTTTAATCGTCATTTTTCTTTTGTAATAAAAAGAAAAAAATCTATCAGTGAATACATACTGATTATATATATGAAGATTAATAACGCTTTATCCTTAAAAAAAACTGCAAAAGAAAATCAGTATTAAACTCGTAACAATTTTGACATTTATTTAACATGATTTTTTTTCTTCATTCTGTTGGTATTTTTATTTCATCTCGTATATGAGAAAAAAAGAACATGGATATACGATGAATTTTTATTTGACAAATATTTGTCTATGTATTTTAATAGTTCATATACATGGGCAATATTCTCCATCGTTTTTTCTTCTCTTTTCGTACTGTCAACTTGACTACACCAAGGTCAACAGAAGAAAGGTGAAGAAAAAAAATTGTTTATTCATATGTTCACAGCACACACTTTTAGACATATATACAGACAGCGAAAAGGTCGAGTCTTTATTAACATGTTCCATATTCTACGACTAAGTCAACTCCACTTGTTTATGCTAATACAATGAAACAGATTCTCACTATTTTAATCTTTGTTTTTTTACCAATATATACTAAACAAATATCATCTGTAATCAAAGATCCATTCGAATATTTTAAAAAACTTGCTCGCGATTCACAGACTTATTCACAATGTAATCGTATACCTCCGTTTAAAGCTCAATTGGATTCATCATTTTTTGATATCGATTTAAGACGATGGGATCGAACGAAAAATCCACCACCAGTTCATCGCTCACTAGAAGCTTTTGTTCAATTGGATACATTACGACAGAGTACCTATTTTAGTCATATTCTACAAGGTCATAATCAAGCCAATGTTCCAGGTATATTGAAATTATTTTCGAAAAACTTGTCTATTTGGATAGAATTTATTTGAAAAAATGACCCACTCACATCCTCAAAATTTTCCATGCTCATCAATTATCACATAGTCATTATTGTCTGAAAATTGAGTTTATATTAATATTCTATTTGATTATATCAAAACACTTTGGCTCATTGTGAATACTATAGAAGTCTCTAGTATTTCAGTATTGAATAGTATTGTTTTAAAAGCTTTTATAAGATTTCACAGCATCAATCTAAATGAATCCTACTCTTTTTCCTGCTACAACAATAAAATTGAGTGATGACATTTTGATACAATGATAAAGTATAGTCATAAAATTCTTCTCTATCATCTGTTGTAAAAGATGTAGAATAAGGATTAAATAATATACTGATATTAGAGTTCAGATGAGCTTTCTAGAAAACTGACGTATTGTATAGAAAAATAGCTATTGCTCGGAACATTCATCATGATTTACTACTTCGTAAAGAGACATACACGTACACATGTAAATTAGATCATCTGATATTCTCTTCATTTGTTTTCTCTTCAGGAATTCTCTACTTTTATCTTTCTGCTACTGCTCAACTACATGCTCTCAAACAATTAAGTCTCACACATGGAAAGTCTCTTGACACAATTCAAACTGTTCGTTATGCATTTGATTCTAATGAAGTATTTCGTGTCCCATGGTATAAAGTAGGTGGTAGTTTTATTAATTTCGAACGACCATTTGGTATCTATGCTTTTTCAATGGATTCTCCTGAGCATATATCAATAAATGATATTGGTGTTGGTCCGTTTGCAACTAATGATTATACATTAAGATTTTTCGAGCATCATAATCATGTTTATAATAATCCACTAAAAATGTTTCGAAATTATGATGAATATTTTCATGCATTGATACAAACCTGGTTAACACGTTCACGATCTGATCAAGATGATTCAGCTGATTGGGGTAAAGAAACCAAAGAATTTAATGATCTTTTAAAACATGGAGAATATTTTCCATTACCTTATCGATCGGTACCAAAACCTGTAAGAACCGATATTACAGAGAGACAATCAGGATTTAATCCTGTTTTTCCATATGCTGATCATGTCTACGATTATTATCGTGATCCAAATTATTATCGATTTGCTCGAGGATGGTTTCTAAATCAAACACAATCTGAATCAAATCAATATATGTATGATTTGAAATTTAAAGAATTATTTAAAAAACAAATAATAATAATAAATTGTTATTTTTAAGGTTAACTTATGGAGTTTTACCTGATCGTATACAACGAAATTTTCTTTTACCAATGTTTGAGCAAAGCCGTTGGTCAGGACCTTACTTATTTTGTCCACTAAATTCATATGAATGGCTTGTCTCATCTATTCAACCGATCTGGGCAACAAATCATTTTAATTATAAAAATCGAGCTGCATTTGAAAATAATCGTCGTTATAAGTACAACAAATAATTCATTTGTATCTATGAAATATTTAAATAATCAATTTTTCTTTAAGTTATGCAGGTGTAACAAATGTAGAACTTGCTTATACACACCTTGATGTTAACCAATGTCCCGGTGAACATATCCGAAATTTCTATGCTAATACAGCTGCATGCTCTCGTAATACTTTTGTAAGTATTTGTTTAAAGATGCATACATTTATTTTAATGGAATCGATGTTGAATAAAAATGATTCAATTATGAGTTATGAGCAAATTCTTGATTGATTGCTATCAAAATTCTACATGAAAAAAATACTCGAGTAAAGCTATTTCTATGATTCATATAAATATTTAAGAAAACAATTCTAATATTGACGAAACAAATTTTTATTCTTTCTTACGAAAATCGTTAAATGATGTGTTTTATCGATCTCAATTATATTATCAACAAAAATAATCAACTTGAGTTTATAGAGAATTTTTCTTAATGCTAGCCGAATTTCTTAGGCCTTAGTAATCGATGCAAAAGAGAACCAGCGATTATTGAAAATATTTCCATAGTAGCCGATGATTTCAGACAGCATTGTCAGAGTTATTTGCCAGCCTAAAAAATGGTTAAGTGACATCAGGCAAAACGAAATATTTTAAACTGTTTTACAAATTTTCAAGGCTTTGTGTAAAATTTAGATGATTGAAATATGCTTATTATGACTCTAAATGTTGTAGTATGCTTTTATAAATTTTTACATTGACGAAAATCTATATTCAACATGACACTTTTAAGATGATTAATGATGAACTGTTCGGTTTCAGTGAGCACATGATCAAGATAGAACATGTTAGCAGATCAATTTATAAGTTTATCTCAGTGCCTCTGAACGTATTGAGGAGAAGAATAGTATACTTTCGTTCAATCTTCTGCAGATATAATCGACATGTAGAAAAAGTTCATTTGCTTGATAAATCACTGATTAGAAGAAGAAAAAAAATAATAATAATGTTAAATCAAGCAATAACGCAAGTCCAAAACAGAATAGAATGAATAGATAATGACAAGAAAAACAATAAATAGAGAATCAGTAGAAAATAAGGAAAAACCTCGGTTTCAAAATGCAGCAGAAGTAGATACGCTAGATCCTTTTCTCAGCAATGGATTATCCTTGGAAAATATCTATAACCAACTAGAGATGTTTCACTGCACTTATTTTGTATTCGCATAATGAGACTTGAAAACACATGTGAATTTCACACTTCAGACATGAATGAATTGCACTGCGATATTTTATAGTTGTAATTATGATAATTAAGTAAATTTATTTGTTTTTATAATCTCAAGATAACATTCTCGAGATGAAATACATTTGGATCAGGGTCAACGTATTCTCATTTTACAAGGTTAAATGTCATCTGTTTTCCTTGACAATACAGAAAAATATTCATATTAGATAATATACGTATAAGCATAGAAAAGGAGTTATATGATATACTATTCAATCAATATATTAATGTCATGATAAGAACAGTTGTACTATGAAATAAATGCGGAAACATCGGATTTGCATCCGATTGTCATGTGTACTTCAAAAAGCGAAAATGTACATCCATTTTTTTCTATAAGGCATAGATCTCATCAAGATACATCCCTTCTCGCTAAAATGCAAGGAGAAAAATACAGGCGTGCTAAGTTAGCATGGACCACACTGTATGCAACTCTATCCAGTGATCACTGACTCTACTCTCAGCGTGATATAATATCTTTAGAGATCACAGAAATTGAGGTCAGATTCGTGTTCAACTTGGAAAACTGGATAAGAAGAGTTATTTTTGAATGGTTTTGTGTTTGTATCTAGCAGGACTACGATCGTAAGCAACCTCATGAATTTATCAGAGATATATGATAGATACAGGCATCAGTATTTTCATAATAAATCATCAATAGTAATAGCTATCGAGTTCAGGTTTTTACCTTTCGATAGTCCTTTTGACTAGCAACAAAACCAGGCATTTGAGAAGGAAGCTCCCAAACTGCTGGTCATCTGAGACATATCTAGGCAATTTGGTTTCTAGATGCAGTTTTTGTGTATTTTGAGACCTTTTTCAGTCAATGTTTCATCAGAAAACTACGATTTTTTTTTCTCAAAATTAATATTAGACTCAGAATCAGCGTTAAAAACTGGGTCGATTTAAATATGGTGTGGATAATTCTGAGAAAAAAGGTTTTTTTGAAAAATCCCAGTACTCCCGCTCAGGGATGGTCTGATCAAAAATGACAATTTTTTCGACAACTCAGCCATTTCTTGACGGATCCTTCTCACCTTCGAACTCGACCTAGATATTGATGAGACAATTCTGTGCGCAAAATTTCAGCTCAATCGAATGTAATTGTGAAGAGTTATCGAATAAACGGACGACGGCCGGACACACTGACCGATTTTAGTGGTGTACTTACTTTTTGAGTACACAAAAATAGAGCTAAAACAAATTTCTATCTAAGGGATTGAGTTCGTCTTGATTACTTTCTTTCTGTCTTTATCAATTGACAAATATACTATTATATCTTTCTGCTTTCATCTAAATTTCTAATGCATGAAATATCTTTCATATTTTGTTTGAGCACTGTATATCATTTCGATTTTATTTTGTCTAGTGTGATCCAATAGCTGGTTTTGGTCTACAAAGCGGTGGCTATCAATGTTCATGTCATCCAAACTTTCGTTATCCATCCAATGTAGTAATACCTTATCGACCTGCATTTGATAAATACTCATCAACATCGTTACCTCAATGCCAACCGATTCGTCTTCTAACACAATATCCAACTTGGCACGTTGAAAGATCTAAGCGAAATAAAAATCGTCGTTCTATTCCACGACCAAATGTTTTCGAAAAGCTTCGTTCATTAGTATTTAATCGTCCATCAACATGTCCACCATGGTCACATATAGCGATGTTAACTGCAGAACAAGACGATGATGAGAATATTCGTTTTACTAATGATTTAACTCGACATATCGATCGTATTGCTCGTCCATTCACATTACAAGCTGTACGTCTTGCTCATTTATTTTCCAGTTATTTAGCTTTATATCGACCTGATCGAGATCCAGCTAATGATGGGTTTATTGATCGTCGATCAGATCCACCATTGAATGAGCAATGGCTTGAATCTGAAGTGATGAGTACAGGTTTATCTTATACACAATTACTAGAAGTTGGTATTTATATAAATGGTTCTGAATACGAACGACAGAATCCATTTCAACAGCGAGGTGAATTATTTGATGGAAACAAAGAATTTGGTTATAGAACAAGTGTATTTCGAAATACAAATTATGGCCTATCATTCATTCGTTTTGATACCGATGATAATAAATATATTCTCAATCGAACATTAGACGGCAGTTATTTACATGAAGGTGGATGGTATGATAAAGCTATGCAAATGAAAGCAAATGTTAAAACATCAAGATATAGTGTATCAATGACTATGCGAAGAGATTTACTTGGTACAAATTTAATTAAATTACCAACGCTAGTATATGATGCACCAACAGCGGGTGTATGGTAAATATAAACAAAGTTCTCTCGATTGAATTTATGGAACGTACATTTTCATATCTAGGTTTGGTCCTTATCATGATTGTTCATTTACAAATCCAACACCAAAAAGTATGGTTCGTTGGCGTTATTCTGTTCCGATATTTAAAGAAATAACACATTTACCGATTGGTTTCGTATCGATCGTTTTTGGATCGGATCTTCGTTGGTATTCAATAAACCCTTGTGATAATACAATAGGAGTAAATATTTATAATCCATTTCAAGGTCTACATAAGTGTCATCGTGAAACAACAGAATGTCAATATCAAATGATTCCCGAAGAGGAAACAGGGTTCGATTTAGCTAGTTATCGGTGTATATGTAAAGTTGGCTATGAATATCCATTTAATTCAATGAAAAATTATTTTGAAGGTGCTCTTATTGAACGTGAATACGGTAAAATGTTACGTAGTGAAATAAATGCTTATGAAAATATGCAATGTCGTCCTATTGATCAACAATTAGAACCAAGATATTATTCGTCAGATTGTGTTCAAAATCAAAGTCTTCTATGTGTTTTTGTTTTTGTTTTTTTTAATTTGTTTTATAACAAAAATCTTTTCGTTTGAATCAATAAACTTCATTGTTTCTAATGGAATATTAAATTGTATAATAAAAAAAATACGTTTAATTATGCATAGCCAATGTCAGAAAGATTTTTGTTTATTATTGTTTTTTAATGGAAATAAAACGGTTCGTTTTATAAGAAGAAAAAAGAATTGACATGCAAACAGAAAAAAGAACAAGAAAAGCCAGGAAGTTATATTTTTTCTTTTCTCTCTCCGTTATCTATATTTTTTTATTCTTACAGATATACCGAACGAGTAATGAAAAAGACAAATGGGAATATACACCGACAGTCGAATAAAAAAATAATAGCAGACTATAAAGGCGCTGCTTGTATGCTTGATGTTGCGTTTCTTCCGTAACCTTTGCTTGTCATTCGTATACACTATAAGATAGTCAATCTTTTTGTCGTGTATATGACAATATTAAATAATAACTATATATTGCTTTCTTTTAGAATGGCTTCACTATCTTCTATTGAAATTGTTCCCCTGTTACCTGAACATCGCCAACCAGTCATTAATCTTCTAATGAGTTCATTTTTTTTACAAGAACCACTCAATGAGATGCTTCAATTTGATATTCCTCGTGAACCATTATCATGGGTTGATTTTACTATTGATGGTGCAATTCATGATCAATGTTCATTTATTGCCATCGATATAACATCTCCATGCAAAGATATTGTCGGTGTAATATTAAATGGTATTTCAGATCGTAATCACAAAGCACTAAACATGGAGTTTCCATCAGCAAAATTACAATTCATTTTTTCATTAATAGATCAAGTATCCGAAGGTTATGATCTATTCAAATTATACAATACGAATCTTCTATTTCATTGTGACATTATTAATGTTGATGAAAAAGCACGTGGTCTGAATTTAAGTTCTCGTTTAATAACTAAATCTCTTGAAAAAGCTCAAGAGTTGGGTGCCAAAGGTGCTTCTGTTGTTTGTTCAAGTCTATTTTCAAGAAAAGCATTTATACGGCATGGTTTTCAAGTGATCAATGAACTTCTATATTCTGAACATGAAGATTCACGTTTAAAAAATATGGGTATGCATGATCGATGTACTTTATTAGCAAGATCGTTGTGAACATTTTAAATTCATATTAAAATAACAGTATATAATATTATCTTAAATCAAAATTTTTCTTTAAATTAGTTTTTTTATGTAATCGTTTTAAATAAAAAAATTAATGAACAGTTCACTTTGAAACGCGAATTTAATGGTGACATTGAATTTGATTGAATATTACAATTGATTTGAAGTGCAATGTCGTTTGTGCTTCATTATTGTAAATAGAAGAATTTATTGTCGCGTAGAACTCTAGAAGAATTTTTTTAGAAATAGCATTATTTCAAGTGCTCTCTCTGATCGGAAAAATACTTCATAGAATAAAGATACACCAAAATTGTCGAATCTCATCATTATGTTACTGATATTTAATTGATTCAATAATGATAAAAAAAAACGAAATGGTCGCTTTTTGTCTTCCAACTTATCAAGACATGAATAAAATACCTATCCCCAGGGTATTTATTTTCAGGGAGCAATGAAGGGAAATTATCATTATTTTATTCATGACTGCAGAAGTTATTGAATGATAAATTCTTCATTGAAGTCAAGGTTACAAGAGGGAAAAAGAAGAAACAACATTAATTTAGCTTACTGGATTAATTTCTGCTTCGTTCTGTTCTATTCCGTGAGAATCCAGATTGCTTCACCATTTGTTTTTAAGACCTTGATTCGTGTATCGGTTTAATTTACTAAATAAAACACAAACAAATCGCTTCTTTTTCATTAACCAACCAGACTTTCTCATTATGACATCGTAGTTTATCAAAACTTAATTCATAATTCAATCTGATAGTAAACTGATGTATAACTAAATATCATATTTTTCAACAGAATATTTATCATTACTCCATATAGCTGAATGTAGATTTGTGTGCAGCGATGAAACATTCAAGCAACTATTTGAAAGACAAAAAAATTGGTTTATATTTAAAATCAGAGTATTTTGATGAAAATTTCCATAAAAATCAAAGTAAAATCGAATAAAGAAGTTCTTTTCAATAGATTCAGTTTAACGTGAACAAATGTCAAGTATGAATGATGGCTAAAAGATAACATAGAAAATCTAGTAAAATATTTATACAACGAATTGCTGTAATGTAATGAAACGAAAGAAACTCTCTTGATTCTTATCAACAAATAGTTAAATATTGATGAAGTAAATCATCGGAGTAACCTTTAGAAAAAAAAGCAATAAAAGCGAACGTAACACTGCCCTTGATTACTTGTGTAATTTAGAAAGATGTTCTATTTGATTCATATCTAAATATGGCTTCATATCTTGATAGCATAGCATGTTAGGTATATGTTTACGAAGAAAACTTCTTTAGAATATTGACTGCGATAAGTATCATCCAAAATGGCACTTAGAAGACCAGCCATTACACTTTTTATAATAGCGCTACATAATCTAAATAAGGCTTAATGCTTAGTGGCTACTGAAAAGATTGGATAAAACTTTTTTCATGACCACAAAAATAATTTTTTGAGATTGAAATATCAAATTCTAAGGCAATATAAACATATGAACGAATTAGTACTGCTGCATCGTATTCAATCCATTAGAATACTGTTAAGATAGAGTTGGCTGTTGTACAATATTTGTTATATATTTAATAATAAATCAGTCGATCAGTAATCATGATGATAAATAGCTATCTCAACATTTCTAGGATGTAATTGGAAAAAATCAGATAGTTCAACATAAAAATATTTTCAATTTGAGATTGAATGGAAACAATCCAAACAGAATTCTTCGTTTCTATTATAGTAACAAATAAAAGAAGTAGATAAATTATAATTCGTAAAGCAATCGAAACTCATTGTCTGAGTGTCACGGCCTAGTAATTCAGAAGTCGTTTCACATGAGTACTTTACTATATGCTTACATTATTATTGACTTCTTTCAAGGTCTGAAAGTTCATCATCATGAAATCCTGTAGTGAAGCCAACAATAATTATTAGTTACCAGAAACAAAACACTCACAGCACGAACAAAATAGTATCGTAGAACACCTCACAACTTTGCTTTTCATTTCTTTTGGTTTCATACTATGGCTCTCACCCGTTGTGTCATAATTATTCAACGAATCCATGATAATAATTGTCTTGCATTGGCAGTACTTTTTTTCGATGATTTCATGATGAGCAATCCATCATAGTTCTTGAATTCTTCATACATATGACGATTTTTAGAATGAAAAACGAGAGTGACGCCAACAGTATGACAGATCTAATTCAGAAAAGGAATCCACTTCATCATTTGATAAATCCCATTTTCAAATTTCCTTTTTTCAAAAGAATTAAGCTCAAGACAACCAAATATTATACTACAGACACTTTTAACATCGAAAAGATCTAAGAAAATCTACACAGAATCCTGCTGATCTCCGTTTATAGCGGAATCTCTCATCATTAAGTTTTGTTTATCGAGACTTTACGTATATTTTGTTGATAAAAAGTCATGATTTGTTTTAGTCATCCTTTTATCATTATCGAATCAAACAAATAATCTAAAACTGTATTATAACGATCATGATTCTTGGAAATGTCTACATAATAAACTTGAAAACGAAGCATGCAACAAACAGCTATACTTTGAAGAAGGTTGTTTCAAAACGTTGAAGCAATAGGAAAAACTTGGTTCTATTCATTCAAAAATGATATCATTAAAGACTAGAAGAACTATTTCTGTCTAAAATAAATAGTCATTAATATGTCATACAGTTTCAGTAATATGTCTTAAAGAACGTAAGCGCACAACTGCATGCGATTTACACATCCAACATATAAATTTAACGAGCACAAAAAAATCGTTTTCTTCATTTAAATATATGAGACAATTATTAGATCAATTATATTAAAGTAGATATCTTGTGTGCTTGAAATTCCTCTATGTACATATAGGAAAAATGAGTAGTGAAAAGGCTTTAGTTGCTGTTCAAACCATGAAGATTATGTATGATTCACAGAGACGACAAAATCTTCTTTTTTATCATTATCTTGGGTAAACGACATTCTTTAGCGCAAAAAAGAAATCTTGATTTTTCTTTCCTAGTATGGTCTACCATATACCATGACGGTTTTGATATTCAAATTCACAACTATTTCGATGGTTTTCACGTTTGATGCTTGCAACTTTTGTTGCATCAATTTATTTACCACTACGAGATGTTGCTTTATCTTAAGCACCTTATACTATTGTTGATTATCAACTTGATCATAAATTTTGTCATTGGATTGAAGAATACAAAAAAAGTACATGCTCTTCAATATATTTGTATTAACATAAGATCATGCAGTTTATTTACCGTCCAGTATTTTTCTTTCGATTGTATTTTCTTGTATAACTCCGGATGATATGTTCTCATTTTTTCATAGAATTAAGAAAAGACATCGAAGAATTATGATATAAAAAAAAGTACTTTTTAAGACTTTAGAGCAAAACACAGTAATTTATTTCGATTTGATTATAAAGTTTCTAGTTTACACCAAGTTTGAATAAAAATCTATCTACCAACGCCAACATTTCGAAATAACGAGATTTCATGAATAAAGAAAAACTTTTCAAAACTCAAATCAGCACTAGCATACTTTCATTTCAACATAGTTTAGGAATTTCTATGCAGAAAATATCTTGGTAATGCCCTCACCTGCTGTCATTAGTGTTAATGTTGGTCGTACTTGTTAAAGAAAAATATCGAAAAGTCCATATAGACAGGAAAAATATATTAAAGTACATCATCATTAGTCATTGTTTCGCACAAATAAGAATGCTAATACAATTTTCTACGAAACGTAGTGTTTTAACAAATGCATGTCCTCTTGGCATTTCTCACACGAAAAATGACGAGTTAATAAGAATATTCTCCAATAGACTGGTTGAAAGCGGACAATGTACAAAATTGAATGATGGAGCCTTTAACCATCTAAAACAAATAATTTAATCTTTCCCTGTTGTTGATTTGATCATTCTAAAATAGTTGCTATAAGGAATAGGACTGAAAACAAGCTTATGGAAAAGAGTTACAATTTGAGTTGCTCTACAACAAGTTATCCATCTTGTTATACTGTTTTTTTCTCGTTTTCTTTCTGCAGATCCTTCATATTTATATTTTCAACTTGAAATTTCCTGTAACTGATCTAGCCGTTTATAGGAATATTTTTACGCATTTTCTTTTGTAAAATAAGTAAGCAATAGGTTTATAAGATAAGAGCTAACTTTGAAGTTAATGCATTTTGACAAGATCTTATTTTCAACAAAAAGCAAACAGTAAAAATTCCACGACAAATGATGCTGAAAATAAAAGCAGACAGAATAAAAATGATACCAGACGAAATCTGTTATATTTCTTGAAGTTCAGCTCAATGTTACTCATTTCTATCAGTCATCGCAATCCATACTCTGCCTTTTCATCTTTTTAGTGTTATGACTTTTATCATGATAAACTGATTGTATCTATATTCTACTAATTGTGATCTTAATGATTAATCACAAGATATACATAGGAATACGTAACAGTTCATATTGTCGATAGCAACAAAATTTATTCAATTGAAAAAACAAGTGTACAAGTATGCTTAAATAATGTAAAGATCTAAGAGCTTGTTTAATGCATACTTAGAATTGTCTTTTTTTCTTGTTCTCTAGCGTTTTCCATCAATTAAGACAATCGAAGTACTATCCAAAAAAAAAATAGAATGAAAAAGTGTTAAGTTAACTTGTTCAGACAAAAAACACAGGTGAGCAATATCGTCTATTTGGATGAATTAAAGTATTGTTGAACTTTTGCTTGTGCTTGAGAGTTTAATACAATAGGTACTCATGTATATTTCTTTTTAGTTTTTTTTAAATAAAAAAAATACTTGGATATTTTATCACAGTTGTCGTTTTTTCTCATGTATTCAATATAAACTACTCAATAGAGAGTACAGTTTAATACATTTCAGACAAACAGACTCTTTTTTTGCTCGCATGGGCTCTTAACGAAAATTGCTTCTTTTTTTTCTTCGTCAGACATCAATAAAAGCTTGTCATGCACACGACTAATTAAAAAAGCTTTGCCTCCCTCGGTTCATTTCTTGTTCCATAATAACAGTATTGTATATGTTTTCTTTTTTCTCTCTTCTCCACACACTAGCGCGCGTATATTCTTTCTCTTCAGAAAGGAAAGAGACAGAAAGAACATGCCATACATATATATAAAGAGAGAAACTTTTTTCTCTGTGCAAATGAACATATATCACTGAGAAGTGAAAGGGAAGAGAAGAGTCAAGAAGGGATTAGACAGAGAAAGAGAGAGAGTGTGTGTGTGTGTGTGCGACAGAGAAAGAACTCATCATTGGCAGAGAGAAAGAAATCATTCTGTATTATTGTATGCGTATGTTTCTTCTGTCAAAAATCTAAGTGATTTAAATCACTTTCGTTCTCCTTCATAAAGTAGTAGCATTTTTACAAGATGTAAGTTGTATGTCAATATATCATGAAACTTTTTTTTAAACGTCTACTATTAATAGACATCATAGACATAATGCATACATTCTCGATTTTTTTTAGGACATAAACTTTATATATTGAAACCGCAAACACAATGTTCTTGATAAATATAATTTTCTCGTTCTTATTGATATGTTCATTATGCTCAGCAAATCGTTGGTATCGCATGTTTAATGCTAATCATGATGATTCATGTATTGATCGTCATAAACGTTTCCAGCGATGTATACCTGATTTTATTAATGCTGCTTATCAAAAACCTATATATGTCTCATCGACGTGTGGGAACTCGCCGAAAGAATTCTGCAGCATATCACAATTAAATAATAATCAAGAAATTGATTATTTAACTGATATAAATAATCCAAATAATTTAACATGTTGGCAATCCGATTTAATTAAGCAGAGTGATAATGTTTCATTAGTATTATCGTTGAAGAAAAAATTTGAATTAACATATATTAGTTTACAATTTTGTTCACAAGGTAAACCAGATTCGATGGCAATTTTTAAGAGTATGGATATGGTTGGTACAAATTCTTATGTTTCTTTTTTTTTTGAAAGAAGGGAACTTTTTTCTTTTTCTAAAGGGTTTAACATGGATACCATTACAATATTATTCAAATAATTGTGAAGAAACTTTTAATAAAAGTTCTAATGGAATAATAACTCGTTCCAATGAACAAGAAGCTTTATGTATTGATACAAAATCCCAATTATCAAGTATGAGTGAATCACGTATTGCATTTAGTACACTTGAAGGACGTCCATCTGCGTATGAATTCGATACAAGTCCTGTCTTACAAGATTGGGTTACAGCAACAGATATCAGAATTGTTTTGCTATCATCGAATCTCGAACCAAATTCATATTCTGTAGCTGATTTAGCTGTCGGAGGAAGATGTAAATGTAATGGACATGCATCAAAATGTATTGCAAACAGGTAAAAAAAGGCGAAAAGATATACTATTATATTATTATTATTTGATAAGCATGCAATAATTCGTTCTATAAACAGTCTTTGATTTTATTTTAATATATGCATTGACCGACACTGACCCATTGTCATATGCAAATCGAGTCAAGAACATGTCTCGTGACTGAACAATTGTACAATTACATGATCTATACATATATATATATATATATATATATTTATACATATAGTTTGTACGTGACATTGTCTGTCAATCAGCTGACAGACATTGATTGTGAACGAAGATTTCTTTCTTTTTTTATCGTAGTCATCTTGTTTATGATCGAAAATATTATTGTAATTATACTAGAACAAGCGAAGATCTTAGATATCGGCAAACATTATATAATAGAATTAAGCATGAGAAAATGTCCTTGAGCAACCTTTTTTTAAGCTCTGACTCTGTTTGATAAGAGAAGAATTCTGTTCCGTTAGATGAATCGAATTTCTTGTTTTCTTTTAATTTTGTCGATTGACCGGTAATATCAGGAGCAGAACTAAAAATGTTTAAGTACGATAATATGATTGACACATAGAGAATACAAAAGACGCCGCTTTCATTTATTCAATTAGATATGTCTAGAAAACATAGACATAATTTTATGAAGTGATAGTAGCTAAGTTATAAAAGAAAGCGTCTTCTTCTTCACACAATTTCAATCAACATTATTGTGTACTCGACTCGGTCCATCCGTAAACACATCAGATACATATGTGTGTGAGCTTAAAGGTGATAACGAGTGATCATGCATCATAACAATGACTGAGAAAAAAATACGGAAAGACAAGAAAGAATCGACCATCTCTTGTACGTAACGTTTACTTAAACAAATGAGATTTGTTCATCATCACTACAGCCACCCATAGGCAAATGTCACATACACACACACACACACATATATATATATATGTCGATATACTAAGACATAAGCCAAAACTTCTGCTGTATTTATTTAGGTTAGCAGCTGAAATAAATAGAGTAAATAGTCATATCTCTTCTATGATAAAAGTATATTGTCAAGTGGCCTTGTTATGCCAGCAATGAACTGAAGAAATGGATAATTATTAGAGACATCGACGGAGAATGTTAATGATGATGTAACATTGATATATTGAAAAGTAGAGAGTGGACAAGTGACAATTGAATATTCAATGAGACGTTGAATAAGAAAAAGGTGTGTGCGTATGATGATCGATCATCATAATTGTCATCGATGCTTTTGTTTCCTTGTTCTTCAGTTTTTTTTTTCATAAATGATCAATCAATATCAATGGTTTCCATTGTTAAAGACTTGGTTATTCACAGGAGAGAAAAGAAACGGAAGTTGACAAACTAATATATATATATATATATATATGAATGAGAACTTAAACTCAAATGCTTCATCTTTTTTTTAATGATCATTCACTTGAAAAATTGGAATGACGTTTAAACTGATCATATTCCCGTTCACATACTACACTTGAAATTTGTTTTGATTCCATTCTTTTGACACATGAAGAAGAAAAAGAAAATATAAATGGTTCAAAGTGTTGATGATATATGTCTATGACGACTCGACTATTCTCTAAGAAGAAAACTCTTATCGTTGCTATTAATTTGTTTTCAGTGATGGTCGCTTAGTATGTGATTGTAAACATAATACGGCTGGTGATGAATGTGAGCGTTGTAAAGATTTTCATTACGATCGTCCATGGGCTCGTGCAACACAACGTGATGCAAATGAATGTGTCGGTAAGATGTTGTTTTGTGTCTTCTCTAGATTTAAGAAATTACATGTATAACATGAATCTGATTATGTATTGTAACGAAGAAGATCGATAGTATGCTCTAACACGTTATAAAATAAGGGCACATATACGTGTCAAAGGTTAATTCTAGTTTGTAATTGCAATAAACATGCAACAAAATGTCGTTTTAATTTGGAACTCTACAAAATGAGTGGACATAAATCAGGTGGCGTTTGTATCGATTGTCAACATAATACGGCTGGCCGATCATGTCAATATTGCCGAGAAAGTTTTACACGTGACTTAACTCAACCAATGACAAGTGTAAATGCTTGTCAAGGTAGTAGATAAAAATTAAAAATATCGTTTGTTCTATTTATTTATTTTTTGATAATAAATGTTGTATTCATTGTTATTATGCACATCAATACATATCACAGAAGGAAAAAGAAAGCAGAATAAGATGAAAATTTTGATTTTATTTAGTCCATTCCCCTTCCCACATGAGCTACTAGGGTTTAGAATATTTTATGTATATTTTGCAGCATGCACTTGTAACAATCATTCTCAACAATGTCGTTTCAATAAAGAACTTTATCTTCTTTCGGGTCGAAAATCAGGTGGAATTTGTATACAATGCAAACATAATACAGTTGGTCGTCATTGTAGCTATTGCAAAGAAACATTCTACCGTGATCCAGATTTACGAATAACACACCCACAAATCTGTAAAGGTAATCAATGAGAAATGAGGGTTAATGCATGAATCAATTTAACATTTATGCTTGGACCTTTTCGGATTATCGATTAATTTTTTGCTTCTTTTTCCGGTCTGTGTGTATGAATGACCCTCACTTTCATTGCACTAACCTTGCATGTTTTTCTATTAGTTTAGCCTTGTTGTATGTTTCGTTTTCATGTCGATATCTATATGTATGTATGCGTATTGCTCATTAGTATTAACTACGGAATGATAGCATATTTCCTGGTTATTGTTTGAGTTTCCTATAATGAAGTATGACCTATGTATGTGTCAATCAGCGGAAATCTATATTTGTATAGAAAGGAAACTATTGATGGTCTTTTCATGATAGGAAGTGGAGGCAATATTGATCTTCTATTCAAGGTTAAGAGAGAATTCACTCTGTTCAATGGCATAAAATGAACATTTAAGAACAATACTAGTGATAACTATGAAACAATATTTTCTTTTGACGTACGATGCTTCGTTTTAATAGCTATACAAAATCTACATGAATATATAATATATATATATATTAGTCTCATTATTCCGATTATGTTATAGCACAAGACAAAATGAGCATAACGCATAGGCTATGATAACTATTTCTAAGAATTTTTATAAAATTATCATGTAACTAATAGCTTTGTCGCATACATACATATATACATACATATTAAGAGCTTGTAAATGCTCAATGGAGATGTCATATTAAACGTATTTTTCTACCATTTTTAGCATGTAATTGCCATCCGGTGGGTTCACGTGGTAAAGTATGTAATCAAACAACTGGACAATGCCCATGCAAAGAAGGTGTCTCTGGCTTGAGATGTGATCGATGTATGAAAGGTTATCAACAAACGAAATCACCTATTGCACCATGTATTAGTAAGTACTAACAAAACAAGCGATATCTATATATATTTTTCATTACCATGAATGTTTTCTAATAGAAAAAATCGAATTATCATCATCAAATTCCTATAGTATATATAATCGAAATGAAAATGTATATCGTTATCATGAACAAGATGCTAATAACGATGGTGATAATGATGATGATGATGATGATGATGATGATGTTGTTGTTTATACTACTTCAACCGAAAGGACAACAACAACTACAGCAACCACAAGTACGACAACTATAAGTTCAATATTAACAGAATATAATCCATCAATTGATATGGAACAATATTGTGGTGCATGTCGTTACTATAGTCGTCGTTTACACGTTAAAAAATATTGTAAACGAGATTACAGTAAGTTAATAAAACTAAAATCATTGGTTAACAATGAACTTTTTGTTTTGTATAGCAATTCATGCACGTGTAACTAATCGACATGATGCTGGTCAATGGATATCTTATTTGTTAACAATAGTTCGAGTTTATAAAGATCGTCTTAACCGTATTCAAGAAAGTGAGCAATGGATATGGGTATCACGTAAAGATGTTCAATGTGGATGTCCACGTTTAAAACTTGACAAACAATATTTATTAATGGGCTTTTATGATCAAATGCAAACATCGTTAAGTCTTGATCGTACATCGGTTGTGATTGAATGGAGACCACGCATGGAACAGCGTATGAATCTTTTTCGAAAATATGAATTGAATAAAAAATGTTAGAAGACTTCAATTTCAAGCCAATGAACAATATCATTCCGTAAAGCATCGAAAAAACAAATAAATAAATTTTGTATAGTTGTCGTGTGTGTGTGTTGTCTTTGTTTCATCTTTTCTTTTTTTATTTGTTAATTGTGTCAGTAATCTTTAGCATTATGATAAAAGAAAAAGTCATTCATTTTCATTTATTTGATTGTGCAATACTATTACATTTGCATCTAACATTTTTATTTAATTCTTTAAGTATATCACCGGTTCCAGACTGTCGTCATTAAATGCACATTAGCCAGATGGAACTCTTCGTTCAATTAGCCAAAACTTTGTTTGCCTCAACATAAAACAAGGACGATTACACCGATGATATAAACAGAAAACTGATGTGCTTATCGGTTCTCGTCTATTCATGTACTAATGGTCATTAAATGATGCTGTTAGGAGTGAAGAATCATGTCCACTCAAAGACAAGAGAATAATCGATAGTAAAGCTCTATGATTTCAAAGTGACCATTAATACAAAACGGAAGTAAGCTTGAAGAGTATAAGTGCCGATTATCATTGATAATGAGAAAAAAAAAGAATCAATTTACTCTTGCCGCTATGTTTGACACCATTGATTTGTTCAAATTTGATGCTTGATTAAGTACTATGTATCGAATAAATGTCATAGAAAAGAAGACAAAACATATCTTATTCTTTCTCTTGTCATTTGAGCACAAATGACAACTGGTCTAATAGCTAGTGATTTAGACATGTGACAAAATTTTCCAATACAAAACATTAAAATATGCATATAGTGTTTGGTATGCAAACAGCCTATCAAAATAAAATAAAAACAAGAAACAAGCTTCTGATTTATTTGATTTATTAATTAAATAAGGTGTTCTATATATATTTAAAAGTTCACACATCGTTGTTTTCTTTCAATTAAACAATATTGTATTCTATTCCATAAGGTGTTTATATAGATAAATGACAAGAAAAAGTGTTATACAGAATGTGTTTTATCAACATATAAATTTACAAATTAAATCGAGAATGCTGATAAGAATACTTTTATTTTGTTCTATCACAGCGACAAACGAAATATACAACTGATAAGATTCCTAAAAAAGAGAGAAATGAAATGTAGGATAGAGAGAAAAGTCGACCCATTTGTTTTTCGTAAAGAAAAAAATTAGGTGCACGATGATATTTCAATATTTATTAGTTGCTTTTTTAAGTTTTGTTGCTATTTATGGAACACAATGGCCCGTGCCATATGAACGTGTAACAAATCGTCCAACCAATAATCCATATTGTCAAGCAGGTCTTATTTCATTTTGCCCAACTGGCAAAGCTGAAGATGCAATGATCTATGCTCAAGATGATAATGATATTATCGAAATATTTGCACTTAAGAAGCCAGTATGGTCATTTAAATTTGGAGATTTAATGGCTCAATTTGTAAGATTTATTTAGTCTAGTTTTTTAAAATTTATTCTAAAATGAAATTTTAAATCATTTCTGTATTAAAAATAGAAAATTATGCATGATGCATTAGGCTTTCGTAGTCAACAAACTGGTCGAAATTGGACAATGGAATGGTAGTCACAAGTTATTATTCATAGAGCATGGGGTACTTATTTTTCTTTTCATTAAGGTATGAATTAGATCAACTCTTCAATTGTACATTTCCACATGTCCTTCAAAATGATTCTTTCATATGGTGTGATCAAGGTAATTTGAGATATTATTGGCTATCATGATGTAAAATATAAATCGATAGGTGCTTTATGTGTTTATAATGGAATTGTTGATTCAATGTGGAATGGTTCATCAGATTTAAGCATGTTGAAAAAAGTCGGTCAAATTAGTGGTAATTAGTTGTTTTTCGTGTTTTTTTCTTCTTTTTTTCTTTTAATAGGTAAAAATTATAATACTTGGGCATCATGGGCTGTCAATGATAATGATACTGGCGTTTATTATGAAACTTGGACAGTCTATTCTGATAATGGTAAGCGTTGACAGGGAAACTTATTCTAGAGTTTCATTAGAGTGCGACAGATCGAAGTTCATTTCATAAGACGAAACTTATCATAGTAGATACCAATCAAATTATAAGACCAGGAAAACATCCTTTCATTTCAGCTTTGTGTTTTATGAAACAGAAACTCAAAATCTTCAAAAATTTTGAATTTAAGAATTGGAAAATAGAAGAACTTGTAAATACATGATCACATTTTTTATTTTATTCTAGAAAAAAGAATTGTATTCCCTTTGATTTATGCGCATCGTTCTTTGCATAACAGTGCACTAGATAAAATTGAATTGAACAAAAACTGAATATTAATAGAGTTAATAGATCATCTATTAAAAGAGCAGTCGATGGAGTATTTGGATATATTTTTAAAAAAATTTGACAAGACTCAAGAACAAGAAGAAAATCTTCGTTTTTTAGTTATACGCCAATTTAGAGCGATTCTCTGATGATATATTTTTAATAGTCTAATATTGTCTTCTCCTCTATAGCTTCTCTTAGCGGTAGTTCTGTAGAGAAGGTAAGATTTACGTATAACTATTGCGCTCAATTGATTAAAATTATCTTAGAAATTAACTTACTGATTGTTAATGGCGATTTTATAGTTTATGGTAAAAACATTTGAAAATAGTTCGTTTTGAAATATGTAACCATTCAGACATGACAATTCTAAATCGAACTATAAATATATTTCAATAATTAACGTATATAGATTGTAGTAGATCAATAATAATTATCCATTTTATTGAAATGAATAGACACCTCTAATGATACATGTGAAGCTAGAATCGGAAATTTTGCGTAAGAAACCAACTAATCCTTCTCTAGGAGATTAATCGTACTCACAAGAAGTGTTCGTAATAGCGAAAAATGTATTTGTCAAAACAATATTCAGGCTCAATCTTTATATGAAAAAAATCGGTGATAAAATGAATTGATTATGCTACTTTTAAGGTCCTAATTCAACAATGTACTTCGATTCTTATGATTGTGCCAGTTTTGTTATTCGTGGATTAAATCAATTGTATAGTTATGGTGCTGAAATATTGCCAAATGTTCATTTGAATTATACACGTATAAATATCTATTCATATGAACCTGAATTACTCGGTACATATGATCAAATTGTTCAGAATCAAACTCTTCATCAAGACTTTCTAAATTTTTATCGCAACTTTGATTCAAAAAAACCAAGTACAGGTGAATGGATTAAATCATTGATAAACATTTATGAAACATTCTTTCTATCACGACGTTTCTACTTGTATTACAATAATGTTTATTGGTATATGAAATTAAAACAACCAACACCACTCAAAATATCATTTAATGAGATTCCAATTACTTCTTTATTGAAAACGAAATAATATAATAATAAAACTTATAAAAAGGATATTTTTTTCATAATTGAATCGCTAATTGCTTTTTGAAAAAAAGTAATAAATATATTAATAAACAACAAGTTCAATAGAAATTAATTGATTGAAATTTCTGTATGAAATTATCGAACTATAGAACTAATTTTTATATACAAATAAAGATTTGACTAACACGCGAACTCAGTCTATTTCTATAAAAGTTTTCATCGATTTAGAAACTTATCATTAAGTGATACATAAAAAACAAGATGGACGTACAATGCAATAGATAAATACTTGATTTGTCACTACCTACATATAATTTGTTATCGTGTAATATTATTGTGATATTTTCGTTTCGAATAGTTGCTATGCTTGACTTGGTCGCTTATATTGGTGTATATTTTTTTCTTTTTGTGGCCTTGTAAAAAAAACGTAATTCTGCTTCGTGATCAAACATGCATACATTTACATATAGATAGACACAGACTAACGTAAATTTCACTCAAACATCGTCTCTCTCTCTCTCTCTCTTTGTTTATTTGTGTGTACGTTGTGTTGTATTATTTCGAGATATCATAAAAACAAACTAAACATGATGTATAGTCTAGGACGTCCTCATTCTGATGTTGAGTCGATATTATCAGAAACATCAGATGTTACATCTAGAGCAACAACATTACCTGATACTTGGAGTGATGTTAAGAGTGATGCAACGTTAGAATATCAATCAAGTATAAATGGCTTAGATTCATTGGATATCCCACCTTTATCAGAAGATGATCATTCTTCGATTCCATCAAGTACGGCTGCAAGTGTCAGTACTGTTGTTGATCAGAAAATGGACAAAGATCGAACAAATAATAATAATGAATCTAATGAAACTAATATTCAAAATCAACAGCAAACATGGTCTAATCCGTATTGGAACTCAAATGGGAATTCACAAGCATCAGTAACTCAGTTACCAACGAACAAAATCAAAGTCAATGCTAATATTGAAGAGTAAGAAAACACTTTGTGAATCATTTTTACTCTTGACTTTTTTTTGCATTTGCCTTCAAAGTTCGTCATCACCAATACACATTCAACAGCTCATTCCTGGCTCAATATTAATTAATGATGAAGGTGAAATTGATGATTTATCATGGAAACAAAATGCACATCTGAAATCCAGTACATCCGATAATTCATTTAATCCTGGTGGTAAATATGTAGCAGATGATAGTGGTGGTCCTGGCGGTTATCTTGCACCGACACATATGCAACGTCGTATTGTAACATCGTCACCTGGATTGTCTGCGCATCCTGAAAGTCAGTTTGGCTATAAACGTTCGAGTTCATCATCAGATGCTAGTATTCAAAGTCGACCTACGCTAAGTCGGCAACAAACTTTTCCAGACAGTACAAACAATGATATCCAACCGTGGATTAATCCATATTGGCCAAAAACAAATCAAACTAATTCTGAAGCTATACAAAATGACCATAGTAGTGCAAAAGAAAATTCATTGATCAATCCAAATTTTAGTGCAAAAACTTATGAAGCATCAACATCATTCACTGAAAGTAATAAATCTAACATTTCAATGACACCAGTAAAAGGAAATCAACAATGGAATAATCCATATTGGAAAAATAAAAATGCATCTGATCTGGGCGCCAATGTTAGTTCAATGGACACATTGTCGTCTGTCGAACATGACAGCGCATCGATTCCATCATTTTATGAACGTGTCTATCCTCCTAGTACACCATTGCCTGCTCAAATGTCAACAATCAATAATGAACCTGAAACGAACGTTCCAAATGAAAAAACAAATCAAAATATAAATGACGACGAAGATACATCATATACAATTGACAATAAAGGCATAGCACACTATCTTCCAGAGTTATCTTCACCTATGATTCCAAACAAAGCAGTTGACTTTACTTCTTTATCGACAAGTTCGCAATATCCAAGTATCCCTCCTGGCGCACGCAGTAGTCTATCACCCATAGCAACAACTAATAATATACCACTTACACAAATCGATAGCTATTTATCTCTTTCTAATCCAAATAATATAAAGTCGCCACAGTTGACAAGCTCAAATAGCGAGCAATTCTCTTTGTTAAATGCTTTTTCATCATCAGCTTCTGTTGCGACAGCTGTTCTTACTGAAGAAGATCTGAACAATATTCATCATGCTCTTCATTTACTGGAAACTAATCCAAACGCAGTATCCATCATGGTCTCTCCTGCACAAGTATCGCTACAAAATACTAACAATCCTAATAAACCATTTTCATCGTTAGATTCTTTGTTTAATTTAAACAAAGAACATCAATCTCAACAGCAGCAGTCACCACAAGCACCACCATCGTTCCTAGGAAATATACAACCTAGCGCACCATCGTATCCATACAATTCTAGTTCACAGCACGTACAGCCACCATCACTATCATTTCCAGGAAATTTACAACCTAGTACTCCATCGTATCCACAGAATTCTAATACACAACAAATACAGTCAGCACAGTCAGTTTCGTCATCATTGCCAGAAAATATTCAAAGCAATACTCCATTGTACTCATACAATACCACCTCTCAGCAATCACCATTGTTCTCTACGTTCAGTTATCCCTCAAATTCAAAAGACACTTTAACTGATTCGACTGCAAAAGGAGTCATTCTTATTTAAGAGAGAAATTTAATTTAATGTAATTTTGAAACTTTTGTCAATAAACAGTGCTTGAAATAAAAAGGACAGCAAAACATAATTTATGTTTTACTATCATAATCATCGACTGAATTTTCCAGTCAGTGACAGTTCATAAACGAAGTAAATATCTTCACCTCTCATCATAAAGAATAACATTGTGCTTTAAGATATTATTATTTTATTTTCAATATTGTAAATAAACGATATGATTCCAATAAAAATTCTTAACTTTACTGTGCAATTCATATTTACTATATATCAAGTGTTAGTCACGGTACATAATAAGACCATTTCTTAACTTAGTTGGTAGAAGCTTTTTCATCACATAGAGCTCTATTCAATGAATTTGCCATAAAATAATAGATTTCTGTACCCGTGTCACGAAAATCATCACGACTTTCGTGATACGGGTACTTACATGATTCCTATATCAAAATTCGTTTATCACTTAAATGGTTCTATATCTTGAGGATGCTGCCAAACATCACTTAGTTATTTAACCAAGAAGACCGCATATAAAACATAGTATTTAAAGATAATATAAATTTGTATAAAAATTAGTAGATTTTAATCAAAATTTTCTCGTTTTCATCCTCCAATAACGGAGCCAGAATTTCTTGATGAGTTTTTTCCTTTTTTGCTATTTGCAACTGCCAAAAAATTTGCAACATCAGTATGACTGTTCATTTTTACAAGTAATATCTATTTAAAATGTTAAAACGTGCGTTACTAAACTGTAAATTCTATTACAAGAAAATCGGTGATAACCGATGGAAAAAATATACGAGAATATGAAAATATTGATGAATTATATGATGAAGTCTACAGGGATCTTTTTTAAATGCAAATGCATCCGTAATTCAAATATCTCATTCTATGATTTTTGGAATATTTAAAATTAAAATAAATGTTTTTAGTACTTCTATATATCTCGATCGAAAAGATTTCGCGATGGTTTACAAGAATAATTTATTTAAACATTAATATTTGTTGAAAGTTCTCTGAACTTTCCAAAGACCTCAAAAGAGACAAAAGGCAATAGTGAAATAACTTTACCTACATAGTGAACATAAACAAAATTCAATTGAATAAAAACAATCAAGTATTTGATGAACGAGTATTAGGTGTTACAAATAATCTTGTATTAAATCTTTGTTTTGATACTTTGAGGATTTTGAATTGTTCATCACAACCAAGAATTATTAAAATGAAGACTAGTTGAAGACCACCAAGAACAAAGAAATAGATATAAAATAATTCAGATTGATTTCGAGCTTTACACTACAATAAGAAGATACAACTAGAAATCCTATAAGAAAAATATCTTCTGTTGTTTTTCTTTACTTCTGTATTATCAAACGTAAGATTTTCTTTAGCCTGTACAAATATACCGACATAAGCAGAACCAAAAAATGATGAAAGACCAGCTGAACAAAATCGAAGACTCATTATTAATGATTGAGCTGAATGTGGTGCAGCCAAATAAGCAAATTCAAGGCTGGCAACTGAAGTAAATACTTCAGAAAGACCAATACCAAGATACTGTGGAAATTGATAAAATATTGTCATATCAGCAGCTGTATAATTTGTTTTGCCTAGCATTATAAAATCAAAGATGAGAAAACAGAAATAATCGTTTTTAAGAAGTACCAATATTTTGTTGAATAGTGGGTAGTGCATCACACGTTTTCTGACGAAATATCTCTAGTGTACCTGCCATACACATAGCAAGTGTTGCAGAAATCATACCAATAATCATGCGAGATTTGATTGAAAATGATCGTCCACTTGATTCAAGACGTTTATAAACGAATGTGTTGAGAAAAAAGATTGAAACTAGGTAGAAGATATGAATTTCTATTGAGTTATTGAAGCATAAGCATCTACATTGCCTCACAAACAGTGGAAAAAAGCATGTGAACGATAGAAAACTTGCTGTTGTATTTATCAATTAATATCAACTCAAGTGTTGATAAGCTAAGAAATTACTTCGTGTTATTTTATAGTGAAGTTCGAACGGAAATTGAAGATTAATATCTTTAATTTAACTGTCTTGCATAATAACCTCATAGAAAATATTTGTCACAGATTATGAGGTATGAATGAATTTTTACGATCTGTGGCAATATATTCAACCAACACGCTTTCTACTTCTATATTTCGTGTCGGTAGTTTCACTTCAACAGTGAATTCTACTTTTGTTTTTATTATTAATCAGAAAAAATATATTTACCATCTTCTTATAGTGAACAGTTCACAGTCTACTAGAGAGAATTTTTCTAAGAACCTTATTATTCTGAATCTTGAAAATTTATTTCTAGTTTTCTGAATAATAAAAATTTGTGTAATATGAGCACTCATCGACAGTTTTCTGAAGACCAAGATTAGAGAGATAATTTTATTATAGTATCATCAAACAATATATATATATATATACCAACGACCGTATGAAATCCTAATGAAATTCATTATAGTTATTTGTTTTAATAGCTTACTAATAATAATTATTTGATCGCCAAGTGAAAACCAAATAACAGGCATATAATGCTGATTTTTATCTATACGAAAGATTTTCATCACTTTCATATGTACACCTTGTACAAGAAAAGTTGTTTCAATCTAAATGAATATATATTTCATTCAAAATATAAAATGCTGAACATGTTTTCACTTGAAAATAGAGAAGCCAATAAGGTATCAAAAGAAGAAAAACAACAATAATACGTCGCAATGATTTGATATCATCTACCACACGATCGAGATAGCGCCCTCGGTTAGACATTTTTGCATAATCCAAAAATGACCATGCCTGTTCACTTGTCGTAAACGATGATTGATTACTAATGTCAATTTGATTACTTAATGGGAGCGAAGAATTCGAAGATCTTCGATTAGCACTTAATGTTTGTGCCGTTTTTCGTACTTTTCTCCATGTTTGAAAAGCATTTATTAACACTGGAATAAAACTACTCATGACGGAATCATGTGGTTGAACATGAATATAGAATTTATAGCCAATTAAAAATAATAGAAAAGCTATTATTAGTAATGCCGATGGAACAATATAACCAATGAAATAACTATCGTTTTGTTGTGCATAAGCAATAAAACCAAATGCAATAAGTCCACCAGTATTAACTACAGCATAATATTTATCGAAATATTTTCTTGTTGCTTTTTGTTCTCGTATTTGTTCAGCACCAAATACAGCCATATTTGCTTGAACAGCACCAACACCAATCGCACTATAAACAAGGAGAAGGTTTTTTTTTAAATATTTTTGATTAAAACTACTAATTTAGCTTACGTAAAAACTAATGTTGAAAGAATTTGAGGAATACATTTTTCTTGAAAAAACTCCGGTGTTATCGATGTTGTAGAATTGATTGTACCACAAAATGTGCTATACAATTTATATTTATCATCATCAGAAAATAAAGAAATAAATACATAGCCAATAATATATAGAATAAAACCTGTAGAGTAGAATTAGATACTCTTTTTTAAACAAAGCTGAGATTTATTACCGGTAACAATGGTTTTTGCACGACCCAATTTACCATCACTTATCCAAGCAAAAACAATTGCTGATATGTAACTTGTGCCTGAAAAACAAAGAGTGTAGGTTACAACAACAACGCCTCTTTAACAATAATTTTTATCTACCAAGAAATATAAACGAAGTAGTAACACTATGAATAGGTGTCCAATGAATATTGTCCGACGTAAGAAATAAAACAAGATTTCCCGCTAATGAATAAAATGCTAATCGTTCTAAACCAGCACTCAATAGAATTAACCATACAGAAAGCTTTTGCTGAAATACAGTTCGATTATCAGCTACAGTGGAAATATTTCTGGTGATGAAAATCAGCGGAGATATCTCATCAACGCTTGCATCTGTCATCTGAACAAATGAACAATAGTAATGACTTATTTATTGTACGAAAGAAAACAAGTTACACATGCTTGCTGTTTATTATATGATAAAATAAAAACAACAAATATGAATAACTATCAGCGATGATAGTATTCATTTCATATGTCTAAAATAGTTTACAACAGATAAGATATGAAAACTAAAAGAAATGGAGAAAATATATTTTCATTCTGTTATTTCAAGAACAAATAAAGGAAGTATATACAATGACTCAAATTAATCTATAAGTAAACGTTATATTAAATCTCTTAATAGCAAGGAAGCCTTATTACAACAGGTAAAGTATAGGCTGCGTATGAGAATTATTTCAACTTTAGTTTCAGTCATCGGAGTCAAAGTTACAAAATAGTAGTTGCACAACCGGAACTAGAGATTTTAGCTAAATATTTTATGTCTGTATGTGCATTATCTTGTGAAATATAACTGATGAGACATGCCAAAAACGAAAAAGAAGACCAACTATTGGTTAAATAAAACATGAATATGAAGTAATTTCTGGATATAAGATAAATTTTCATGCAGATTTCTCTAAGCCTAAAAACATGACATAAGAAGTTACTGAATTCATAATCAAAATAAATGTTTTTCTCATTTACACCTACAAGGAAACTTCATGGATAATACCGACAGGATATGTGTCTGGTAATATTTCATTCATCATTACCGATTACAACCACAATAAAAGTTTTAGTTTTAATCATAAAATCAATTTCCTAAACTCGGCACCAATCAAAATAATATTTGAACAGTTCTAATGGTATAAAAAAAAGATTATTTCTATTGCATCATATTTATTTAGATACTTAAATTGTTGTATATGTTCGATGGCTCTATTACCTTTATCTATGAAAGAATGTAGCTATTTCTATCCATATTAATAATAAATATGAAAGTATCAACGGAAATCATAGAAGTTTTTCTTTTTCAATGGGCATAGAAGAAAACTATCTTTGATATAATACATTTTACAACTGCATGAACAATACTGATCACACGGATAAGTTTACATAAAAATGAACAGAGTGAAAGCAAAATTTTCAAAAATAAACAGAAGGGAAATATTTGTATCCAAAGAAATAATGATAATACAGAAATAAATCATGAAACAAAAGCATACAAGTATGAATTAAATATTTAATGAATCCGAATTCTGTGGCAATATAAAATGACGTGCATATAGATGATGATTTGGTATTTTAAGTATTTTAAATTTTCGATTACATGCCATAAAAATCAATAGAAAAACTACTTGGAGACCAGCTAAAAGAAAGAAATAGATGTAATATCGGTCATCGTTATGGTAGTTTTCTGATGCTTGAGTATCATACTAGAAGATCCAAAAAAAAAACAAATCAAGTCAATAGTATAAAAATATTAATTTGAATCTTTCTCTCGTGTGCTTCGATTTTATTTTATGTTTTATATCTTACCATCGTCGACAAAACAGAAACTATACCCAAACCGAAAAATGATGAAAGGCCAGCTGAACAAAATCGAAGGCTCATTATTAATGATTGAGCGGATTGTGGCGCAGCCAAATAAGCAAATTCAAGGCTGGCAACTGAAGTAAATACTTCAGAAAGACCAATACCAAGATACTGTGGAAATTGATAAAATACACTCATATTAGCCGCTAGATATTGTTTATCACCTAGAATATAAAATACATTATGTTAAGTCAAAATTATAGTATAATAAAGAATACATACCAATAGTTTGAGTGAAATTTTGAGTTTTACACACATTTTGACGAACTATTTCGATTGTACCTGCCATACACATAGCAAGCACCGCTGAGATTAAACCAATAATAATTCGAGTGTTTATTGGAAATGATCGACCACTGGCTTGAAGTCGTTTATAGACAAAGGCATTCAGAAAGAAAATAGTGACTAAATAAAATATGAAATAAGATATTTGTTCTGCGTAGTTCTATGAAATCAAAATTTTCTTATTTCGAATTCTGCGTGTAATAGAAATGCCTCATTTCTGATTCTTTAACTGAGTTATAATGAATACGTGCTCTTCATGTCATTTCTTAAAGAATATCAAGATCTTTCGTATTATATATAAAACAATATATAAGAAGAGATGATGTAGAATCTCATACATATTCAATTGTTATGCTTAAACATATCTTAGAATTGAACCGCATTTATAATTGGAATGCCTCATATTTTCCATGATATCATTTATAAGAATAAATTAATACGTACTGCAATACTGTGAACCAAAGTTATTATTATTATAACATGAATTCTCTCTAGTTTAGCATTTAATCTAGTATCATAGCAGTTTAATCTTATCCCATTGCACTTTCTAGATGATAAAATCCTACACGCAATAGTTTAAAACATTACAATCAAGATGTTTTACTAGTGACATGTTATTATTTCTAGAATATATAAAATTCTTTGAACACCATGCAAATAAGTATTGTGCCTCTGCCAGTGACACAGTGTTGTCTTGCTAATAGATGATATCATTGCAGAGGAACACTTAACTGTAGCTATGCATTTGAATGGAGACGAACAATTGTATTATATATTTTATGTGATAATAAATCATGAAATTTAAATGCAATAGACAATATGAGCGCATTTTTAACTATGAAATCCTTAGCTATCTCCTAACTCTCGGTTCGAATTTAAACGAGTTTCTATTGACAAAGAGAATTACTTTCAATGTTTCAAATCAAAAAAGTCTAACTATGTTCGTAACATGATAAGTAATATATTGCATAGTCTTTGTTTGTATTTCAGAGATTAAAATCACATGTAAAATGTTAGCAAAATTATTGTCATCTTCAGAGTTTCTTACACTGAAGATTATTATAACCTGTTTGTTTTTTCTTCTATTAAAATACACTCAGCAATGAAAACGAAAACTAAACGCCGATGATCATTCTTTATTTCTCAAAGAATTAATCAGACGATTCAATTGTTGAAAACATATTCTAGCGTTTATTTAAATCTGAATATGAGACTAACACTTACCAATAATTATTATTTGATTTCCAAGAGACAACCATACAACAGGCATCTCTTTAAAGAAAGTTGGTAATTTCATATGCGCACCTTGAACAATAAATGTTGTTTCAACCTATGCCAACATAGTTGCTATACAAATCAACTACAAACAATATATATTACTTGAACATAAAGAAGCCAATATGGTGTTAATAGTAGAAATACGACAATAATCGGCCGAAGGGATTTAATATCATTTACAATATGATCAGAGTATCGACCATCATTCTGCATTTTAGCATAATCGAAAAATGACCATGATGCTCGAGTTACAGTAAATGATAGATAATCAGTATTATCATCTTCAGGCTCTACAATTGCTTCATCGTGATGTGATTCATTATTACCACTTGTTTCACGCCGATTATTTCGATGAGATCTCCACGATTGAAATGCATTTATTAGAACAGGAAAAAATTTTGTTATTACAGAATCATATGGTTTTATATAAATATAATATTTATAACCCATGATGAATAATGTAAAAGACACCATCAATAATACACCAGGAACTAAATATCCAACAAAATAACCTTCATTCATTTGTAAATAAGCAATGGCACCGAAAGCAATAAGTCCACCAGTATTAACTGCTGCATAGTATACATCAAAATATCTTGTTTTATTTCTCTGTTCTCGAACTTGTTCTGCACCAAACACAGCCATATTCGCTTGCACTGCACCTACACCAATAGCACTACACAAAACGATTTATTTTAGTCTTCAAAACAAAAAATAATTACGTGAAAATGAGCGTTGGAAGAATGTATTGAACGCAAAGTTCATCGAAAAAATCCGGTTTCACTGTGTCTGTAGTATTATCAGGTTTAGGGCACCAATTTCGATGCGTATGTTCATTTGCAAATAATATCATAAATATATAGCCAATGATATAGATAACAAAACCTATGAAGAAAAGTTTCAATTGCGATGAAGGAAGTGATGCCGAAATAAATATAGCTATGAAATTACCGGTAATAATTGTTTTCGCTCTTCCCAGGCTGCCATCACTTATCCATGAAAATACTAACGCCGAAATATAGCTAGTACCTTTTGTTTTTAGAAAAAACAAAAGTTATTTTTGCAAATCGAGTTTTATTCAATTGTCTTTTTTTTACCAAGAAAAAGAAGTGGAGTAGTAATGGTATGCGGAAAACTCCATTTAATTAATGTTGAATCAAGAAAAAAAGTAAGATTACCAGCCAATGAATAGAATGCTAATCGCTCAAAACCAGCACTTAAAAGAATCAAACTAATGACGACGTTTCGTTGAAATGGAGTTCGTCTATCAGTGTTAGGTAAAATACGATTTGGTTTAAAGACTAATGGAACGACTTCATCAGCAGTCGTTTCAGTCATCTAGATAAAGAGAAAATCATAACTAATTATCGAAAGTACATCTATGTATTATTCTGATTTTATTTTTGAAGTCTAAAAAGAACGAAGTAATAAATTGCCAGTCGTATTAATACATGTAATAATAATTTCTCAAATATCTACAATATTTAGTAAAAATAACATAGAGAGAAATCATTGAAAATATCCAATGCTAATTTAAAAGTTAATTACTATTCTCTGATACAGCGTTAGATTAAAAAGAGGTGAAGAAATATAGATTTAGAAGTCCATATCCTCGGCGAATAGTGACAGGTTTAAATAAGAAACTGAAGACCAAGTCCATATAGTCAACCTCTATTATCCTGCCACGCCAATTATAATCTAATACGATTTAAAGCTTATATAGTTGACATAGATTTAGAGCGATAATAATTATTTAGAAATGAAATAAGTTAGTTTTGACATTTTTTCATTTCATACAAGTAATATTTATCCAAAACGTACGGGAAAAAATTTTCTATTAGCTGAAACAATATCCTATCGGGATGAGTATTTATCGAATGAATGAATTTCTATTGAGAACCCGATAAGAGGTCGCCGGAAAAGCAAGATTTCTAAACTGATTTTGTAAATTTTCTCAAAAATGTATATCTAATCGAGATAACATATTTGAACAGAATACTATGTATATTGACTGGTTTAGCTACCAATTTTAACGAAGGGGCATATTTAATAAATAGACTTATATTTCTATTCTCAATTGTTTCTATGCAAACTGAGTTTTATACTCTGAAATCTTGCATAGAATCAATTTCATTCAAGTAATATTCTCTTTATTAGATGGTTTTGTTAATAGCAAATTAAACAGTTTTTATTCCATAAGAAGACTATTTCAGCTAATTAAATCTTTCCTCTGGTTTTCTAAAGCTATTGCTATTACAAAAAACATTCCAAACTTTTTCTTTCGCGAATCATTCTTACTGAAGATGTTATGCATTATAGATATTCTAAGAGAAGTCGATATTTTATACAACGATTTGCACTCCCTGAAGTTTATTTACTCGAATAGATTACAGCAGATTTTAATCTCAATGTATCATTTTTTGAGAAACAAATGAAATTTGAAAAGTAAAAGTTTTCATGAATTAAGACATCAAAAGACTTCCACAAAAACAAAAATTTTCTTTAATATGTAGTGCAATGACTTCTAATAATAACTGAAATCTTTCCGATTAATACAGTTCATATTCGTCTATAATCACAAAACAATTTTTTGTATATTGCAAATATATCGAAAAAAAAAGCATTCTCATATTTCTTTCATCATTAAGAAAAATGCAATGATTTCGTTGAAGATTAATTATCTACATAGTGTCAATTGCTGTATGGAATAATTTCACATAAATAATTTGTATGCAAAGAGTAAATAATTGCTTCATCATATGAAAGTGCTGATGAATCCTTTTGTTCTCTGGAAACAAATTAGTCAATGCAACAAATGAATTAAAATTGATCTGAACAAAAACGTGATTCATATGTAAACTTTTAATATCAATTTTGACTATAATTATTATAAGCAATCACATATATGTAGAACAAAACTGATATTACTCATTAATTATACTACAATCCAAGTCACGCTTGAGTATGATTGAGTCATTTTGCGCATTATTTCTTTTTTTTCTTACTAAACGTAACTACATTTTAGTGATAGAATGTAAATTTTTAGCAAAATAAACAATACATCTATAACAATGATACACTATTCTCATCGAGGGCTTCGTATACCAAATATGTATAACCATTTAAAATTAAAAAGGAAGATTGCATCGCATCGTGATCGATTTTTTCATTTACCAACAACTATTGCTGAAAATGATCCATTTTTACGACGACTTTATAGTGTTGTATATCTCGTTCTCGACGATCACCCATATCCTTCTACACAAGAAGAATTCTATCACCGTACTTATCAAATTCAACGAAACATTCGCGATTTAAATCTTGTTCCAAGTCAACATAAATTTCTGAATCGACTCATGGCTGAAACAAGTGTGAATCTAGTGAGTTTTCTTTTTTATTCTAGAATCAAACTTCTTGATTAACCTTTTTTTTAGGTTGATCTCTGGCAAGGTTCTCATATTATTACGATTGACAATGGACTTCTATATGATACATGGTCAAAATCACCATCAGCTCATCCACGTATTTCATCGCATTATCGTAACATACCTTTACAACAGTATGGTATTCGTTTTCGTGATCATCAATTACTATTTGGAAAAACTACATTAAATGGTTCGACATGGTTTCAAATGGAAGCGCACGGTTTTGCACCAACTGAAATATATGATGATCCAAATTTAGCTATTTATCATGGACAAGATTTCCTAAAATATCAATTTCATGGAATGAATGTTGGTCCTTTTGGTTTTTCACCTCATACAGAACTGACGGGTCCACTTATTCTACCTTATAGATCACTAAAAGCGGCAAGAAGTCGAAAGTTTTTCTAACTAAGAAAATATTTAGAACACGTTTCGTGGATGATTTTGCAAAAAAAACGCTAATAAAACAATGGCATTAATAATGTATTTAAAGATAACATTTTTATTAGAAAATATGAATGATAAAATATTTTTGGCATAGAGTAGAAGAATTAATTCATATGCATTTCACCAACGGTTAATTGATAGTCGGTTTTGTTGCAATAATTCAATGTTCAACTTTCTCGAAACAACTCTATTTGATGAACTTGCTAACATAGAAAATGACATATAAGAATAGTTTATTACAGGGAAAAAATATGAAATTGTCACATACCGACGTAATTATATAAAGAGACTAATTTTCAATCATTGGATTTGATGCAGAAAACGTATCAAAGAACAGCGTATTTTGTTGAAATGCTGAATCAAAAGGAAGATGATGATGCTGGCAATGATCAGTATCAAGTTGATTAAAAAACTGTGTAAAATCTAGATTATTATCAATTAAACTTGGAGATGGTACTGCGATCCAATCCATATCTGTTATACATGTTGAAATAACTTTGTTTAAATTTGAATCATCATATGAATCTGGTACTGTTAAGATAGAAATGAGAAAAGTTTCGTTGTTAAAGCAGGTAATCTTTCGTTTGAAAATCTTATAAAACTATATTAAGATTTATTATTTTCTTACCATTATAATCGTCCAATAGATTAAAACTAACATCGTTATTTGTCTAAATAAAACAACAGAATGTTGATTTTATATTTTCGGAGATGAGAGATACGATAGCATACTGTTTGGTTCGTAAACGATTGAGTTGATAAAGACAAGATAGAATGATATGTTGACAATGAATGGTTGTCTGACGTTTGTGGTTGAGCAAGATATTGTGCAACAGATTCAGGTGTTAAAGGTACACTTGTATGTTGTTGAAGATTTTGTTTTGATTTATCTTGTTGTTCAATGAGAACTTCTATATGAAAAACGAATAATTCATCGGTTATAGAAAAGAAAAGATCATTCATACGATTTGGTGTTTGTGGCAATAGTATAGAATTGCATTGTTGTAGAATCTAAAATGAAGAAAAACAGTAGCAAGATTTCAGATATTCATATTGAGTTTTTTTTACCATGTTAGAATTATCACTAGATTGAAAAGTTGAAGATGATTGATTTGAATATAATAAAGAAGATTCATATTGTTTTAGTGTTTCTAATTGATTTTCTACTTCAATTAGGTTCTGTTCTTGTTGTTGATGATGATGGAGTTCTTGATCACTTAATGACGATGGTACTAGGTTAAATAAAATATTCATATGAAAATATCTCGTTCAAGGTTGTACTCGTCTTCATAAAAATAAATCCGTTATTCTAACAACAAAGTACTAGTAGGGGAACTATTACAGATACATCAGTGGTATAGCACATATTATGCCGAACCATATATTAAAAGTATTCATTCTATTTAAATTACGTAAGATTTCTATTTACGGAACTAGGATTATAGATTCCATTGAGGATCATGGAGGTGTTCTTACCGAAAGTATCATATGTTCTGCTAAGTATTATAAAGTATGGGTCAAAATTATAACAGTAGAATGATCTGAGAAGTTTGAGCTGTAATACTGATGTGTAACTTTTAAAAACAATCTTCTGTTTAGCACAGAATTATTCAAATTTCTCTCAAGTGAATACTTATTATGTAGAAAGATTTACTAAAAAATCGAAATATGCTATTCAGATACGATTTATTTAGTAATATCTAAAAAAAGAAGGGTAAAATTCTTTTTCAGATGTTACTTTTTATATGGTACTATATTAATATCGATTGACTCATGAAAGAAAATTGTCGAATTCGTTTTGTTAGAAAATTTTCCTACACAATCTAATTATAGAACTTTGATATGTATATTATTGTACATCTAATAGAGAGTTATCTGGGACAAACAAATCTCCATTAGGATTTAAGTCAGGTACTATTTAGCGAAGATAAAATTCAATTCTTTTTCTTGTCGTTTGTTTAAACAGAATTGAAAAAGTTCTCAAAATTCTTAGTTCAATACTTTACACCGATGACTAGATGCAAATTTCTTCGCTTCAAATTTTTATTTATCTCAATTTGGATGTATGTGGTGATTCCTTACATAAAAATTGAACAGGAGATGGTAACGATTGACTATTGATCGGATCGGATGGAAGCATTGTTTTCGCTAAAATAAAACGGTAAATGAAAAGTATTATTAATAATTTAAATTCATTTTTATCAATAACTTCTACCTGAGATTTGTGTTCGAGCATTTTTTAATTTTTCAATTAATTTCATTTTTGTACCGCTTGAACCAATATTTAATTTTTTACATTCTGATTTTAAATCTGCTAATTTCATTGTTTCAAACGATTGAATATTATCAATGGATTGTTGTAAAGAGCTACCTATTAAATTATTTGAATTGCCTGTAGATTTATCATTGCGAATAAGTTCAAGAAATAATTGTTGTTGTCGTAATTGAATTCTATAATGATTTTCACTCGATGTTTGATTATGTTCAAGTGGTTTTGATGCTGCGTGCAACGGAACTTTACTTATTTCAACTTTTTTCAATGGTCCTTTGTATTCATGAAATGTTAAACATGATTTAGATTTTGGTATTGAATTTAACGAACGTTTAAATATCGTTGTATTTGAAAATGATGATACTTTCTGACGAAGTGGTCGTGATAAACTTGGATATCGAATATATCCATCTTGTATAGCTTGCTTTACATTTGAATCTATTTTAAATATATTATTTGCTACTAATTCTAATATGCCTGGGCGTACAGATAATTTATTATTGAGATTATCAACTAAACGTGCACGTTTTAATTTGCATTGAGTTCTTTGAATAGCTGGTGAAGCTGTTGTATCCGATAGAATATTATGTTCGATTAGTAATTGACGATTAGGTCTTAGAAGAATTTTGTTTTTTAATATATCTTGTGTCTAGGAGAAATATAGATAGAGATTATTTAAAATTATTCTGTTTTTCGTTTTGAGAAATACTTTTCGCATTTGTAATTGTTTACGTTTTTGATAGAATGCTAACGAAACATTAGTTGCCGGCATAATGCCCACATCAACTAGCTGTTGAAAAGATCGGCGTGTTTGTAATTTTCTTTTAAGTACTATTGATAAGAAAACAATTCAAGAAAAAGAAATGAATTAAATTTCTCTTACATTCTCGATTTTTCTCAAGATCTTCTCGTAATGATTGTTCATTGATTGCTTGTTGTGGTGAATAATCATTTTCTTGCGTTATCGATCCTTCATCAATGATTTTATTATTATTTGATGCCATCACATATCTACTCATCTTTTTAACATGCTTACTAACGACATTATCTAAATAAAGAACATACATTTTTATTAGTGATCTTTTTTTAAATCAAACTCTTGATCACGTTTACTATATTAATCCGTTCTTTTTCTTCTTTGGCAACCGACACAATTATATCAAAGAAAATAAAAAGCAAAAATAAGAACATCTGTATTATCTAATTTTTTTTCTTGGTATACTCTATACATGATGTACTGAATGTATAAGTTCTCATGAAAGAAACAAACAATGCTAATAGCAGCATTGATCTAAAGTACTCTATATGATTAATATTTCTCTATGCACTAGATTCTCTCTTGTGTTTTCACACTTGTAGAACAGAGAACAGAAATGTCAGGGTTAAAAAAATAAAAAAAGAAAGAATTAAACAACATAAAAGATGAGATCATATTTCAAATTAATCTAAATTAGAATCTATCACTTACAGAGCGTTAGTTTTGTTTATCGATCAATGATAATTTTGACACTAGAAATAAATAAGGAAAATGAATGTAGTAACTAGTTTGGCCTTTTTACTATGCTAATCAACACTACAAGTCGATCTGAAAATAGAACTATCATCCACTTTACTTGTGTTATATCGGTGATGTACTCGACTTTTGTTTATTACTCGTTGATATATCTTGAGTGATAATGATAATATGCATATAAATACAGGATGTATGAATATATATGCATGGTTGAAAATGTACATGATTATATTCATTGGCTATTTTAAATGATAGATGAATGTAGCAGATGTCAGGAGAAAACATACCGATGAAGTAGTTCTAGAAGTTTCTCTGTTCAATCATTGAAAAATACTTTTCAGAGGTTACCCATCTCTTTCATCAACTTTTCAATTGTTGTTTATTCTAACGCAATTAAAAACTGCTGAGAAAACGTTCCAGGATCTTTTATTTAATTGATCAGCACTATTTCGGCTGCATTTTACACAGTAACTGTATGTTGCTACTTAAATTGAATGGTCAATTTTTTCTGTTTCATGATCACTAAAATGAATATTTTTCAAACTTTTTATGTCGATGTGGTTTTGTATTCATTAACAGAAGCCAAACTGTTTTTACTATTTCTTCCCATTGATTCTATATAATCCTAGCAAGAAGATGAGCATAAGAATGTAGATTTATTACATTCTTTGCCTGATCAAATCTCTATGGTAAATGGCACTCGTCCTGTGAGTGAAACATTAAAAATAGCCAATAATAAAATTAAAAATTTTTGGATTTTCTTTATAATATAGATTAATCTCAAATAATTACCCATTACTTGTATACTACGATCATAACAAGATAATCGAAACTATTCAAACAGAACTATATATCATTCAATTGATCTCAAAACAACGTAATCAAAATAAACCTTTCTCTTTTTTTCTCACCGAATAAAAAGCAAATTCTTATAGAAATAAAATAAGCATCTAAGTAAACTACGTATGTATTAAGCTTGCGTTTTCTTGATATCTCAATGCAGAAAAGAAACTTAAGTACTTCTTTAAGTTCTGAAAGGCTCTATTTTCTTTAAAGATTGTTCAATATTTTCAAATATCGCTTAATTTAAAAAAATGACATGCCAACCATTGATCATATTGAATGTAGTGTTAATATTAATTTGAGTGAAGAGCGATATAGCTATTAACGATGAAAGTTTTATTCAGTCTATTACGACGATCATCTAATCTTGATAGAAACGATGATAGCGTCCTTGATTCTCATATTATATATTCGTACATTGCATTGTAATACTTTATTCAAAAGATATCGAAGTATTAGGGAACCATAAAAAATATATACATAGTACAATAATGAGTTTTTTTAAACATTTTTTATTATACATAATGCGTATAGATAAATGTCCGTGTAAAATGTTCTCATATAAAAAGAAAAGTGATTGGTCTAGAAAGAAGTAGACAATTAGAAGCTAGAAAAATACCATGCTAAGGGTATCTTTATGTTTCATAATGAACTCACAGATTCAAGTGAATAGAACAATTGGAGTATCAATCAAATTTCACAAGCCTATGGCCCCATCATACCAAAAAGACGGAACAGAATTAACCACTAAGCCGTCCCAAAAAGATGACTTAAGTGTGAATTAACCAGTCACGTTGCTTAATTTGTTGAATTTTTTTCAGTGTGAATGGAGTCTATGCATATAAATACCACTGAATTGTTTTACGTACATCTTGTTAGACATAAAGTGAGCGTTTGATTTTTTCTTCAAATGATATTCTGTGACAAATTTAACAGGAATTTGATTTGAAAACGAACACTTAAAGAAAATAAATCCAGAATTTCTTTATATCCTCAAAATTGAAATCTAAAATAAACAGTAATGCCAAACTTGAAAGTTGACTTCAGTTGAAAATAGAAAATTTCAATTTTCAATTGAATTCAAGTTTCAAGTTGGACATATATGAAATAAATCGAATTCATTAAACCATTTTACTTCTCAATACTTTGCACTAGAAATAAAGAAAGACAAAATTAATTTGAATCTATGCACAACCTGCATTTACACTGACATAGAACCTTAAATACAACAACCTATTATATCATCCTCTATGTTGTAGTAAACGTCAACCGAATGGTTTTGTTCCAATTTCGTTAGCGCGACAGATTTTCTCTAGAGTCTAGATAACCACAGTTTTGTTATTCAAACACATTTCATTCAACAGAATTTTAGTCCAGACAATTACTTTTTAGAATACTACTATGAGTTACATTGAAATTAATGATTTGCTGTAGATGAAACAGAATTTCACTTCCTTCATGACATATTTTAACTGTCTGATGACTTAGAACATTTTACAAATCTACTAAAACGAAATCAATTCTATTCAAATTTTAAAGACAAGTGATCAATTTAAAATCCTATTGAAATTATAAATGTGTTCATTGACTCTCATAGCAGCAAAAAAATACAATAAAACAACAGATAGTATAATGAAAATATAGCCGTTGACAAGTTCAAATTACAAAGTGTATCTCATCAATTATTATATCTTTGGTTAACTTTTCATGTGGTGAGCCATGGAGATGCGAAAATAAAATCTACCAATCATATATTATATTTATGGCTAAAAGAGAATCGAGTAGTCTCGATTGAAAATAATAATTATACACGTCATTTTGTTCTTATGATCATTGAAAATTATACAAGATATTAGTTAAAAGAAAATACTCGTTTTGACGACACCACAAACAAAGTCGCTCAAGCATGAACATACGACTCATGAAAGACTACTACAGATTTACGTCATTCTCTTACTTCTTCAACACTGCAGAAATGAACAAAAACGCTACTGAAGACATTTATTCATAAAAGTTACTGCTATTTACAAAAAACAAACATACACAGATGAGTAAGTTACTTTCAAATAATATTGCTCATGGAATGTAATACTATGCATTAGAAACTGCTATTTTGCATTCCTCATAGATTTTCTAACGAATCATCTTGAAAACAGAGTTAGTTTTGGTTTAAATGGTGATGACTATATTGGAGGAGAAGGTAAACTTCTATGAGAATGGTTAATGTCTTACAAAACGTTTTTCATTGTAGGTTTTGGACGCAAGTTAGAACGATTTACTCATATTGATTTTAATCGTGATAATATCATTGATTGCCTACCAGATGTGTATTCCGGCTATCCTTCAATGTATGGAACAGAAAATGGTGATTATCCTTCTATGGGTTATGGTGGTTATCCCGGGTTATCCTTCCACGGGTTACGGTTGCTACGGTTATACTCACGACAATTTTGGATACTATTAATAAGGCTTCAATAAATAATTATTTCTAAAAAAAATATTGCTGTTAATTTGAAAAATATTTTATCAATTATAATAATAAATTCCTCTAACATTATCATTAACGACAACGTTTTTGATCTTGAAGATGAAATTTACCATTTGATGAAGAAAAAAGGTTTATTTGAAGAGTTCTACCAACAATTATAAATAAAAATGATAGAAAACCAGAGTTCTACTCGTACCCATTGAAGTTTATTGAAGATATTTGCATATTAATTCAATAAAAGACATTTATAACAACGTTGCTTTTTTCATTTTCATATTTAACCTCTTCAATTAATAATTTGCGATGGTTTTAACGTCAAAATATTAGTTAATTTCAGAGTTGGTTTTAAAATAGGATTTATTTAAAATTGCTCTATTATGAAAATGTGAAAAAAATGATCAGAGTAGAAGATATATTTAGTCGTTTGATAGAAATATCATATGAAACAGAGGTATTTCGATGAACAAAACGTTTTCAGTATTTATATTCTCATTACTCTTTCGGATACTTTTGTATAGAATATTTTCTTAATCGTTCCCGATATGAAATAAAACTATTACTTGATAAGTCGATTCTATCATGTATCACATTCATAGGGAGACTTTATGTAATTCTCGTATTCGTCATAAATGATTATATAATAGTTACCTGTTTACTAGAATAGCTGTTGCATATGCAAAGTATCTTGTTCTTGATTATTTTTTTCTTTTATCAAAAATACTAGTTTTCATTTCTAATTATTAACATATGTGTGTCAAATCCTCATAATAAGTTTTCACATCGGTTGCTTCAGAAATTCAAATAATACCAATCTTTTGAATGAACTGCAATGATGATAATCGACGATGGTATAAGTAAAATCGTCTAGATGCTCTCTGTGATACAAATTACTCTCAAATAATTATACATTGCTTGTGCATGATCATAACGAAGTAATAAAAACCGTTCAACCATAATTACATGTCATTTAAGAAACATCACTACTACTATGTCGTCAAAACCAACTTTTTTCTTTTTCACAAGACGAAAAACAAATTATTGCAAAGAGGCATATACGAATGATAGAATGGTATAAAATTGGACATCAGCTAAAAATAGCGACGGACAAAAAAACAAAAACAAGAGCGACGACGATAAAAATGTAAAAATATTTTTAGTAAGAAAATTGATTATCAACCGGATGAGAGCTTCGAAAAATTTGATTTTTACATTCTCGACTAGCAAGGTGATGATATTTGACTGCACAAAACTTTAATAGATGTTTAAATAGAGTATTCTCAGATTGCCAAGATTGGATCAGAATAGTATTGATCGCTCAGTAGGCTGATTGAAAGATTTTCAGTGAAATTAACCAAATTCATGAAGACTCAGGAAATGTTTTGAGTATTGTTGAGCAAAACAAATGAAAAAAATGCTTAAGATTTGCTGAAAGTAATCAAAAGATCGAGATTGAAGAAAGAACAGCTGAAGTTCGAAATACTCCCATGTCTAGGTACTGGATCACATCGGTTCCAGTAGTTTTTGAATTCGACGGGCTTTTTTATCTACCAAATACCCAATCGGATCTTTGATGTATGTAATCGGTTAGGAAATGGCTGAATGGCAGTATGAGATAAATGAGGATAAAATGACAAATCCAGCTGAAACTACGAAACCCCGATCACGATTCACGTCTTCAAATAGATACCAATGTAGAACTGAAGTGCCATTTAGTAATGTGGGGAGCAGTTTTGATTTTTTTTTAGTCAAATAAATATCTTTGGTATTTTTAAACAATTGAGATTGATTTTTTCACCATAATTATTTTCGACGTTTTTCTTTCGTTATTCTTACCTTTGTTGCTGTTTTTAGACCACTTTGATACATATGTATACCGAATAATGATAAACATCTCCAAAGTTAAATTTACCTTTATTTTGTCACTTAAAAGACAATAAAACAAAACTAGTGATTAACTAGTTGGATAACATCAATAGAAACTTATCGTTTCATCAGTTTTTTTCAATGTGCACATCTTCTTTCCTATTTGAAGTATCGGATACCTTGATAAATGATATTGGATGCTGCATTAGTATGAATTTGAACGATGATACTTGAGATATAGACGAAGAAGATTTTATTGAGCCTCCGCTAGAATGTTCACAGTATTTCAATGGGAATATTAAAAATCTTATGGATTGTCATGGGGATAGTTTGCGCTTCTATCCTTGTTTCAAAGGATATAATAGTACTATTCCACTTCAATCATTCGAAGCATGTTTAATCATATTGTGGATCACTTGTAGACAACGTTTTCACTGGATTTATTAGATGAAGCATATTAAAAAAAAACGATCATAATACGGAGAATTTTATTCTCTATTATATAAAGTTGATCAAATGATTCTACATTAATATATTTTAGTTACTCTTTTTCTAAATTACCAACTATAAAAGACTTCTAATTTGTACAGATTAAATAATTACTGCTTGTTCTATAAATAGGACGTGTTCATCCGGCAAAAAATATAAAATGTTCTATAAACTCTTTCATATCAATATCGATGACTTGTTGCATATGCAATCGAAAGATAGTAATAAACTACTAGGATTAGTATTTGAAAACATATATCGATTAAAGTTCAATATTAGTATATTCTAGTTTTAATCAAACTTAAAAATTTTAATTCTTTCTTAGTTAACTTCTGTATGGACGTAGATTTTAATTGCTAAGTTATGTTGGTAAAGCAATGTCTTGTCTAGAATATCGTTTACTTGCTTTTCAAATTATTATGAGAACACTCTTATAGTAAGTTCAATGCTGATATCATATCAGTTTTTTCAAGTAAGTTTTCTGCGCTCGTCCAGAAAATTTCTGAGAACAATAATAATCATAACTTTGCATTTAATGGATAACATTGTGCTTCCAGCGCCCTCTCATGCACACGTTTCATATTGATTCGATGAGTCATTGAACTCTACCGATGCACGCATGTAAATACGAACTTGCTTCAATTGCCAGTTAAATATTATCTTTTTTTCTATAATTTTTGGATTATTACTAGTGAGCTTACTTTGAAAAGTGACTAATGTCAGTTGATCAGTTATGAAAATAAAAATCGCAATTCTTTTACAAATCATTATGCACATTCTTTTAAGTTCGCTATTGTTAAACTATTGGAAGAAAAAGAATTTACGGATGAAAGAAACGATTGTATTACTGACATTTGAACCAGCACCTTTATAATTTTCAACCATGTTAATAATTCTCAAAGATATCTAAGACATATTTGAGCATTTATTCTAAAATACATTGGGCTTTTGATCAACTTTACAAGATTTTATTAGAATGAGTGGAATAGAAATTGACTTGACTATCTTTTTAATTTATGAACATCTCATTGTCGACTCCAATATCTAGTTTTATAATCAAAATGTATTTATTTTATTACTAAACGTATTTCAGAACTATCGAACCTATTTGAAGATGTTCTTCTATAGAAGTTTAATATTGTTGAATCAGAATAAATTGATTATTGTTTTGTTGTTGTAAAAATATTGTATAGCAAAATATTTTTTTTGTGTATAATACACTTTCATTAGACTATATATCAAAGACAATAGTTCCCATTCTTCTAATTAATTTGTTATTATTTTCTTGCTCCTAGATGTCATTTTTATCGGACCGTCAATATGGTCTTCTTTCTCATCGACGACTTCTTGTTAAATTGAAAAATTCATCATCAATAACACGACGACTAAATATTGACTATTCATTAAATGTTCATCGAGGTTGTGTAAATACAATAGGATGGAATGAACTCGGAACAACAATACTATCTGGTTCCGATGATCAACATTTGATTGTAACAGATCCATTTACAAGAAAAGTATTGACTAAAATCCATAGTGGCCATAGAGGAAACATCTTTTCAGCAAAATTTCTACCAGAAACAAACGATCGACAAGTTATTTCATGTTCAGGTGATGGTGTTATATTCCATACTAATTTTGATCGACCGACTTCCACACGTTCAGTTGAAGGATGTTTTACATGTCATGGGTCAACAACTGCATATGAAGTAAGAGTTATTCCACGTACACCAAATATATTTCTATCATGTGCTGGTATGTTAAGGGGAAAGAGTTTCTTATTTTGCATGTAAAATTGATCTTTTTAATATTGAATTTAGATGATTGTACAATACGATTATATGATTTGAGAACAAAAAGTAATTGTATGAAAGATGATTGTAATGATGATATACTGATAAAAAGTAATTGGGGTATTACATCAATGGATATTAATCCAATAAATCCAAATGAAATTGTTTGTGCTTGTGCAGACTCTGTAAGTTAAAATGAATATCTAATACTTATTTCAATGTGCATACTAACGCTAAATATGACTTATCAATTGCCGAAGTGTTCATAAAAACATTAAGAACAATAATTTCGTATTAAAACATCATGATATTAATCTGTCACTTCACTGCAAATCATTTAGTAATATTTCATTATGTCTAGTATTGATTAAAATTGATTAGAAGCTATTCAAATAAACGTACTAAAGACTAGATGTAGATAAATTGTTTTCATCATCGAAGAAAAATTTAAAGATACGTTTCGGAAAAAGCAAAAATTTCGGATCTTCGTCTACTACGTTTGCTATGAACCAGTCATCATTTAGTGACCTAAAAGCTGGCGAATAATTCGCATGAAAATTTTCGTATTCTAAGCTGTATGATCTCCTTTAGTGTTAAAATTAATAGTTACTATTGATAGAAACTTGATCATCGCATCCTCTACTAAAATAATCATTGCAACTAACCTATTCTATTATAGGAAACAAAAGAGCGAATACAAGGTTGCGTAATTCAGAGAAGTTAATCATTACAAATCTAAACATAAATATCCTCACCAAACCGATGACAAAGAATGACAATTTTAATTAGCTATCCTGAAGATTTTACAATAGAACATAGAATTCATTAGTTTTTCAATATTAATCTCTCATTTTAGTCTGTTCGTCTTTACGATCATCGAAAACTTTCTACTCAAATTTCATCAACAACATCTTCATCTTGTCGATATGAGTCATCAATGAATGGTCTTATATCATATTTTATTCTTTCAGGCAGACAAGAACAACGGCGATCTCGTGTAACATCTGTTGTATTTAATCAACACGGCACAGAAATTTTAGCATCTTATTCATCTGAATCTGTATTTTTACTTGATCCAAAACAATCAATATCGCAAGAACAAATAAAAGAATGTCTTATTGAACATCGAAATAAAAAACTAACAAAATTAAGTATAAATGAAAAGAAACCAACATCAGATAAAATATCCAATGACGAAAATAAAACTTCACACATCAAACGGTTACGCCTTCGAGGTGATTGGAGTGATACTGGTATGTTTTATTTTGTTTTTATGAAAATCTCTCTAAAATAAATATAAATATATTTTGATGTCAAGGTCCAGATGCTCGTCCATCCACCGAAGAAGAACCAACCGAATCGATAATTAATCCATCTGAATCATCAAATGAACAACAATCATCAACAACACCTGGTCATCATCTACAAAACTTTTTTATGCGACGTATGAGTGATATTTTAACACAATTAGTAACACGTACTACATCAGAAACTGGTGAAACAAGTCCAGAAAGAGAAACAACTGCAACTTCAAATAATGTAGAAACGAATGATAATAATATTCAATCTCTTTCAACAACGGAAAATCCTATTGTACAACTACCAGTCTCTATGCAACATTCCACAATAGCTAATACTAACCACCATGACGAAGAAGACAATCTATCTAATGTGAGTTTTATATAGGAAAATATTACATTTTATCTATATTGTTTTTATATCAGTTTTCTAGTGAAAACGATGGATATAACAACGACGATGATGATGACGATAGCAGTATCGATGATGCTGTAAGATTTTAATCTTTTTCTTTCTAGTTGCTAATTTAATCAATAATTTAGGAAGATTTTCGGATATCATCAACAGCAACAACAGCCGACAATGTTCATTTATCAGAACATACATATCGTACACATATTTCTACGAAATGGGATCGTATTAAAAAACGCCGTGACACTGATCGTGCTTATGAAGAAAGTCTTATGAAAAATATTCCTAGTTTAGGTTTACTTAATTCTTATGATGGCCATCGTAATTCACGTACTATGATAAAAGAAGCCAATTTTTGGTCGGATACTTATGTTATTTCGGGCTCTGATTGCGGGTAAGGTTTTTCTTTGCAAAATACTGATGTCTATGAAAGATGTTTTTCAATAGACATATTTTTATATGGAATAAGTTTAATGGAAATATTGTACGGATTATACCAGCTGATGAACACGTTGTTAATTGTGTACAACCTCATCCACTCAATTATCCAATTTTAGCCTCAAGTGGTATTGATTAGTAAGTTTTTCTTTTCCCCTTAGCTAGAAAACAGAATTTGAACTTGAAGGAAACTATTAAATTGATTCGACGCAACGGGTCAATTTTTACACAGTCAATTATTCGTTGGATATTATATTGTATGAAAACATAAAAACGCCATGATTTAGTAGTAGAGATATTCATGATCCATCTACACATCTATTGTGAATGGCGACATTCTATCCACATACATATAAGCTACTTATTTATAGCTATGGAATGATTCTAAACTAATCATAGATGACCACTATCTTGGATTACCCGTCAGATAGGTTGGTGTTTGCTCGAAGCTGAAACAATCTCTTTCTGAGAGATCTTCTATACAGAACTGCCATTAGTATAAGATTTACGGAAGAAATTGGGCTAGTAGTGTTGCTACTAGTCGACATTTCATAAATCAAGAGTATTCTTTTTGCTGTGATATGAGATCATTTTTCAAAGTAGAACTTTGACTTATTCAAGTTACAAATAATATTAAATTTGAATAATTAATTATCCAGTATCATTCGATTTAATGCTATATTAAAAATCTAACTGAACCTTTTATGAATTAAGAACAGCAATGATAATTTTTACCTAGAATTAATATTTACTATATTCTGTTAATCGATACAAGAAATTTGTAAAAGAGCTTACTTTACCCAATAAATTCAAATTTTGGCTTGTTCTATACATTATTTTTCTTTGCTTTAGTAATATAAAAATATTTTCACCTTTGGCTGAAACACCAATCGATGATAGTGATCGCATCGAGCGCACTGTAAAACGTAATCATGCGATGATTGAAGAAACATCAAGTACAATAACAGTTCCGGCTGCTTTTATGCTTCGTATGTTAACATCAATCTATCGATTGCGAAATCAAGAAGGATCGTCTGGAATCGACGATGATGATGATTAAAACCCAGTGACATTGTTTTTATGCTCATTGTTTTTTATGTGTATATGTATGTAAATTATTGTTTAATAAACGAAAGTATAAAATCTACTATGAACAGCTGAATAAACACTAAATAACGAGAAAACTTTCCAAAGGAAAAAGTGCATTGAACCTAAATTCATAGGTTAAATTTCGATATTTTCTGATTGTTCCATTGAATTAAAATATTCTTTAAGCTTTTTCATGTAGAGAACGTTCGTCTGTTGAGAATAAATTAAACAGATATTTTTTCAAGGGATAGATGTTTACCACAGACTGTCAAACACTATACATGAGCGAATGAAACATGATTTACTAATAATAAAAGGAATATTTCCAGTGCGAAACTAGCATATATTTTCTATAGATTATTACTGATGTGTTCAGCCCGAAATTCTTCGAAAGAGAAAGTATTTAGTGGATATAGCATGTTTGAAATTGAATATATTCGTTGTTCGACAATGTCGACTGACTGATCAAGCTACATAAGAAAAAGTATGTTGCAAATCGAAATAATTAATTAATTAATTAATAGCATTCAAGAGTAAATGGATACGACTATTTCCTATCTTTAGGAAGACTTCATATACTGCAGATATCTTAGCCATCAGAATCTAATGATTCGTACAAATCTAAAACAATTAAAATTTTAACTTGATTATTTCTCTGCTGAAAACTTACATCTAATATGAAGGAGTAAGAATGTTAATAGTTTCATTGCAAGATTAGTTAATATAGAAATCTTCACATGTGATGCTAAAAACTGCGCAGAAAAATTGTTACAATATTAAAAAATGAAGAATTCTTGATTTCTATTTCTTACAAATACTTTGACTTTCACGAATGCTATCAAGACGAAAAACAATATATAGCAACAGATATATATATATATATATGACAATAATCGAGTTTACTTGAACTTGTTCGAACCATCTCACAGGCTGAACAGTCCAGCCTGGGAACGGTCGGTTCCGGTTAGTTCCGTTGGTTTTGTGGAAGCAGTATTCCGATTGGAATATTTTCGGTTTTTTTTTTCCGGTGATTTCCGATCAATTTCTGCCGAAAAGTACCGGGATTTGGCAAGAATCCGCCGGAAAAATCTGGCCGTATTTTTGACCGAAATACTGCTTCCATGTTCCAGCGATTTCCCGTGTTTTCCTACAGGATATGGCGACTTTCCCGTATATTTTCTGGAGTATCCTACGGGATCCGGTAGCCGGAATGTGCAGCCGGGGCTGCAAAAGTTTTACAAAACAATAATTATCATTTATTTTTGCAGTAACAGAATTGTTTAATCGATCGTTACATGTCCAACAGATTTTACTAAATTATATTTACGATAAGTAAGATTGATATTATGTGTTTACATCTGATTTGTTGTGTGCGCGTTCAAACAACTAATCGTTTCTTTTATTCTTTTTTTTATGCTCCTATGTTGTATTACACAAGAAGAAAAACAAAGTCATGATGGATTACAAAATAACGGCAAAGATGATCATGATACCAGTTTTCAATTTGCTTAGTTCTTGTAAGCACGACTAGCTCGTCGGCCACGAGCCTTTTCGAATTTACGACCTTTCGCACGAACTTTTGGTCTTGTTGTACTATGGCGAGCGCCAGGTGGTCGACCTCGAATAAAGAAAACAAAAATAGATATTAAAGAATCAAGAAATTCTATCAACATACCAAAGTATCGATTAGCTTTACGAGCTTTTCGTGGACCTTGTAATAAAACTGTATTTTTACCCTTTGGTGAACGAAGTGCTAATTGATCAAAAGTTAAAATTTCACCACCGACTGCAAGAATTCTGGCACGAGCACCTTCCGTAACATGTAAAGCACAAACTGTTAATTTCGGTACTTCATAAAGTCGTGCATCATCAGTAATCGAACCGACAACAACAGCAGTTTTATTTTCACGGCCTTAAGAGAAAATATATAATATTTGAAGTCATTCGTACTTTAATTTACTACTAATAAAATACCTTTCTTTTTCATATGTCGAACAAGTCGTGATAATGAAAGTGGCGGTCGATTGGTATTAGACATAAACAAACGTTTCAATAAAATTTTATTAAACTTTGTACCTGTACGACGTGCCAAAAAACGATAGAGTTTCACGAGTAAAAGTAAATATAAATTTTTTGAACGTGGAGCTCGACGTACTGCCTTACGATCGTAACGATGGTCGAGATCAACACCCATTATAACGGCCGAATGTATATAGATATTATGAAAAAGATCTGAAAGAGAAACAAAAAAAGATATCGGAAAACATTATCAGAAAAAAACAACAACTGATTTTGTGTTTTAATGAATGTGGAAGAAATTAATACATGAATTATACTACAGGATGTAGAGACAGAGAGAGAAACAGAATTAAGTTGTATAAATTCGAAGATTTATTAAGTTAGCTGCATATTGATTCTATGATAAACTTTCCATAGCAACATGTATATGATTATCACCAGTTAAGTAAGTTATTAGCAGAATTTTCAACATGTTTATTAGATATCAAAGTTGATTGATTATTAATTTTAATTGGACGCAACAGACAATTCAAGTTGATATTGACGGATTTTATCCATCAGTTGATAAAGGCGTTTCCTTTGAAAATTTATCTGAGTAGAAGTATATTGTGGACGAAGAAGAGATTTAGCTAATGTTTGTTTATCCTAAAAGCAAAACAGACAAATTTTGATAATAGATAAATTTTTCATTGATATCATACACGATCAAAGAATTCAAAATAAAGCGTCCCTTGTCGTTGTTGTGTTGAGTCGATTAACCATGAGCTACTATTATTATTAGAATCTTCGCTTTCTTTCAATTCATTCACTATCATATCAGCTACATTGCAATAGAAAGATAGAAAACGAAGAAGAATATCTTCTGATTTCGATAATTGATCTATTTTCGATGTAAATAAATTCATAATTGGTTTAAGTTCGACACCCTGGACAGAAATAAATGAAAATATCAAGTTTTTTCTGGCAAAATAATAACAATCATGTTTTTACCGTTATTTTTAGTAAATTTTCAAGATTTAACTTATTGGTTGATAAATTAACGAGAACTTTTCCGGATGATAGAGCTTCATCCTCATAATGAATAGTTGATTCAATCAACAAACCAAGTTCATATATATTACTCATATATTCCTCATGGAGATATTCAAGAACACTCATATTTATCAGTAAAGTAAGTCCATTCACACGAACAAGTGAATTCGATGAACTTAAACGGCATCTGTTGATGACTATAGAAACAATACTCTGAAATAGGAAGAAGACGCAGAAGATTTTAATTATAGCGAAAAGATAAAAAAGAATCATCGAAAACATACTGAAAATTGAGTTATAGCAAAATCATTTAAAGCAAGATTATGAAGAGCTAGAAATATTTTACATTTTGTTTTTTCATTATCTGCATTTAAAAGCATTTTACGAAGATGATTAATGCAACCAGCATTGGCTAAATTTATTTGACCTATATAAAACCGTGAAAAAAAACTATTTATCCAATGAAAAATTTATTTACTTTCTTTGAATGTTGATGCATTTGCAATACTCGTTAAAACATAATGCAACTGTTCTTCATCATTATTACATTCACAAAGAAAATGAGTAAGAATAGAAGCTTGATCAGGGGTTAATGGAACACTCCCATCAGGAATTTGTCTTCCATCTGAACGATTTTAATTCTTCATTTTTAGATATATATGTGTCTGAGCAAATAAATAAAATAAAATAATTACGTGGAAATTCTATGGATTCCGAATCATCGTTATCAATTTCAGATGGAGAAATCCTATGAGCATACTGATCATCATGATAGGGTCTCAATGATGGAAGTAGTAATGTTGGTGTTAAAGGTCGGCTTGGTTTAGATACTGAATAATAGATATTAAAAACAGATTAGTAAAATAAAGTTTGAAAATAATCATTTACATGCACTTTGTCGTTGATGACGATAAATTAGATAAAAACCTATACCGGTACAAACACCAACTGATACGCCCAAACCGATATAAAGTTTTTGTCGATTGGGCATTGTATCAACAACTGACACCGGAATCGAATACTGATCATTATGAAACTATTTCAATTTGAAAAATAAATAGTAAACAAACTAGTTATTCCATAAATTACCGAATTGTATAAGGAGAAAAAAACATATAGATATATATATAATTCATACTTGCCCCTTACTTCAATATATTTATAGATGTCGCGAATACACAATAGTAGCTAGCTAAGATGTGGAGTTCAATATAGAAAGCGATTGTTGAGATATACAAGTTATCAAATAGAATACTTCGTTCTATACATGAGAAACAGCGATGGTAAATAGAAAAGTTCTAACAGGTATGATATTAAATCATAGCTACTAATATTCTTACAAGTAGCCATCAAAATCTCATTCAACTGCAGGAGGATTTCTATTGAAGTACGAATGAACAACATGCGATTCAGTGAACTAAAGTATTAATCAGTTAAGAACATTTAAAAAACTGCTAGGTATCTCTAGTATATTTTTCATGTATAACCAGTGTTCTTCGACAACGACTGAGTTCCAAATTGAAAAAGATAATAGAAAAATAATTCATATTGATTATTAGTCTAGATTTTTATAAGAACCGGTTGTTAATCGAAGGTGGACATCTCAACTCAAAAAGATATTCAATTCGATCATGTATTATTTCCAACTAAGGTATCTAGTTATGTCGTTCATGCTTCATTTTACATTATTTTAACTCAATAATCATATAAAATCGTTCACATCTCTTAGGAACAGGATTTCTTTCATCGATATTATATTAGAGAGAGGAGTTCGCAATGTAAGAAATAGAAAATAAAGTTTTACATACAATGATAAAAGATGTCGCTGAAAAACGTCACTTAAACTAGATGATAACGTAAAGCCCAATCAATGGTAGTGTGACGTTTACTACTCTTTTTTGAAAAAGATATCAGACCAATTTTTATTTAGGCAAGGATTAAAGTAAAATTACAAATATTATATTGATAATTATGTTCTTATTGTACTACTTGTTCATAACATAATTATTTAAAATGTTAAATCATATCCTTTTATCGTAATTATTAATTTTTTAAAAGAAATTTTTGACAGATTATGCTGTCAATTTTGTTTGAATCATTTATTGTTATCATTTATTTTATACCACTATCATCTCATATGAATATATTGAAAGATTCTCTATTTTCTTCATCGAATAAAAGAAAACTTACAAGACCTACTCAAAATCGATTCAGAAACTACGGATTTCGTCAAGCAAACAATTCTCTAATTGATCCACTTCTATATACGTTTGAAAATGCTGATATTGAATTGGACACAATGGAATCTGATGAAGAATCAAAATCAAATGACGAGCATAATGTTAGAACTCGTTATTCACGACAAAGCTGCTTGACGCCGTCTGCACATGATGCTGGTTCCATTGTTATAGTTGAAAAACCTGTATTACCAAATGAAACTATTCAAGCATTCGCTATTCGATATCGTGTACACGTATGTTTCATTTACGATTTGTTGAGAAAAATAAACATTATTCTTTTTGTTATCTTTCAGGTTTCTCAATTGAGACGTATAAATAATTTACAAAATGATCAAGAATTTTATGCTTTAACTTATTGTCGTGTACCCGTAAGTCGTTTTGGTTTACTACACGAATATTCAGAATCATCATCGACATTAGTTGATTTACATGAACAATCAAGAATATCATTACCTGTCACTCATCTTTCTCAACAAAATCATCTCGCTTTTTTAAATGCGATGGATCAAGACTTGGCATTAATGCGTACCAAAGTTGAACAATTAATTGAAGGATCATCAACAACAACAGCAGCAGCAGCAGCAGTAGTACCATCGTCATTAGATAGTAGTGGAGTGAAAACTTCAACAAGTGCATTGAATTGTGATGAAACGGATTATGGTTGCAAATCTTGGCATATTATAGTTATTATCATCGTTATTGCTCTTATACCAATTATTTGTGCTTATTTTTATATCAAATCATTGCATAGTAAATGAGAAGTTACGACCTTGTTATTTTTCTATTTTGTTTTTCGAATTGACGACAAGAAGTATCACATGGATAATACATTTAACGTTTCAAGTATGCTTGAATGGCATTAATTTATCGCTTTAGAAAGCTTTAAAATGCATAGAATTCGAAATATACTCTAGAAAAGGAATCATAAACCTTTTTTGGCACAGGAGTGCACTGATATCTCTGCCAGTTTCTTTATTTTATTTTCAACTCAACGAATCAAAATTTGAAAAGGATTATGACAACAGAATAATAGGAAGATTTGAAATGGATGAGGAAACTACTTCAACTATCATTTACCACTTGAACACCTATTGAGTCTACTAGTTAGTCTTGATAAGAATACAAAATCTCAAATAAATAGGTCTCTAGAACCAATTAATAGCAATTCTAGTAACTTCACTCAAAACATTTGCTGAAAAAGCACAACTCTAGAATTTTGTTCATGAATAGCTTCTTGTTGTAGACATGCTGCAAACACCGAGTTCACTACATGTTCTTCTACGCTGAAGCTTTTAAGATATTCTGAAGGTAATTCAAATCCAATCAGAGACGAGCTCATTGGTCAGAAGTTCATTATTTGACTTTTTCCAGTCGATAAGTCTATGATGAGCTATAGCAATGACATATTTCACCACTATGTGACAGTGCTCTCTATCTCTACATAATACATTATCACTGATTGTGAACAATTTAACTTACGATACTCTATTGAAAATATATTTACATTAATAATACTGCATGTAAAACTGTTTATGTCAAAGAGTAACAATCTCTATTAAATTATAATCATGTGTAAACAAGTACTGTGTTATTCATTTACAAATGACATATCTCAAAATGAAATCAGCTATGCTGAATAAATATGCACTGAAGATGTATAACAAAAAAGTCATCTATTAGTTCTAATTGCACACAAATAAGTAGATATTTAAAAAACGTTAATCACAATGTCTTGAGTGTAATCAATTTATTTTCAGTTTAATAAAGTTTTACTATTTAAAATTCTATATTGCATATAAACTACAAATCAAAATAGGAAATCGAATCAATTTTATTGAATATCAAAAGTAATTGATGTAAGCTACTTTTGTTTTAGTTTTGGCACAGAGAGTCGAATTCATGTAGTGGATTGAGAAAAAAAATCAGTCAAGTAAGTCCCTTTTTTATAAACACTTTAATTGCTAAGCGTTTTACTTTTCAACTATTTGAAAGAAGAAATACGTTACTAATATAGAAACTATTCTTTCAAGACACTCAACTTGTTCATCATGAATCTATGTCAAGAATTTCAGGCGTAACTCTAATAAGCATTGATAGAAGAAAACATTCTTTTATGTAAAAATAAACTTGAATTCAGGTCAGTAACTTTGTTCGATTAGTCTATTTTGTAAAACTCGCAATCTTAAAATAGTGCATGTTTATAAACAAGTTGTTTTAAACACATTTTTATTTTTACAATATTTTGTCTTTTTGCCTTGGATCTAACAGAATTATTCTTGCTATTTGGAGTTTTTGTAACTAAGTATAAGGCAATAGTAAAAAGTAAATGTAACCATAAGTTTTTAAATTATTATAGTGGATCATACGAAAATACATTTGTTCTCTAGATTTATCCATGCAGCAGTCTAGTATATTCAAATAAGAAATATAAATTCGATGGAAATCTTCAATGCTATTGGAGGAAACTTGCTCTGTATTTAGATTTTGACAAGAATCTGTTTTTATCCTAGAAAACAAATCGTAGTTCTGGATAAAATTCCAAAAACTATTCTACACGGAAAGGAACCCGTTTATTCTTTGTAATGGATGTCCTAGCTTATATGAGGCTGTATATTTTATCATGGTGTAATGTTTTTTGTTGGTAATTGAGAGTAGTTTAACTTTAAACTTATAATCTTATTAAAATGATACTCATTGGCCTTCGTAGATTATCTTACTGATATGAACATTCATATGTGTCATCATTTTAAACTTGTCAAATGACCATCTTCTTCTACAACTGTAGATTTAGTTCGATTGTAAGTAAATATCCAAGAGTTTATGAAACTCATTTAATGAATCATAGTGATACGGAATGTTATATTTGGAAAAATAATATAGATTCTTTTTCAGTTGCTTGCTAACTATAAGCGTTTCTTTTTTGCAGTCGTGTAAGCCTTTTTCTTCTGCACATCAGAAATCTAATCTATTGACATACGAGTTTTTTTTATACAACATTCAATTGCTCTCGCCTGTAAAAATATGTACAGTCTATATAGACCGAATTTCGCACTCAAAACATTTCTTAGAATTCGTATATTTGCCTTTCAACTAATTAATCGAGTTGCAATCGCAATTTCCTTCATAGAAAATGACTCTAAAAATTGGAAAATTCGTCCTATTTTCAGTGTTGCTTCTGAAATTATCTTATTATTGTCAATAGTTCGGAATATGTTGACTATATTCACAAATTTCAGAGAGCAATCTTTCGAATCATTCTATATCTATGCGAATGAATTTTGACAAATTCATATATATTTCGTATTAGCATGTAAGCAGCATTATGCTGAATCTATTATCTTTTATATTAATAGCGTAAGTGAATGAGTAGAAACACAATGGACGTGCTTCTATATAAATAATTAGATTGGAAATTTCATATATAATTCTGTTCTTGTAGTTATTTTATTTACTTTTTCTGTTTTTTGTTAACCGTTTAAGCAACAAAATAGAACAGCTCAATAGAAAATTTTATTTTCAAAATATATACCCACGACTGCATTTAACTTACTAGAAGCAGACAAATATATAAAAACAGACGTTCAAACAAAAACTGAAGAACACAAAAATTTTATCAACGACATTTTGTCTGCTTTTTTCATAAGACAGGATTCTGTCTACATATATTTTAATATAAAATCAAGATGAATTGTTGTTTTGGCAAGAATCTTATATCGGAAGTTGTATAAGAGAATCTTGACTTACGATCAGGAATATGGAAAGAATAATCTCACGAGTGTTTATCAGTGTTTTATGAATGAATAAAGACGAAGAAAAAAAACGATATCAATATTATTTACATCAAGCAATCCATAGTTGATACATATTACAAAACATCGGAGTACAAAAATCACTAGTTGGTTGTTAAACACGGTTGTCAGAGTTTTACAAATTATTACTATAATCGTTTTCTTTCGGCAAAATACTCTACAGTTTCACGTTAGTCAAAGATATTTTGAAGATAATAATAGTAGAAAATATTAAGTCTATATCGATCAAACATGACAGGTGATAAACGTCACTAGCACTCCAAAGTGCGTTACCTATTTTCGTAATAGTTAGTCGATTTACATGTCAAAAGCAAATTCAAAACTCGATGTAATGTCTCTGCTATAGATTCACGTTATGCATTGTTTCTATAGAGAACTTTTCTCTCGTCTTCAACTCTTTCTTTTGTTTATCGAATGACATGTAAGAGTATGACAAACTATTGATGTTTTCCTTTTTTCCTCTCAATATGATGTAGTTTGTTCGCACATAAACTATGATGACAGTTATGTTAGAACACTCTATTTAAATTATGGCAGAAGTGATCAACCCTGGTGTATGTAATATTCTATAGGTTTTTGAAAGTTCTACAAAATGACTTTTCTGAGTTAAGACTGATTTGTGTCCAAGATAGTTTAGTTAAATGAACCGCGTTTGGAGATAATACAAAAAAAGTATTCCCTTTTTGACAGATACTATACGAGTTTCGATGTAAAATCAGTGTGTTTCCTAGCAAAATGAACGACATAAATTGAATCAGCGTAAAAATCTCGGTCGATTTGTAAAAATTGCAAAGTTTTCCAACAGCTTATATTTTAGTCACAAACCTCAATCCTAGTCTTGCTTTAGATAGCTTTGAAATATGAAACCAGTGAAAAAAGCAATTGCATTAATTTATTTATTTCTCATTCGAGATTTTCCTATATTTATAAACATTTTGAGAATGTTTTTCAAAATTAAATACAGGTTTTGCTTGATTTTATTTGTTGACGTAACTCTCTAATGAACTTGGGCTGATGATGAAATCAAAATGAAAGTTGACATAGGGCTTTCCGACATATCTAGACCATTTCGCTCGTTATTCCGATTCCGAATGTACTGTTGACTTTAACAAAACATACACGTTGCTCGTGATCAATTTCTATCAAATATCAGTGGAAAGTTGGAATTTTTCGAACGCATGAATATGATATTGATTAATAAAATATCTTGGCCTTGCATGATTTAACAAGAAAAAGCATTTGCATGACTTTCATCATACTTTTGTTTGTTTTTTACAAAGGAACATCTTCATCTAATACGGAAATAAGGAAATATAACAATGTGCTGGCTTATTTCCACATTCTATTCAATAGATAAAAGACGGGTTGAAGACGAATAAGAAAGTTTTCATACAAAACAAACCATAGCCTCAATCTATGACGAATCGACAAAACTGAATTTTCAGTTAACGGTGCGCATTGACAATAAAGTCGCAATTGTCTAATTTGATCAAGGCGCCATTTCTTTTATATATGAATCAATTATTGGGGAAAATAGTAAACTAATATTTAAGAGGAAGCTATTTTCATCGATTAATGATACACTCTTTTGATTTTCTCATCGGTGACATAACTATTATAGTCATTATGGAATATGAAATAAAACTACCAAGTTAAATACAAGATTGAATAAAATAACTGAAACTATCACACATACTATCAAACATAGTAGCAACAACTAAAAACCATATTAATCCCTTAGAGTAATGTACTAATAGGATTATCAATCACATTAGAATAATCATGCAGATTAAAAGAAAAGCAACAATATGGGTACGCATGCAAAAATATAATCTATTTGATGACATATGAGAAAGATCTAACGGCATATGATAGCATTGATTTTCTATGTAAAACTGGCTGATAGAAAACTCCGTTGAGATTGTTATGCATGAAATTGTATCGTATCTGCATAGATATTAAGCTCTGTCTAATTTTGATCTTATTCAAATGAAGAAAACAACAACAACAACAACAACACATGATTTGTTTATCCGAGAAATATTCAGATGAATTCTGTGTTAGAAGCAATGGCATCCGACAGATAAACAAGTCAGTTACTTCTGAATAGAAATCATCATCGAATTTACACTGTATTCATGCATTTATTACACATACAACTGTAGAATTCATAAACTCATTTGACGTGTTATATTGAAATTAAAATTATATAAGACTGAACGGTTTCAAGGAGTTCTTTATGGTAATACGATAATGCAAGCATTGGGAGAAAAAGAAACATAATGGTTCTGCTATGTAAGTCGTACCAGTATTTTTTTTTATAACTCATAATATCATACTGCCGTTTCATTCAATACTCAGATATTTAAAAAAAAATTAAAACTAATCAAAAATAATAATTGAAGATTTTGTATCAAAAACAATCCTGTCAACAAGCATTTGATTTTCTATATCAAAGTTGATCTATTATTCAAAAGTATAATAGTAAAATGAAAAGATTTAATTAACTCTTTGATCATGAAAAGAATGAACTTGATCCCTTAATTAAATCAGTACCATTGATTTAAATTCGTTGATAACCAACACCATTACCTCAGAAAAGAGATCGAATTAATAGATGAAAGTTTCATATGCCTTTACATACTATATTACAGCAGTATTTTTGACTGATACAAAAAATATTATATATTCTTATACCTGGTGGCGCAAAAGTTTTGCGACATTTTTTCTCTTGCAAACTATTCTGATACACAAATAACACACGATTCTAAAGTTCTCATCAGCAGATACAGAATTCAATTCTCTACAAACTCATGTTAACTTTAATTTAAAACAATGAACCAAAAAAGATTTATTGGTTAATGTATGTGACTCATCCAATAACAATTTTCCTACACAATCTTTTATTTATTTCCAATGTTCTTTTCAAATTCTAAGAATGCATCTAAGAAGCTCGATTTCTTGTAATTGGATTCCGCATCATGAGCATTTTCAGGAATGCCTATAAGTGTTTGAGAATAATCTATATGGGTATAAAAAAAAGTCACCTGAGTGAATATCTACAGCACAAATAGCTTTTTTCATAGGATTTAAATCTTTTTTAGCTGATCCACTTAAATAAAGTCTTATCTGAGCGTCTCATAACCAGAAAAAATCAATTCTCTATTAAATTCTGATANGAAAGAACGAAACATTAATGAAAAGATAGTAGCACCATCTATCAAAGCGGTTGTTTCGCTCATAACTTTGAAACCGAGCAGCAATGGCACGAACCCTTTCACATATGTCATATATATGATGAACCCTACAAACCAGCAAAAAATGATTTTATTCTATTTGCGTCTGGTCTTTCAGTCATGATAATGAGAAACTTTCAATTCCTAATGATCTTAGAGTAAATTGAATAAAAATTATTTTCTTTTTTAATTGATAGGCATATATTGCATGACTGTATTTCTCTAATGTTCAAAATCAAAATACATCGAATACTATAGTCAAATTGAAATCATGATAACTTTTGTTTTATTCACACTATTCTTTGTCGTTCGTTTTTTTTGGTGACATCAAATTTAACGGAATTATCTTCACTGTAGTACTATTTCTGCTGCAAAAAAATAATAAATGTTACCTACTGAAAATTGTACGATTTTAATTTATCATAATGATATTCTTCGCCTGATCTAGAAACGCTAAAGGAGTCCTATATAATATCCTCGTGTATACAGTACTTAATATTTGATTGAACTGTTCAATAGCTTAGTTTCAATGATCACTGCTTGTAGCAATACCATAGCTATTAGACGTTCAATGTTTTAACTATACTTTCTAGATAATAATTATTGGATACAGATGGATTTAAGTAGAAACAAAGAATAGATTTTTATTTTACAGGATATTTATTTTTCAATAAAATTATAAAATATTAAAAACATCTTTTTTTGAATTGACGATTTCTTTATATTCTAATAGTTTTGTTGTTGTTGTTGTTGTTGTTGTTGTTCTAGCATGTTCAACATTCGTGGATTATTAAGAATAGTATGTCGTTGTCGATTGAGTCTTGCATCCATTTCAGCAAATATTTCACTTGGTGCACGCATATCAAAAAATGTTCCACCTGATGAAGCTAATATCATTTCAGGTGGAATACTTCCACCACTAACAGTGATAACTTGTGTTGGCTGTTGCATGGTACCATCGGGATTTCTTTGTTTGGATGTCATAGAATCAATTGCTTGCATTGGATTATTATAACCAAAAAAGTCATCACGACGAGCAACATCGAACGATGAAGGTAAATTTGAAATAGCAGGATCTGTATACGGAACAGTAGCCATCTTTATGTTACCTGAAGTAAAAGCGTCTCTTAAATGAGATATATATTTTTTACTGTTGATTATGCTTGAGCGATTACACGTTGACAAAACCCATAGAAAAGAATAATTGTACATACATATATATATATATTGCATTTGAATAGGATGAGTCAACTGATTTACATACCTCGTATGATCGAGAATATTCTTTAACGAATGTTACTACTTCGTAAATAACTACTTTCTAGATTGCTCTGGAATATACTTCCATATATTAGCCGATTGTAAAAATTTCATCATCGAAAACATTTTATCCATGATTGAGAAGGAATGGGTAGCTATCAACTAGTTTGATGCTGATTTTGAAATTTCAATTAATAGATACGAAACGAAGATTAACTTCATTTCTAAACTTTATCTTCGCATAAAATTTATCTCATCATTTATTTCATTTTCTTCGAATCCATCTGAAAAGCGCATTTCGTAATTCGCAATAGTTCTCAAAATTAGCGTACTAGTTAATCATATCTATAGAGTTACTATATAGAGATATTCTTGAGATTCAGTGTGTCTATCGTGAAAATTGATGAGAGAAAATAAATATTTCACAAGACTAAGGAGCAAACAAATCACTCACTCATCGTTATAAACATGTGTCGATACTTGTCCTATAACTTTTCCTTACAATATTATCGTTACAAAAACAAGAAGCTATGAATTATATTCTTTTTTTCTTGTTGGTTAGTGGTTTTACAAATCAAAAATATTTTTCCTACAAAATATGTAGCTACAATAAATCAATGCGATCATCATGTTTCTTTAGAAACGCATGTTTTTTAATAGTCTATAACTATCATTTTTGCTGCTGAAAACTCAATCTTGATTAGAGAAAAACACGAACAATGTTTTTTTTGACTGAATCTCGCTATTCTAGAATGAATTCGTATCACATTTTAATAAAAAATTTCCGCGCACGCGTTTTTATCTGACGACTAGTATTGTGACATATTTTCTCTTTTGAATTGTGACTTGACAGAATATTCTATTAAAATCATGGAGAATATTCAACCACGAACTTATATTTCTAGTACGACCATTGTTTTGTACGCATATTTCTATTTTTTCTGTGTAATATATTTTCTATAGCCTCTTTGAACTTATAGTGATCATACACAATATGCAATACAATAAATCAAAATTATATTCCTATTTGCTATTCTATCGATTCATTCACAAAAGAAAGGCTTTCTACTGTTTATGCATCGTTGATATAATCATCGCCAATCATTGTAACATAAACGCATCGGTTTATACGATTTATTTTTATTGAAAAGAAAAGAAAAAAAGATCATTTATTGTCCCATCCATCTGAACTTTTTATATTAGTTTGTCGTCGTTTGAATTCATTTTTAAAATCATTACCAAGATAATCAAGATCTTTTTCATCTCGAATAACACCCTATAAAAATAAACGTAAAATCGATGTGTTATTTTTGAGCCGTTAGTCTTGTTTTTCTTACTTTTGGTAAGTATCCCAATAAACGATGAGCATGTTCACGAAGTAATTTAATACGTTCTTCTTCGATAATTTCCTTACGAACTTGTTCAATACGTTCAGCTTCAACACGTTCATTAACTTCACGTTGCTAAATAAATTAGTCTTTAAATTATTGTCTGACTAATGCAAACAATACAAACTTTGTCAACTGTCATTTGACGACGACGTTCTTCAAGTAAACCATCAACAGCTCGTTTATGTTCTACTTGTTTCATACGACGTTTCTGAGCATTCATTTGTTCAATACGATCATCTTCAGCAAATTTTACCATTAACTAAACATATCAAACGAAAAAGAAATATTTCGAGTAAATCACAATTTTTTCTATCAAACTTGTTGTCGAAATCTGTCTTCTTCTTGTTTAACTTCTTCATCGCGTAAACGTTTAAATTGTACTTGTTCATCTCGTTCACGTTGCAATTCAAGACGTTGTCGTATACGTGCTTCCATTTCATCGCGTTCGCGTCTTCGTACAGCTTGCTCTTGTTCCTCCAAATATAATTCTTGTCGAACTAATTCTTGTTCTTCGCGTTCTTCGCGATCACGTTTTATTTGATCGGCTAATGCACGTTGAACTTTATCTAATGCTTGCTCGCGTGCACGTTTTTCAGCTTTCGCTACTTCTTCTCGTTGTTCTTGAGTCTTAGCATATTCTTTGATACGAACATTTTCTTCTTCCATACGATGACGTTCCATAGCTTTCCATTCTTCACGTTTACGTTTAAATTCAACGATAAATTCGCGTGTAGCACGTTGTCGTTCCAATTTACGTTCCATTTCACTATATTGAAAGAAAAAATAATAATAATAAAGATTTTGTAATTAGAAACAAAGATTTATCGTAAAACATTATGGAAATATTCGATCTTTGTCATACTATTTTCTCTGTATAACAGTAACTTTTACAAATATGAAACAAACGAAACCTAACTATAATAAATTTGATTTTATCTATTTGTTAAATCTGAACAGTTCTCAATAAAAACTGTACGAATAAAGAGAAATTTATTAATAACTACTCAATTTGCATAGATGCTCTCAGTTGTCGTTGTGAAACAAGATTTTGCTTTTAATTAAATGACGAAAAGACCTATTTAATTATAAATTAGGTTTTGAGAAAAGTCCTTTTAGGCCAAAAATATTTTATGACAATGCAAATACGAGAGAAACAACCACACTTACCGTTGGTCTTCTTCATAAATCTTTCTAACAATTTCATCAATAACCAGTTTTTCTCGTAGAAATTCTTCATAAGCTTTTTGTTTGCTAATTTCACGTTCTTCAAGTTGTCGTTCAAGTTCTTGCTTATAGCGTACCATTTCTTGTTGCCGAAGGACTTCACGTTGACGACGTTCTTGTTCAGCCTTGTCTGTTTCACTACGCATACGTCGCGCTATTTCAGCATCTTCTAAGAATGAATCAAATTTCAATGCTTCTTTTTCAGCCATTTGTGCAGTGCGTTCTTTTTGAACATAAGCAGCACGTAATTTTGATTCTAATTCACGTAATTCATAGCTTGTTTCACTAGAAAAATAAACAAGAAAACAAATAAATTCTATAAAAAAAAAGAACAATTTTCATCTTTCATTTATACCGAATTTGTTGTCGCATTTTTTCATCCCGTAATTTTTCATGTTTTATACGTTCAAGTTCCGTAGCTAAACGTTCTTCTTGACTTCGTGTTTCGGCAGCTGATTTCTTCTCAGTTTGTGCTCTTATAATAGATTCTTCCATGGCTCGATCACGTTCGACACGTGCTTGTTCACGTATATTTCGTTTAGTAGAAGCTTTTGCTTCAAATTCTTGCATTTCAGTTTCAATACGACCTTGGGCTAGTTGTCGTTCACGTAAAGTTCGATCCGCTTCTTGTTCACGTCGAGCATTTTGATTAGCAGTCCAACTAGTTGTACCACTACTACCACCTTGTTGTTTGTGTAGTTGGCGAGTTAAAGCCTACATAAAACGAAATTTTGTTTAAAAGAATTGAAAAATCAAAATGCTTTACCATTCTTTCCAAATAAACAAGATTTGATTGGATTTATCAGATACTAATTTTACAGTGATTATGCCGTTGTTCGGCAAGGCAACTTCAAAAAAAAGAAAAGAAAGACAATAAACGTTGTGTCCATTTTTGAATCCCGTTCTATGACAATTACCTCTCAATATAATGTTGTTATTTTTTAGATTTTGCTTCATTTTGAAAATATTGAAACATAAACGTAGAAATTAATATCATTTTTTATCAATACTCTTCATTAAAATGCTAAAGCCTTGATATAGATGTCGGTAGGTATGAATATCTAAAGTTATGCATACAGAAATTCTACATATTACCTGTCTACTGAAAACTTCTTGAGCTACGATAATTAATAGAGAGTAATCTGAGATTTTTTGAGAACAATAGTAGTTGAATTATTCACTATTGTATTTTATTTCAAAGCATTTTAGCAATCGTATTCAAAGTAGAAATAGGATGTTCTCAAGTTCCTGAGAATCAGTTAGTTTTATATTTTGGAGATACATTTAAACAATGAAAAGATGGATTTAGTTCAGTTATGAAGAAATAAAACAAGGCAAGTCTTTGTCTGTTGTACACTCGAAATATTTGAAATTTGACTACAGAAGCCTTTTAACAAGGTTACAGTATGACTTTAAATATCGAGCACATTTTTCTCATTTTGAAGCAAAAGAAAAGAGAATGTTCATTTATATCGCTGTTAGTCTATATCTACGTCTATTCCATTGCTTAACGATAGAATGAAAAATTTCTTAGACATTTATATCATGTACACAAGACTCTATCAAGTATTTAACTAATGGTAGTCATTAGTGAATAAGACTATCAGTAAAGTTTTGAATAGATTATAAGATTAAAAATAACAGAATCTAACAGTAAATTTTATAGCCTTAATTTCACTAGTCTCATCAAACTTGAGCAGTAGACAAATATTTCAGCTCATCATTGGCAGTAACAATACACAATCAAAACAGAAAAAAGGTTTTCTGCAAAAGTTTCACGCTTTCATATACGAGTTTTTCTTATGTTTACTTTTTGTAGAAAACATAATTGTTAAAACTAAGTGGCACACATGAAAATGTTTCTTGCCATCCTAAATAATAGCTCATATTTTATACTGTCTGAAATATTTTGCTAATAATTGCCTAGTTTATATAGATTTTGTTTTTAACAGAAATTATTCACACACGATAACAAAGGATGTGAAAAATAATAATAGTAAGCAAAGAATCAAAAAAAAATTGTCATTTCTTTTGGATAACTTGTATTTTCGTATGAAAGTTTGAGACGCACTGTTTTTTAAGATTTGTTTGTTGCTTTTTTCGCTTGAACCATTCTAGCTAATTCTTTATAACGTTCTAAACATTCTTTTTTAGTTCTTGACGGTAAACTTTCAGCTATTTGATCCCATCGTGATGCACCTAATGTTGCTGGATATGTTCTTAATGCTTGTTCAAATATACGTTGTTCATCAACTGACCATGGTGTTGTGACATCATCACGTTCGCTAACTTCTAGTTGGCTAAGTTTAGCTTGATTTTCTAACATTGATGTTTGTTTATGTGAATTGAGCGCAATATTTTCTAATGATGATATTGTTTCTGCAACTTCTTTTTTCCCACTACCAATATCTTTTGCTTTTTGCATTATATCTTGTGCTGTACGATTCGGATTTCCACCACTACGTTTCAGATATTCTTGTACAACTAACCAACGATTTTGTACACCAGCTGGATATATTCGCAGTGCTTTAACAAGTAATTCGATGTCTTCTGTGGTCCATTTTATTTTTGAATTTGAATTTGATGCTGATGCTGATGAAGACGATGAAGATTGTTGAGATGATTCTAAACGTGATTGATGCATTTGTTCTTCCATTTTTCTCACTTCGGAAAGAACAATTGAAGATTGATCTGCATTTTCTTCTTTTAATTTCTCATTCAATGCTTTCAAATCGTCAATAGAAAGATGTTCAATTAATGTTTCAATTTGTTCAATCTGTTTTAGATTTTTAGGTGCAGCAGCATCATTGAAATAATTAGATTCTTTACATAAATCTCGGAATTGTTTCTTTTCTTTTCTGAAAAAAGAAAGATGAACCATAAAGTCTACTCTCTACAATAGCAGATATTTTCGTATGAGTGAAAAGTGGACTGTTGCAGACCGTGCGTTGGATCTTTGAAACTCAAATATTAATTTAAATATTTAGTTGTATTCACAGTCCTTAATTTCAATGGTTGCTTTTAGGATCGATTTGGTCATTGAATTTAAAAAAGGAACATTACATCATCTCTACATGTAACACTGCTATTGAAAACATCGAATATTTATGTACTAATGGAAGAGTTTGTCTAAAGAAAGTAAAAATGAGTTTCTTATTAACTTTTGAGATATCGCACACCGTTGAGATCGGAAAAATCGATAAAGAGTTTTTTTTATAGATTCTAAATTTTTCAATCCTAATTATTTCATCTAGGTCACAAATCATCATTTTTCTTTTTCTCAACTTATTTGATATGAAATCGAAACTAAATCAAGCTTCCCATCTGATTTAAAATATCGACGTAATAAGTCCTATACACTTGGTAGTATACATTGGAGTATAATACCGAAAATCTAATTTAACATGGGTACAAATAATTTATCTAGATTCGAACTCAAAAAACAAATTTTTTATTGACATACTTAATTAATTTTTTTTGGGCGTCTTTTTCACGTTTAACTTCATCTTGTTTACGTTTTGCTTCTGCGTCTACACGTTGTTTCTCTTCAGCAATACGATTTGCTTCGTCAATTTCTTTTTGTTTTTGTTCTTGTCGTCTTTTATCAATTTCTTGTTTACGACGCAGTTTTTCATCATCTTTTCGTTGTTGTTCTTCCTTTTTCTGTCTTTTTATACGTGGATCAAGTGCATAAGCACGGTCAACTAAATTTCTTAGACGTGTTGTTTCGGTTTTCTTACGTTTTTGTCTTTCACCACGATTCAATTTTTCAATATAGCGTCGTTCATCACGATCTTGCCCTTGAGATTTATCTTCTTCATCTATAGAAAAATGTATTACTTTAAATCTAATATAACTTTCGTTGAATATTTACCCAAAAATGAATATTCACGCCAAGAAACAAAATCATACCAAAATCGATAAAATCTATCGACTTGTTCAAATGATGTATCATCATTTCCTAATAATGGTACATGTTGATGTATAGACCAGCGTGCATTACGTTCAAAAACAGGCCCAAATAGTTGGTAGAAATTATCAGTTGTTGTCGGATTTGGTATTGAATCATCGAACTTTGGATCAATACTATCATATGATCGTCTTAATGTTGGATTCGATAATAGTTCAAAAGCATGAGTTATTAATGAAAAACGTTCACTTTCAATACGTTTAGATTTATCTGGATGATAACGTAATATCATTAATTTGTGCGCATTACGTACTTGTTTTTGTGTTGCTTTATAACGTAATTTCGATAAACCTAACACTTTATAATGATCTTGATTTTTCCAATCGCCTAAATCAAGTTTACGTAAATAAGATTCATGTTTATTCCAGTCAATATCAATTTGATCGTTTTCTTTTTCATCATCTTCGTCACCGTCACCATCGCTATCACTTATTTCGGCTTTTTGGTCGTCAGTTATTATTAAATGTGAACGAAAATAACGTGAACCAACGCGTTCATAATTATTTTTATCCTTCAAAAGAAAAAAGAACATTAAATTTAGCTTTAAATAATTCTATTGAAAAACACTTTTTAATTCTACCAAAATAGAGGAATTTTTTGAAGAATTTCTTGAATGACAAAGGAACTTGAAAGATTAGTTATTGTGAAGTTCATTTTCTTCCAAAATTAACCGAATTCATGATTCTATAGCAGTTTTACAGTAAGAAGTCGTTAGTTTAATCTTGCATATACAGAAAATATGCAAAAATCAAAGTTTTAAAATATGATTCAAAATAAATTTTTAAACGAAAAGCCCTTTTATATGACTTACATTTTATGATAGATAGATAGATAGTACTCTCAAGCTAATTTTCGCAACATATAAAATACATACCGTTGACAATTGAATTTTAGCATATTTATTTTCAATATAACACTAAAAACGATAAATAAAGATTGAAAATAGATTATATCTTCTTAATATGAAAGATATGTATACTTGTCGTGCTGCACCAAGTGCAATGACTTCATCACCAGTGATCGATGAAAGCATGTCAGCATTAGGTAGTCTATCTTGAATAGCATCACGTAGTTTAGGAATTTTTGTACCACCACCACATAAAACAATCTAAAGAAAAATGATTAAAATTATGATCAAAAGACTCATCGAAAGGATCTTTACCAATTTAATGTCATCGGGTTGTAATTGTGCTTTATCCATTACAATATCAATAGGTTTTAGACAATTATTAATTAAAGAATTAGCTACACCGTCAAAACGAAGTCTTGAAAATAAAGCAAAAATAAAAATCCATATAAAATTGAAAAAAATCATGGTTTCAAACCTGCTAATATTAGAATCAAGGTCAATACCATCATATAATGCGTCAATCGAACATTGAGTTACAGGTGTTGTTGATAGGACATGTTTAGCTTGTTCAGAACAAGCACGAAGTTTAAGTAATGATCTTTGTGATAATCTTGGATCACTTTTGTTCTTTCTAAATAATGACGAAAGAAAGAAAAATAAATTAAAATTCTTTTTTTCAAAAAGATAAAAAGAAAAGAATTTACTTTTGAAATTCATCCGCTATCACATCTATTATAAGATCGGTAAAATCATCACCACTGTTTTCAAATCCATCAACTGAAGCAATTGTTTGAAGACATCCACCAGCTGTTCGTATTATCGAACATTCATAAGTTGAGCCACCAAGACGATACACGAGAATATTACTAAGATAAATTTTATATAATAAGTTTTCATGGAAACCTATGAATAATAATTTTTATACCTTTCAACGTGTCCACTCTCTTTATCTAATTCATAAGCCAAACAAGCGGAACATGCATCTGAAATAATTGAATGAAGTTCAATACCACCTTTCTTCATGCAAGTTCTAGAAAACAAAATTCATATAATATTTTCTCCAAGCCAAAATTTGTTTTATTTTCTTACTGAATCAATTCTTGATTAACTGTTTGAGTCATTTTGTGAGGTACAGATAATACAGCTTGTACTTCACGCGAACCGGTAACAGCTTGAACAAGTTCTATGAAAGAATTATATTTAAAATAATTATGTTTATACTGTTTTCTTTCAAAGTTGGCTTACGTCGAACGTAATTTAATAGGTGAATTATAACACTTTCAAGATTTATTGATTTTGTTTTACCATCAATGGTTAAACAAAATTCTATTCTATTTTCATTTTCAATAACCTAGAAAATTATTTTCATTTTTTGTATATGTATGTTCATAGTTACTTACACTTATGGGAGATTTTTGATTATACTTTGTTAATAAAATATCATTATCATCGTGTTTCTCGAGAAAATGTGATGCCCATATAACGGTATTCTGTTGATTACGTGCAAAATTTTGTTTTGCTGGAAGTCCCATGGACTAAATAAAATTGAAAATAGATTTTAAATATAGATTATTTTAAATTTTTATACAATATCATTTCCTTCACTGAATGTAACAAATGTTGGTGTAACACGATCACCTAATTCATTAACAACAGTTTCACTTCGACCATCCTAAATGAAATGTTAAGATTTTAAATAGTAGAAAAAAATTGACATGAAATAAAATTACTTTAAAATAAGCAACAACAATATTACTAGCTCCTAGTCGTATTCCGACAAGTGCAAAGTTTGCATCTTTTGAAGTACTTGAAGTCATTTAACAATTGCGAATATTTTGTAAGAATACAACTGAAACTACAAACTTCTTCAGTAAGTAAGTATAAGTAATAAATGGAATACGTTTATTGAGCAATCCAATAGAAATAGTAGATGGCGCTTGATAATAAACAGAAATTACACGAATAGCAGTAGAAAATTTCTTGATTGTTTTATCATTTTTCTTAACTCGTTCTAGAGATGATTCACAGCGAAAAATCAAAGGTATCTCCAATTTTCCAAAGACAAGGGACGCTTGGATCCTTCTGGAGAGGACTGAGTTTCTTCTGGCTGCCATCTAGTTAATGTCACCGATTGATTGATGGTAACATAAAAATAATGTCTGAAAAATATGCAAGAAATGTCTCTTTATGTATTGTATTATTTACATTGAGATATGAGCAGTAAAAATCATTTTTAGGTCTAGTTTCATGGGAATTGACAGAATCTTACTCATATTGATCTATACGATATCATCATCAATTTTCAGAGCTGAAATGCTGGCAATCAAGCAATGACATATATTGTGAGAAAATGTGATTTTTAAGTGACCTAGGTAGCACTCGTAATTCTGAATAATTTACGGTCAATCTTTGCATTTTATTTAAAATTATCATCTAATTGGAAATTTTATCGATAAAATCACTTAAACTTTTGAAAAATATAAACAACAATCAATCGATTCATGGCATGTTAATTCTCAAAACTCTGCATTGTATTGATATATTACAGTGAAAGTTACCTATCTCTGATTGATCGTATAATAAACGGGAAAATTTTTTTTTTATTAATTATTCGACATAATCATTTTGCTGGAATAGCTTTACAGGTTACCTATCGAATTATGTAGTTGTCGAACATGGCAAATTTTCTCTTCATAACTTTTCAGTAAACTTAACTATTTCATCTGTATAACATGAAAACATTTTGAATGTGCAATTGATCAATGCCCAAGTTTTTTTTTCTTCTTTGTAAATGATCAGATGTTAAAAGATAGCAATTAAATCACATTTTCGCAATTATCAATAACAGAAGTAGAAGAATAACATTTTGTTTTTAATTTCTATCGATGAAATTTTTGGACATCATTCTAGACTACTTGAAGATAATATAATGTAACTATTAATATTTAAAAAAATCTATGCATCTCTCTGATGCGAAAATCGCCCTAAGACTTTATGACTATCTTTCTGCGTCCTATGGATTCATAATAATATTCCGACGACTACATAGAGACTATCTCTCTCATGTCGATTAGTTTCTTTGTAGCATTAATTACGCAAAAAAGTGTTGTATTTATTTATAGGTTGACTAAGTGAATATTCATGATTCAATTATATGCGTTGTCTTGATATGTTTTATTCAGTTTTAAATGCACACCAAGTGACCCCAACAATCAATTTAATCCAAGTAAAGTTTCATTCATTTCGATTAATTAATAATATTGTAAGTTATTCTCATTGATAATTTATCATCTCGATTTATCGTACATAGAAATTTGATGTTGGTTTTCAGTGGCGTCAGTTTTCTTTTGATAAGATTTTGTTTTAAATACTTTTCACTTGATTACTATAACCTTTATTGCAATGAAACAAAGTTTTTTCTACACATCAAATATTATTGAAGTTGCAATAGTAGAACTGAATGATACTGTTTGTTCTTAAAGTATCTTCAATAAATTCAGCCTGATAGGCTTGTTTCGGTCATGTTAAATATCTTTTTGCTAATATCGTCGAAAAACAAATTTCATTATTAAATGTATTTTTGATGAATTAGAGAAAATAGTTTAACTTCTACGAAAATATATGAGATAAAGCAAGTTTGTAGGATGGTACTTGTGGGACTATAATGATAATATGATGTCGTTGTTATCAATTACAAGGATATTTCTTTATTCTATTTATTCGTATACGTTTTTTACTCGTCATACTTTTGCTTAGTTCGTCATTGTGATAACAAATAAGTAGCTCATTTATTATGAAAAGTTGTCATCGACCTTTTGATGTTATATCAGCAATCACTATTACAATTGGTTACGTAAGATCGAACGTTACTTTAAAAATACATTCCGTTCCGGTACGCGACGCTTATTGTCAACCTCCTTATTTATAGTTTGTTAGCGTGTATGCCTATTTCTGCACCATAGATTTTAACACTTCATTTAGATGGTGTTGCATCAAAGTAGATAAAAAAAATCAGTACAAGGGTTCTGATATAGTCACAATAAACTGTTGTAAATGAATAGAATTGTTTTGATAAAGAGAAATAATTAGTATTATTATGTCAATTTGTCTTATCAAGTAATTAACTTTTCAAATAAGTGTAAAGTCGTCTAGGGATACATCATCGATTACTCCTAAATACTTATTCGACATTATTTGTATCACACTTTTCTCGCTAAGTGATCAAAAACAAATATTAAACGTTGATCATGATGTATCAAATAAGGATAATTTGTTCCCGAAATCAAGTTAAATCTTAAATGAAGATCGATATTGATACGAATTATGCTGGAGTTATTGTTTATTCAATTTTGGTAAAATTACTTTTTCAATACAGTCAAAATATTGATATTGAAGACAGTTGAGAAAAAAATAATATAACCTTAGCAAATTAGAAAGAATGTTTTTTTTATTAATTGACTTTAAAGAGTTTTTGTGATTGCACAATTATTGTATACATATCATGAATTCTTGAATTGAGTATAAAGTACAAACTAATAATAGAGTATAGGTAAACATTCAGATAAGATCTATACTGTTATTATTTAAAAAATTCTCAGGATTAGAAGAGTGAATATTAATAGTTTTCTTTGATTTGCATACTAATTTTTTCTATTGAAAAAAAAAGATGTTTCTAATATTGATAAGACATTAAGAGGTATATATTTTAGCTAGATATACAAATAAGTATAAAATTTGGGAATTCATTAAAATAAAATATAATGATAAAAATAGGCAAGTTCATGTGAATTAATAGAGAGGTTTGAATGACTAAAAACAACAAGAACCCCACAGCATTATGCATAATGTTAGTATCTGGTTTATAATTAAATTCAGTCACTGCATGAGTAAAACAAACAAACCAATACCGTTCAGGGAAATAAAATTTACTAATTAAATAAAAAGGAATTTTTATGAGTATTTGACTTTGACATTCATATCTAGATATTATGTTTTAACCTTCAATGTCACAACATCGAAATATAGAATTAAAAATTGAATAAAATGGCACGTTGCTCAATCTTTAACTGTAATTTATATCTAACTAACATAAAAACTTGTAACTTATATTTGTACTCAAGAGATAAATAATATACTATTAAAATCTGATAGTATTATATACTATCTCAATGGTAGATTGATAAATTATCTTGTTTTCTCTCATCCATCCGTCTAATTATACGAATATATTAATTTTGTACTCTGTTATTAGTTTCATGAAAAAACGACGTAAAAATTCATCCGTTATGTTTAATTAGTGAATTTATCATTGTCTTTAACATTGAATAAAATAAATCTGAACAATATAACACAATCATGGTTGTTATGTGATGGACTTCATTGAACGTAAGCATCAGCGACCCCTTTCGATTTTTCATTAGATATTGAATATTATACTTTTCTTTCCTTTCATATAACTTTCTTAAAATAAATATGTTTTTTATTTTTATTTTTCAAATAATAAGAATAATGTCGACTGTTGAATTATTCATTAAGTTCAATAGGACAGCGCAACGAGAGAATATCTACATTATGTGATTTAATTGATTCATAGAAAAAACCGCCGAGAATATAAAAGAAAGTAGAAACAATCAATAATCATCGTCATGCCTATGTTTACACAGATAAATTCCCTTTCAAATCGGTATGTTAAATCAGTAACACATTCATATGTAAAAGTTAATATCATTCATGGTGAGAGAGTTTTCCCCATCTCTATTTTCAAACTGGACATGGACAAAAAACTTTCTTTTTCTTTATTCATTGAATTATCAACTTTTTATCCCTCTTGTGTAACATTGTAGAGTGAAAAGGGTGATCTAACCATTCAATTTGATTTATAAAATGCTCGGAAGATTTCAACGGCTGTTTATTAGCGTCGTATCTTGAGGCGATTATCTTACTTATACACAGTATGCTGCTCTCAAAAACACATACATGTCTATAAGTAGATGATTAGACCGATAGAAGAATGAAATGAAAAAAAAAACGGAAGTTGTTCACAACTTGCTATATTTTCTAACAGCATTCATGTTGAAGTGTTTTTCGATATAATAAAAATAAAGATTTGAATGAGTATAAGATTTTTCCTTTTCTTTAGCATACTTCAATGTGTTTTAAAGAATTAATTATCCATTCAAAGCCGCTCTGGGAGCAGGTTTTTAGATAATACATATATATATATAGAGAGAGAGAGAGAGAGAGAAAGACAACGTCAGATAATTGTTTACAGCTGTGACCAACAATGCTAGAACAAGCTTTTGATTTGCTACATGTAGATATCTTACGTTAATGAAAAATATATAACCGCTCTGCTTGTATATGTTGCAGAAGCTGAGTGAGTATCATCATCCTGCAATATGATAATTATTGTTACATCTACATGTAATCGTGACTTGTGTATAAATACAAGCACATGTATGGTCACTTACTATTCATATTTCTTTACTCGTTTCTTCTTTTCTTTTTCTTTTCTTTTTATCTCCACAAGTGTTTTCATGTATACGAAAAATAATACTATTTTGCATATAACTGCATGCTACTTGGAGTCTATAGACAAACAAAAAAAAGACTTTTTTTTAAGAAGAACTGTTCGGAAAGTTATTTTATGAATAACGATAATAGACAACGTTGGGCGGAAATTGGAGTAGAGACAGCTCATTTTTTTCTTTCGTGTCATCATCGATCTATATATTCTTTTTCTTTGTGTGCCACGCCGTCACTTGACCACGCGATTGAATGCATTGAATGGAAGATTTTTTTTCTAATATATAGCTGAAGAAATCAGAAAAATTGTGAATCTGATAGACAAATTGATTACTTTATTCGATCATGCTCAAAGTGAGCTCGCGTTGAAAGATTTATCAATGTGTCTTGGAAGTCGCATAACTTTTCCGAGTCTAATTTGATTTTTTTAAGCAAGGGAAAAAGAAGAATGAATAAAGCACTGAACTCGTAACTAGAGAATGGGATCTCAATTAGGTGTTCTTGTTTCTTTTCTCGTTCTTTTTCTCCTGTTCTATAAAAAAGAGGACAGACTTGACAGTGCTGTCAATCCTATCACCAATGAAGATATCTTTTTATGGATAGTTAATGCAAGAGAAATGATGTTTCTTATATTAGTAATTAAAAGCTAAAGGTGAAAAACTACAAACAACAAAGACAAAAGATAATTGCTTTTAATAGAAAAAAGATAATGCTGCTTCAAAAGAATAAGGAAAAAATTCATAATGCTTTCAATCTGAGGATTATACATAAGATTTATCATAGTATATTTTTAAATGAAAAAGTCAATTCTATTCAAGTTTCAAATTTCAGCATTCGAACACAGACATATGTCTGATGATATGGGTACTAAGAAAACATGGGCGATTGAAACTTGAAACTTGAATTCAATTTTCAAGTTTGAAATTGCATAGAATTAAAGGCATCAATCGATGCGTAGTGGATGTTCTCTTTTATTCTTCTTTGTCATCAGGGTACATTAGTAGCTTGGAAATAAATACGATCGACAGCCCATTTTAATTGACGGCTCTTATGCGAGTGAGTGGCATGTTTTCAATGAGAAAATAGAAGGCGATCTTTTTTTTTCTTTACTTGTTTTACTCGTTTCTGTTCGAAATGGCATGTAATAAAATAGATCGAACGATAAAATAATGATCAATTTAATGTTTTTGTCGTTTGTTCATTCTACAAATCTTTTTTTTAATTTCAGCTAAAGAGTAACGTTGTTTAGTGGTCATAGTGACTTGTTCTCTATTGTATATTTCGATGTTCGTCAACTATTCAAGTGTTACTAAGTATCAATACAACAGTAACGAGTTTTATCACAACAAACATTTGCTCAGGACTAGAGAATAGACAGAAAAGAAGAAAAAGAAGAACGCAACAAGAACGACACCACATCATAAGAAAACTATAGAAAAACGTCAGTAGTGCTATCAGGATTCATCTACTTATTTAGATGACATACGTTTACAGTCGAAAAGCAGGTAGACATGATAGAAGAAAAATGACGAATAAAAAATAGACGGAATATCATAGCACATAGTTTTTATTTATTTCTTTTTTCTCTTCTTTTTTTTGACAAATAAAATTGTTGACTTTATCTCTTTAGTATATAATGGCAATATCAAGTGACAACAGTGAGCAGCAACAAGAAATGTCAACTTTGTCAAATCGATCACCTCACCACGTTTCATTTATTGATGATCAACATCAGCAACGACAAACTACTGTAAATATCGATGGTTCTTCATCCGGACCAAGACAAGGTTTGTTGATAAAACTAATGAATGAATTGTTGAAGATAAAGAATTCATACGTTTTTCGTGGTCACTATTGCACTACTAGAATAACAATAAGAAAGTAGCTATGCAGTTGTGATCATCCTTTTGCATGTGGTTGTCTTATATTGAATGATCGAAGCATTGCTCTAGATTAGATTATACACTCTATATTGCATTCTATTTAAAGAAAAGAAACTGCTTTATGGAATGAGTGAGCTCAATTTACTAATTCTTTTTTACATGAAGAAATTTTCTTATTTTTAGGCTCAATATCGGCTGGTGAGAAAAGCGGGCGTTTCTTTGTTGTTAAACCATCGGATGTGCCAGATATTAACGGAAATGGTATGTACGTCTGAATCTTTTAAATACAAAAAGCAAAGAAAACTTATATATTTTTAGATAAAGTGAATGGATCAAATATAGCAACCACAGAAAGTGAAAAAACACCATTACAAAAAGAAGCAGACATTTCAGTGAAATTTAATGAGAGTATTTTCGAAGTAGGGCAAGCCTATCTATAGTAAATAGTCTTTTTTATAAAATTATTTGATAGGAAACTGATTTTGCAGCACGTAATGTACTTGATCAATTATATAATTATAAAGGTGGTATAGTACCGAATGCAGCAGAAGCTGAAAAACCATCGACAGCCCGACAGGTATGGAATGTTTTCTAAAAATAAAACAGAATCGATTGAAATTAATTTTATAGAGTTCCGCAAATCTTGGTACAATTTTTGGTGTTTATCTTCCTTGTGTTCAAAATATATTTGGTACTACAACGATTTTTTATGTAGAATATGAATCTATCATATTTCTTTTCAAGGCGTTATTGTCTTTATTCGTCTTTTTTGGCTGATTGGTATAGCTGGTGTACTTCAAACACTTTTAATTGTTATTATGTGTAGTTCATGTGTATGAAAATTTTATTTATTCATTTAATTTTAATTTTAATTAGTTTTTGTTGTTTAATAGACTCTTTTAACAGCTATATCAATGGCAGCGATTGCAACGAACGGGATAGTACCGGCTGGTGGTGCTTATTTTATGATATCTCGTTCACTTGGGCCAGAATTTGGTGGTGCAGTGGGAATATTATTTTACCTTGGTAATACATTTGCTGCATCCATGTATATTGTTGGAGCTATTGAAATTGTAGTCGTATGCATATCAAAATAGCAGATGATTTCTAATCTACTGATATATATTTTCTTTTTCTAAAGAAATACATGTGTCCAGAAACGTGTCGTCTGTTTGGTAACGATGTTGAAATACCATCGGTTGCTTTTAATCATTATCGTATATATGGCACTATCTTACTTTTAATGATTGGAGCTTGTGTCTTAATTGGAATTAAATTTGTAACGAAAATAGCACCATTATCATTATTTGCTGTACTTCTCTCACTTCTGTGTATATATGCCGGTGTTATCAAAAGTTCATTTAGTCCACCTGATTTGCCGTAAGATTTTTCTTTTTCTTTTTTTGTATGTTGTAAGGTATAATAGTTATTGTTGGAAATCATCTAGAGGCAGATAACTTGTCCTGCAATGTTCATTCGCGATTAGTATAAATTTAAACAATGAATAAGACTGATGTCTAGTTTTCTCACTTATTGAGCTCCAGATATACATTCGATATCATTACACTGATCGTTTCTCGAAAATCAATTGTAAGAGTTAATCCTAGCAGCTTATCTATGCAACACAATAGTATCATAATTAAAATTACGAACAAATGATGTGAAAAAATAATAGTTGTAAATAGCTTGCTGAAATAAATTCATAAATATTGAGTCTTCTATAATGAGTGCTTTTTAAATTAAGTTCGTTTATATAATTATTACGATGAAAAGTTTAGAACAATGCTAATCTATTACTAGCGTCATCTAGTATTTTTCTATCAAACGTTGCAGCCAAGTGTTCTAATTTTTCATGCATGCGCTCATTAACAAAGATTTATTTTTATCATTCATTACAGTAGATTGTAATCTTTCATTCAAAAACAATTTTGATGGTGTTCTATATAAAAATCTTCAATAGATCCACGAATGAATGATTCATAAAAGCTGAATTCTTCAAATTTATTTATGGTTGAAAGATTGTGGCCGAGAATAATGTAGAGGAAATACATGCTATTTAAAAACACATGAATGCGTTACTAGAATGTGGTACTCGTGTTTTTGATAGTAAAAAAAGTCAGAATAGGCAAATTCTGTTGAAGATCAAAGGCTTGTTCAATTCAGGACTCTCGTGGCCATTTGTATGACTAAACTCAGATTACACAACATAATCTATGTCACCATCAAATATGACTACATTTATTCATCGACCAATATACCATCTTTGATGTACATAAAAAAATATAATATCTTCTATTGTAATGATTCGATGAAATGAAGAATGATTTTTAGGTTTTCTTTTCCATAAGTAATATGAAATCGTAGAAAAAAATTATGTTAGTATGCACGAAGGGTTACAAAAATAAAAGAATCATATATGATTGTACCATATGCACGGTTCAGTCTTGTTTGACATGGAAACACTGATGAGAGTGAAACCTATTCTGTTTCTAGCGGAACATTTTTCGGTGTCTATCGAAATCTGAAGATTGTTTCTTGTATGATGAATAAATTGAAGCAAGAAACAAGAATTGACTTAATGAGATACATTATTTCTATGAACGTGCCATTGCCTTTAGAATCATTTCTTTCGTTAGATATTAAACTACGTATATGAAAGGATTTATTTATAGAAAACTTTCGAAAAACATATCATGGAATCTGATCAGTAAACCCTGAAAGCTCCTTCTGTTTTTGTTGAAACAAAATTTTCTAATGATTTCTATCTTGTTTAGTATTTGTTTGGTCGGGTCAAATCCATCACATTTAATTAAATCTTCTGTACTTAACAACGATGTAATGACTTATTGTCGTCCAGATAAATGGTGTTATGAAGGCAATAAAACGAAATTATGTCCACTTTACTCATCGATATGTAATAAATCAACGAATACGTTATGTTCAAAAAATGATTATATTGAAAATGTTCGTATTGAACAAGGTATACCTGGCCTAAAAAATTGGCAATTATCAGGTAGTTCTCATATTTCCTTGAAATAAAATAAACAAATAGAAAATCTAATTCTTTATATTATTCTTTTTCAGAAAATCTCATTTCACATTATCGACGTGAAGGTGAAATTGAACGTGATATTAGAGGTGACTCATCATTTGAAGTTGTTGCACAAGAAATCACAACTTTTCTAATTCTTGTTGGTATTTATTTTCCGTCTGTTACTGGTATACTATTGTTGTCATGAATTTCGAAGGAAAATCTATCATTTATGCACATAGGAATTATGGCTGGATCAAACCGCAGTGGAGATTTGCGTGATCCAAGTCGAAGTATTCCACGTGGGACTATTGCTGCTATTATAACAACATCAATTATTTGTATTAAATAATTTATACAAATATATGTTTCTTGAAGACCTTTTCTTCGTTCTAGATTTATCAAATGTTATATTTTTGGCTTCGTGTACACATAGTTCATTATTAAGAGATAAATTTGGAGATAGTATTAATAAACAGCTAGTCGTTGCTGCTTTAGCATGGCCAAATAAATGGGTTATTATGATTGGAGCATTTTGTTCGACCGTTGGAGCTGGTTTACAAACGTTAACAGGTAAAGATGCATATGATGAAGTAAAAACGAGACATGTTTTTGTTTTATAAGAAAGTTGATCGATTTAAATGAATACAAGAAAGTATCAAGCTATTGAAATATTTTCAGTACTCGGGTGATTTTTCACCTGAAAACATTTTGATGGTTTTATTTTAAAAATTCAGGAGGAAGAGTAAATTTACGACTGAAGTACAGCACTTAGAAGAGATTTATTATTTTGAAAAATCATATGCATTTCACTTGAAATGTTTAACATTATCAAATGTATCTACAAGTTAAATTATAGCTGGATATTTTTTCTCTTCAAATTTTCGGAAATAGGTTACTTTTATCAAACTATTGAATCTGACGCTAGAAAGTCCTAGCAGATAACCGAACAGTAGACCTAATTTTTCTCAAGAAATATTTTGGTATATTTGCTTTTTCTTAACAATATTAAACATATTCAAATAAACAGTCTTATCCAATTATTTTAATGATTAATTTTTGTTTTCAGGTGCGCCACGCCTATTACAGGCTGTTGCTAAAGATGACTTAATACCCATTCTTAGTCCATTCGCAAAATCTTATCGTGGTGAACCAGTGCCCGCTCTGTTTCTTACATTATTTATTTGTGAATGTGGCATTCTTATTGCTGATCTTGACAAACTTACAGCACTTTTATCAATGTAAATGAAACAGGAAAATTTTACTTTTTGATTTCATCTCTATTTTAGGTTCTTTCTTCTATGCTATGGATTCGTTAATTTAGCGTGTGCTTTGCAAACTATTTTAAAAGCACCAAGTTGGCGACCACGCTTTCGTTTTTATCATTGGTATAACGAAATTTCTTTTCTAATTTTTATCCAAAAATTAAAAACATTCTATTTTATTTTAGGATTTTATCTCTCATGGGTGTTCTTCTTTGTATTTCAATTATGTTTATTGCTTCATGGTATTTTGCTCTTGTAGCAATGGTTATTGCAATAGTTATATATAAATTTATTGAATACAAAGGGTATTGAAATAAAGCAATTATTTTCTTAATTTCAAATTTTATTTCTTATTCTTTAATAGAGCAGAAAAAGAGTGGGGCGATGGCATACGTGGATTATCAATGTCAGCAGCTCGCTATGCACTATTTCGTGTTGATGAAGCTCCTCCGCATACAAAAAATTGGCGACCCCAATTACTTGCATTTCTTAATGTACAACGAAATGACGAAGATGAGTCATATGCATTACGTCATCCGAGATTACTAAATTTTCTCTATCAATTAAAAGCTGGTATATCAATACTGTTAATCAATGTATGACTATACTAACAGTTAAATCTTTTTAGGACAAGGTTTTGTTGTTGCAGCAAGTATTCTTGAAGGAGATTATCTTGATAAATATCAATTTATTGAACCAATTCGTTTAGTAAGTATCGAAACTCTATTGGATATGAGAAGATTCTATAAATGATTGAATGACTAGTTCAATTACTAGAATTTCGTAGAAAATCTTCATAGATCTAACGCGAATGTTGATTGAATATAATTACCAGTGATGTATTTTATTAAAGATCTTTAAATGTTTTATTATCAAAATTCTTGTGATCGCATTTCCTTTGAGATAGCTGTCTTTTATTAGAGAACAATAAGTTTATTTTTGATTGTTGTTTTCACATTTGCCATTTCGTTAGAGACAACTTTGTCTTTTCTCCCGACTGCTGAGATACTAAAATTAATATGGAATAAAGTTTAGTTGAACGTTAGAAATCTTTTTTAATGGAGTCAGTATATTGTTTGTAATAGAATAACATACAATGACCGCAGTTATTGGTCATCATATAGATTTTTGACTGGCTTTTTTCTTTAATGAAAATACAGATGTAGCATCTAGAGACTGAATCAGTTGGAGAATTATCTTTCCGACAATAATTTCAGAATATATAATCTTATCAATAGTTTCAAAAGTCATATTCTCTAGTCTATCCTAAAAACTCATTTTTCAGTACTGAGACACTATAAAACCAACTTTTCTTGGTCTATTCTGTATTTGTTGAAATAACTAATGTATTTTGCTTTACACTATTTTAGTTACTAAAAGCCAGTTTAACTCAAGCAAAAGTTCAAGGTTTTGCTGAAGTACTTGCAACAAAGGATGCTGAAGATGGAATTAGTGCCTTGTATGTATTTTCTATTCTAATTTCTATCTTACTATTTCATTTTTCTTTTCTATAGAATTCAAACAGAAGGTTTAGGTGGTTTAAAACCGAATACAATAGTTATTTGTTGGCCAGTTAATTGGAAAAAGGATTATGAAGCTTATACAGCTGATTCATTTATTCGTATGTTTAATATAGATTTAGATGCCGTTCATCTTAAGTGAATTTGTTTTTCCTAGGTACTATTGCTATTGCTGAAGCACGTCGATGTGCTGTTATTGTACCGAAAAATATTAATAATTTTCCCGATAGTAAAGAAATTCAAGACGGTACCATTGATATATGGTGGATTATTCATGATGGTGGTCTTCTTTTTCTCATTGCTTTTCTTTTGAAACGTAATAAAGTATGGTCACGTTGTCGCATACGTTTATTTACTGTTGCACAACTCGAAGATAATTCAGTTGAAATGAAAAAAGATCTTGAACAATATATGTATCAATTACGGATTGAAGCTGAAGTTAATGTTGTTGAAATGGTTTGAATTTTTAGAAAATATCTTTTCTTCGAATTAAAGTTGAATGTTCTGTTCATTATAGGACAATCAAGAGATTTCAGCTTATGCTTATGAGCGTACATTAAAATTGGCTGAACGTGTTCAACTTTTAAAAGATCTGAAATTACATGATAAAGAATTACAACTTCAGGTAAGCTATTAGAGAATAAGAGTTTTAACGATTTCTTTAACACTAAAATACAATTAACAATACTTGTATTGATATAATAAATAGGCCAAAGGTTTTGAACGACGAGCAAGCAAGGTGATTAGTACATTGATATTTTTCGTCTCCTGTCTAGCTTTTTTGTGGATCTATTTTCTCCTTTTTATTCTCTTCTAATCTGTACTTATGTCGCAATTCGTTCGACTTGTAATTCATTCTTCAAATATGATCTTATCGAAATACATACTAATCGAAATATTTTTCTATATTTTTAGCCGCAAATATTGATGGAGTCACTGTTGAATAATCAACGACAAAGTATTGATGGATCCGATGATCAATATCATTATACATTTACACCACATCAACTTGAAAATTTAAAAAAATCTGTGTAAAATAAATACAAAAAAAACATGGCTAGTATTTCGGACATCTAATATATTTTTTTATTATAGGGGTGAATCATCAATGCGTAAAATGCATTCAGCTGTACGACTCAATCAACAAATTCGTGATCGCTCCCATGATGCTAAACTTGTTCTTATCAATCTTCCACCCCCACCATCGCAACAGACTAGTTTAGCGGCTTTTTCATATATGGAATATGTTGATGCATTAACAGAAGGTTTACATAGATTATTACTAATGCGCGGAAGTGGACGTGAAGTTATAACAATATTTTCTTAAACAAAAATTGTTATTCAATACTGCTATCAACTGACTCTGCTCAAGTTGTCGAATCGATGATATTTGGTTTCTCTATGTCAATGATCTTGTAGTGAAGATGGCAAATAAATTCTTCTTTTTAATGTATGCGTATGTGTGTGTATTCCATTAATGCATATTATCATATCTTCTTCTTCTTCTTCTTAATCGCCTGTCTGATTCATATTAAATAGATGTACGATTTCAAACTTTATACACATCTTTTTCGTTTCTTTTTTGTGACTATCAAAACTAGCAGTTAAAATTTCTTTTTAAATGTCCTACTACAGTCCTTACATGGCAAATCATGTTTTTTCTCTTCTGATAGATATAAAATAAATGTTTCACTATATTTCAATCTCTACTAGTATATAATTAATTATTTTATCAAAACCATTGTCGAATCATTGCTCATACGGTTCGATATCCGTCTTTCGAGAGTCGTTTAATACAATATATTTAGAGGTCAAACTTCAGATTTTTAGCTAGTAATCCTAGAGTGTCTACTCGATGTCGATTTTTACGAAAATATCAATTAAAAAAAATTGCACATGATGATCTACAACTAAATATATGCTACTTGTAGAGAACTTGATAAGCTATCGGTTATTTCAAAAATGATTATGTTGTTGTTTAGTTGTCGAGTGTAAACAAACCGCAATATGAAAAGCCTTCAAGTTCAAACAAGACAATTTTAGTAAAAATCTATTTCAGATAAACGTCAAATGTATCTTGAAGGAAACTAGATACATTTGATAGGTTTACCAATATTTCCAGAGTTGGAACATCATGAAATACTCACTGTGTTCCCCAGAGCGATCGTCGAAGAACAGAACGAACGATAACATGTATCATGTCTATTGTTCTATAACCCTTGGCCTATTATATAGCGAACAAAATATATATATCGTTTGCAAAATATCGTTATGACTGATCTAATTATTTAAAAAGCAATAACCACAATTGTAACTACTGATCGATTACAGAATGATATTCCGATACATCTAGAAAAACCATTCTACAAGTCAGCTCTCGTAAATCTCCGGTGATTAATTATGATTATTTTTAGGTATTTACTGAACGGTTAAGTACTTGAATTGTAACCTGAAATACAATCTATACAGGGATATCAGGAATTTTGCGGTATCTTCATATTTTCAGATAAAAGCGTCTTGTTCTATGTCGAGATATTAAATTTTCAACATATAAACGTTTGCTGTAAACGTATCTCGGTGATTGAAGGTTTTGAGAAGTTTAATTTCAGATGAAAATTTTAGTACAGTTGTCATATCTTTTCTCCAATGACTTCTGCAAATGAACTTTTTTAGGATTTGTTTCTACATTGCCGTGATTCTCTTATTGACTAAATAGATGTATTTCTAGAAAATTTCCATCCACCGTCTATAGTATACTATTGCAAATAGCTTATGCATTCATGTTTTCTTTTACTGAACTAATCGAAATTAGGAAGAAAAAATATACTATTCTGTCTCACTCAAAAGTATCATTGTAAAAGGTTTGCTTTCAAATCGTTCTAGTCTCTCGGTTCTTCCAATCGTAACTGCGACACTCAAATAAATGCATACAAAGTGCTATGCGCTTAGTCATTTCATCCCTATGATAAGTATATGGATCAGAACAATATATTATCTCCGTAATTATTAGAACATATTGCGTATATTAGATGGCGCGTATTTCTGTTCGTACCATTTTAATATTACCAACAGAAAGTTCCCATGCCTGAAACAATCAAATTAACTCTCAAACTTTCTTATTAGATTTAAAAAAAAACACTCATAAGCGTGATATTTGTGCGATTGTGTGCTAGGAGTTTGATCATAAAATGATTGTTGAACATGTTATCTTTTACATACAAATGCTATAACATTTGATTTTGCTAAATTCTTGTGCGATATTAGCTGTTTTTGTTTTTCATTTTTACAAGATAATTTTTTATTTTCATTTTTTAAACACATAGTAATTATTTGATACACTAATATGACATTTTTTGTGCTCTTTTTTATTATTTAGTTAATTAACATCAACAATTCAAACATATTATTGACATATTTCTATAGTAAAAACGCCACCTATTTTCTCGAACTAAATGTATCTTACAGAGGAAATTCAGAAAGAAAATTATCAAAAGTCAAATAAGTAGCTACAATAACACGTTAAGTATTACATTCTGTATGGATGAGAACTTTGGCGAGTCAGCACGTATTATTCAATCAGAAAGAAAAAAATTTAATTAAAATATGACACTCTGACTATGTATAATTTATTAGCTACTTGAAAATATATGCTTTATGTCGATATATTTCTTACTATGTGTATATGAACCGTTTTACAAACGTTTTCTTTCTAAAATAAAACAATTCAATAAATATGGATAATATCATTTTTTTTTAAAATATTATTTTACATTATAATGTATTTATTGTTAGTTAGATAAGTAAAAATGAACCCAATCTGTAATATTTCAAATTGGTCAATACGACTAGAAAAAAAAATTGATTTCTCAGTGGAATAATTATAATTCATATCTTTGATAGCCGAGAAAAGAACAATTTATGAGAAAAGAAAAAGAAATACTTCTATCTCTTCTTTCTATTTGTAAGCATTAAGAACAAAACAACAAAGGAACAAGATAAAAGCAAAGCATCGATCCTCGAAAAATATCTTTAAGACAAGATAAAGCTTTTTCTCTATTATGGTATAATAGGCATTTTTTCTAATGAAATATGCTTTTTTATTAATGTCGCTTCATACCATATCAATTGCTTTAATTCAGAAATTGGATAATCATCCATTTCCATTTCAACAGTAAATGGATGTTTAGCAATAGGTTCATCATCTGGATCATGATGCGGTTTTAAATATGGATGAGCCAGTGCATCGTTCACATCAATACGTTTATTCGGATCAAAAGTTAATAGAAGATCAAGTAAATCTAAAGCATTTTTATCTGCATCAGGATAAATTTTGATGAAAGGTTGTTTTACACGGGGCTTTAAACACGATATATAATTTCGTGCTTTTTCATTCACAATCGAAGCTAAGTCATGTTCATCGGGAGACCCAACAACATTAAGAATTAAATTCAGTTGATCAATATAATGTTTACCTTGATAGAATGATAATCGATAAAAAAATTAATTACTTTCTTTTATTTAACATCAGTAAAACAAACCGGGAAATAATGGTTTTCCATCAAACATTTCGGCGAGAATGCATCCAACAGACCATAGATCGATTGGTTTATTATACACGCGAGCATTAAGCATTATTTCCGGTGCTCGATACCATCTTGTTGCAACCTACATATATTACCTTAAATTTGAATAAATTCTCAAATAAACAACAATCAAAATGCTTACATATTCAGTAAGTACGCCATTGTGATCATATGATGGATCTGCAACTCGAGCTAAACCAAAGTCACATATTTTTAAATCACAATTTGTATTTAATAATAAATTTGATGGTTTAAGATCACGATGAAGTACATTTGCTGAATGAATATATTTTAGTCCACGTAAAATTTGGTAGAGTAAATAACAAACATGTTCTGGACCTTATGTTCAAAAATAAAACAAAAGAGAAAATATCTTTATTCTATTATTTTTGTATTTATCTGACGTACTTAATTTTTGATATTTAAGCAATTTGCACATATCACATTCCATTAGTGGTTGTACTAAATAAATATCTTTGATTTGTTCAAATACATTTGCATGTAAAATATTTTGGATACTGATTATATTTTCATGTTTGAATCTTGCTAAAATTTTTATTTCACGTAATGTTCGTTGACAAAAACATTGATGATCAAACGGCGATAGCTTTTTTATTGCAACTCGTTTGCATGTTTCATTATCATAACCTGATACAACCATACCATACGCACCTTCACCAATATATTTTACACTTGTATAACGTGGACCAACGTTAAATATTTGATCTTTTATTAACTCGTATGCGACTGAAACTTGATTATCACTTGATGATTCTTCTGCAGTTGTTTTTACTGAATCATTAGGAGGAAGATTTATTAGTTCCATCAAAAATATCAAAAAGAAATAAAGGTTCAATTAAGATATGCATCTAAACAATTCATTGATATTTTCTTTTATGCGACTGAATTAGTATCGTTTCATCAAAATATAAGACATATGGATATGGCAATATTTCATTTTCTCATTATCACAACCTGATAGAAGACATGCAGTTGATATATCTTGCTTTTTTTCTAAAAATTGAGACTAAGCTTCTTTTACCTCTTAACAGCACGTAAAGTATATATATATATATATTCTAATATGTATACGCTCGTGTAAGCCATAGATTGTCAACTGTTGTAAATGAAACAACTGCTTTCGCTCCAGGAAAACTCGCCGTCGACAAAAAGGAAAAAAGAAAGAACGAAGACGAGGACGAGGAGGAGGAGAAGATCAAAAAATGACAATTGCTCGTTCGTCTAATACAAATGCTTGCATTCAGATTTTTTTTCTCATTAGACGTTTTCTTCTTTCTTCTCGAAATTCTTCTTGAACAGTCCTATTTTTTCTGTCATTAGTGCTGCTTTAGCAGTAATATTTTTGCTCCAACTATCATATTCGGTGGTACTGCTTACCAAAAATTTCGTATAGAAGAATCAGGCGTAAAATAAGTTTCTATATACCCATTTTTATTGAATCAACTAGATTTTATTAAATATTGTTCTCAAAACAAAATAAGATCAAAAATTTTCTTTTTTTTTTTTTTATTGATTCATTCTGAATGAACGAAGAATATCTGCGATGCATGATAAATATTGATAATTGGAAATAGAAATGGGAAGAATAATCGCCGTGATGAGAAGGAAAAAATTTGATAACCTGATTTACATAAAAACAGCATAAACCATACAAATAGTCATAGATGAGACTCCAAGAAAAAAACAGAAAGACAGCTTAACGTTTAAATTGCGTATTTTTCTGTTCATTATTTTTTATGAATAATCATTTATGCTATATCATACTAATTTATTTGTTTTTTACATGTTCTCCACTTGATGTATAACAATGAAAGTAATCATAAAAAACATGATGGTCGAATTCGATATTGGTTTTATTTTCACTCGAATTTCTTCTTTCTTTTTTAAACAATAAACTTCGATAAATTATTCGACGATATTCTTATTAAACTTCTACAAATACATGATCAAATCTTATTCGTCTAATTGCTTCGAGCTATCTGATGATTGACATTTTCGATTTTATCCTCTTGGGAACTAACAATGTTTATTGATGTAAATATATTTAAATGAATCTTTGAGTATAATAGCATTGACCGAAGTAAAAATACTTCCATTTTATAGATTACATGTCAGTACTAAGTATTCGTTTGAATTCAGATACAATATAAGATAATGATGAATACAATAAAAACTAAAAATAATTTTACAATGAATTGTTGAACTATTCAGTTGTTCTTTCACAATGACAATAATAATACACATGAATTACTTAGAGTGAATAGGGAAATACTTAACTTTACGATATTAAAAGAACACTTGAAATCCTTTCTACAGCTATTTATACATGTTTTTGTTAACTATTCTTAGAAAAAATAGTTTTCTATATCGATGATAAGTGTATATTTTCAAGAAACTATATACTCGTCGTGATTAATCGTTTTTCACTTTTATTTGCATACATTTTTGTGGAACTCACATATATTTTCGAAGAAAATGGTGAGTGTAAGTTTAAAAGCGAGATTTTTGCGTCTTCCCCTCTCCATTGCAGACATTAATGAGTTTAAAATTGTCCTTATTAGGAGTTTGATTAATTAGGCTGCTATCTCTTCCTTTTTTAATTACAGATTACACGAATTAGGCAATGCTTGCCCATTACAGATCATAGAAACCAATCTCTGGCATTGTTAAATATACGAGCTAACAATTAATACTCCATTACAGACATGAGCAAATAGGCGATGACCTAATCATAGGTTTTGAAAATCAAGGTAGATTTTTCAGATGAGCTATTTTGAATTATTTTAATAAGCCTAAGGGATATATATATGAGTTCGACATTCTAGCCCCAAAGGGGCTGCGCTAATAAGCTTTTAATAAAGCATGTCCTATTTTAAGAAACAATTTTATTTAATTTTTGGCTGATCTCCTCTTGATTTAAATAAACCTCTAGAGAAAAACTGTAGATTTTTTTTACCTATACTTATTGTATTCTCTATGTTTATTAAGACATATTTGTCAACAAATAGTATTATTTATTAGAACTGAAGCAAAATAACGATACGTACATGATATTTTCTTAGTAGGAATACGAAATTAACACTGAAATGCTGTCTAGTACACGAAATAAAAAGTCTTGTAGGTATGTAGGAAAAATAAACAATTGTATCTTCGAAAGTCCTTCTACTTTAATTGAGAATTTTGATTTCTATAGATTAGACTGAATGTAGATAGCGTTATTTCTCTCTCTATTCGATACAGTATCAGAAAGGTTACATAGAAACAAAAGATTTTACAAGATGACTTTATAATTTAAAATGAAAGTTTTTATTTTATATCTTAAAACCTACATGAAAACTATTAATTTTGATTTTCGTATATATCTTCATGTATTGAATGATCTAAATAAAACGATTGTATTTTTAAAAAATTGATGTAATTAAATCCTCTCTTCCAGGTACTCGCTCTTAGGTTCTATCCGACTGTGTTCTATATAATTTTTTCATCTTTTTCTTTTATAGAGCGCAGCAGAGACATTCATTTTTAATTATTACTCTTTTAGGAAAGAAAATTGAAGGACTACATCGATGCCTGGAAAAACTCGCTAAAAAATAGCACTAATTTAAAGTGCTCTTCACAAATAAAAGTGCCAAAATTTCAGTAAGAGAAAGAAGGGAAACACTGTCGTGCTTTTACTAAACGCAAAGTACATTTGTTTCGAGCAGAAATGGAAGAAAATTATCTAAATATTTTAGAAAAGAAACAGACGTGTCCGACTGAAAATCATATTATAAATTAAGGATTAGATCTCAAGAGTTATTGTTTCACACGTTTATATCATTCTTCGCTCTTTTTTTTCTCATTAAGACTGGCTTCATTTTGAGAGAAGTTTCACTGAATTTTATTTAATTAGAAAATTGTGAGAACTATGCATTTAATAACAAAAATAAATTGAAATAACTAATAGAAGATTGTCAAACAATCTCAATATTTTCAGAATAATAGCTAAAAGAACAAGTTTACTGGGTGTTATTTAATGAGATCACGATATTTCGTGACGTTTGATGTATATTAATTTAATATTAATTCAATAGTAGGAAAGATTAAAATCATATTTGATTTGACCTCTAATCAGATTCTTGATACTTGCTGTAAACGATACACATAACACTTTTTTTATTACTATAGATCATTCATTCAAATATATTTGTACCTTCTGAAACAGTTTCGATTTTGACTTTCTAATTTGAGGTACCCTTAAGAATCTTACAAAAAAAAAAGAATTGTATCAAGTTTTGATAAGCATCTTCTCATCGTTCATACAAAAAACAAGATATGAACAGTGTTTTTCTTATGATAGACTTTAAATTGAAGTTTTAATTATTTACAATATCAATCAAAAGAATTCCTCGTGTTGTTTCATTCAGTAAAACGTAATTGGAAATGAAACTACAGCTATCATCCAAAAGTAATTACTGTGAAGTGTGAAAAAGGATTCTTTGTCATAGTGACTGATGAAATGTTCTATAAATAGCTAGTATTAAAATAATAAGTTTTTATTGAATCTCTATTCGATATTTTATTCAAATAAATGAATTCATTAATGTAAAAAATGATTACCTTATGAAGTTTTTTCTTGATGCTAAATTACTTATTTTGTTGAAGCGTTAAAGTTAAAAATAAATAAATACTAGATGGTATTCAAGTTTCACTCGAATACGAAATGCGATGCGAAGCAGGAATCTCCATCCAGGAAAAATCTGCAATTCAGAGAAATCTTGAATACTTTTTATGTCGACATGATGAAATTCATCACTCAGAAAACTCTATTCTTACTTAGCGATACATTCTTAAGGATCGATTTCGATTGATCGATTAATTATCATCATGATTCATTATCTTAGATCAGCTGTAAATGAATAGACTATAGTGGCTAACATATGTTCATGACGTCACTTTAATTATCTCTTGATAAATTTCTTTCATTTTCGTCATTTTCGAACCACATTTCTGAGTGAACGGAAATTCACTTTAAAGAATCGAAAAAAGATTTCTCAAGTTCGATCTTGATACTTCGATCTCACGTTTCAACGCGTTTTCTACGATTTTCGGTTCTCGAGATTATCGCGACACAAAATGGCGACTTGTGATGCGTACGTCGAGAAAGTAAAAGAAAAAAAAAATCCTCGAAGGACTACATAAATGCTTCTGCTTCGCATCGCATTAAAAACTCGCGACGGACTACAGAAATGCTTCTGCTTCGCATCGCATTAAAAACTCGCGACGGACTACATAAATGCTTCTGCTTCGCATCGCATTAAAAACTCGCGACGGACTACATAAGTGCTTCTGCTTTGCATCGCATTAAAAAAACTAATTATCTTTATGATTCATTATCCAGTATTAGATACGAGCGAATAACCTAGTGGCTAACATTTGTTGATGACATCATTTTAATTATACCGAATTTTTAAAACGACAAATTTCTTTCATTTTCATCATATTGGAATCGCATTTGTGAGTAAATGAAACTTTAGATTCAACATTCGAAAAAAGATGTAAGAAGGTCAATTTGAATATTTCCATCTCACGTTTTAACGACATTTCTATGAATTTCCGTTCTCGAGATCATCGCGACACAAAATGACGAAAAAGATGCGTACGTCGAGAAATTAAAAAAAAAAGAAAAAAACTCGCGACGGACTACATAAATGCTGTGCTTCGCACCGCATTAAAAACTCGCGACGCATAACAGAAATGCTTCCTGCTTCGCATCGCATTAAAAAAAAACTCGCGACGAACTACATAAATGCTATGCTTCGCATCGCATTAAAAACTATATTTAACTGCTCATACTTGATTAAAGAAAATACTACCCGACATACTTTATCGTACATTGACATTTAGTGTTCACAAAAGTCCATGATTTTATTCTCATTTCTAAATAACAATAGAGACTCTTTATTTTTTCATCATATGCGATGAAATATCTAATTTAGTAGCTAGAGCATCTCATCTCAAAAATAGAAATCATCAGCAAAGCGAATTCAATTTACATTTGCCGAATGAAGAAAAAATCCAGTGTTAAGTATGCATTGTTGAACAACAAAAAAGATGCCTACTAGTTTAATACAATGCTTATGTCATTTTCTGTGATATATAATACAGTATATTGTCATACAATTTGAAGCTTCTGTGTTTCTAGTCATTTGCATGTCATCTTCTCTCAAAACAAAGAATTTCCTTCTATCGCTCTCAAATATGTCCTTATTAAACTTGTTTCACCAAATAAATATGCAATGTGATGAGTTTTGGCACCATGAAGCGATTTTCGCTGAAGAAAAACGTCTTCCTGTACTTAAATCGATCATTTTGTTTGCTAGAGTGTCGATTATTATTTTAACATGTCATTCGAAAAGCTATTTTGATTTAGATACACTGAAACCGTAGAGAATATTCTCGATAGAGTACACAGAGTAGTTAATTTGAAAACTCTACGTTCTTTGCACACCTGCATTCGTTATAATTAATATTTTATTTTAGTCTCATATGTTCTTCTACAGGCTTACCGTTGTAGTTATTACATTGGCAAGAGTCTGAATGAATTAGAAGTTTAACAATTCAAATAAAATGAAAAATATTGCGTTCTAATTATTTATAAAAGTGCTTTCTAAATAACAATAAAAAATCATAATTCAAAAACGATAGTTTGCCCTAGACTACGTTTGAATTTGTCCTCTCGAAGAAACATAAAAATCAACTATAGAGAATGCATATCGGTACAAAATGCTGAATTACACAATCCAGTAATCAAAATAGAAAAGAGGTGAAAAATGATTCTTTTTTATTCTTTATTGAAAAACAGTTTTTTCTACAAGCAAAATTAATAAAAATTGACTTTGTTGTGAATAGAGATTATTCGCTTGCTTCCGTTCTCTCTTCACTATAATTCACTGGAAATCCTTGCCCTTGTTTATTGTTACAACTGTGCGCACGTATGAGAGACTCATTATATCAGAACATCATCACAAATCAAATAGAAAGTAGTTCAATAAGTTTAGTAATAAAAACTGTATGAATGATCTATCGCAATTTTAATAAGCTGGAAAATCGAACTCTTGAGGGTGAATAGTTTATAAAAGATAAAAATATAAAGACTAAGTTATTCGAAGTATGATACATGACTGCAGAAGTTTCAAAGTGATCCAACTTGGTGAATATATCTACATTTTGTGTTCGAAAAAGTCGCCTAGCACCGGAGGATTAGTTCGGAGGATTGTGCATATAAGCTTTGACCAGTGTGTAACGATTTCTGATAGAAGAGATACTTGTGCTGATGGTATTACACTTTATTTCACTCTTTAAATCATAAGACCGCATCGATTACATATAAAGCACACGCTTAAATACTCAACCATTTGAGAGAACGAAGGAGAATAAGAGATAAAGACAAATATCAAGGACAGAAAGATAAAGGCAATATATGTGATGAGAAGAAATGGCACCATAAGGCCAAATACCATGCACAGACCATACTCGAACGGGAGCATCCCAGGTCGATCAAAACGGACCACCGTAAATCGGCGTAATATTACCGTAAACGGTCGTTTTTGCATCGTATTCCGCCGTAAAACCGCGTAAAGCAGGCGTAACATTATCGTATTCTATAGAACATACGGCCGTATTACTGTCCCTGTTATACGGGGAAAATACGGCACGTAAAACGGACCGTATTTGTATCGTATACGACCGTTTACTGATCGTTTTCTTCGACCGGGGGTTTCACTCCCGCGCGGAATTTAGACGCTCTCCGCTTTTATCGTTACACAGTGGATTTGGTTAAGTTGCACCATTGATTTATACCTTGTTACATTGGCAATTTCTATGTTGTTGGCGTCATACCATCCATGTATGCACCTAAACATTTTTCTATTTAGGGCTTCTAATTTCTTTTGTTTAGTGAACGATAACTACGGCTATATATTTAGAATCGATTGATAGTGTGGTCTAATATAAGCGTTGTATAGTTGGTAAGCCACCTCTTCACTTAACATGCGTGTCAATGCAAGCCGCTTGAAAATTAACAGATTTCTTCGTGTTTTTGATTCAATATAGTCTATATGTGGTGAGAATGACATTTTCGAATCCAAAATTGTTCCAAGATATTTTACTTTTGATTCATGGGAGATTGTATATCCATTGCAAATGACCGGTTCGATTACAGGTGCTACTTGTCGATGAAATAGGGTCCAGTGCGTCTTTTGAAAGTTGATGGGTTGTTTCCACGTTATCGCATATGATATTAGTGAACTGATAACGTCTTTAAGTTGTTTCATTAAATTTGGTATAAGTTCTTTTGTCGACCAAGTAGCTGATAGAGAGATTAAGACCGATAGATCATCTGCAAAAAGGTGTTTCCAATGTAATAGTGACAAACAAATTAATAGATCATAGTGGAGCACTATAAAAATTGCTGGGTCATGCATGACCCTTGTGGTACGCCCTTGTAGAGAGTAAAAGTGCTGAACTTTGTTTCTTTTATTTCAATATACGCCGCGCGCCCGGCTAGGTAATTCCTTAGCCATGCTATTAAATATGTTGGACAATTTAGCTTGTATAGTTTGAGCCATAGACCTTTGTACCACAATTGATTAAATGCTGCTTTGAAATCCACAAAAATAGCCGCCGCTGCTGTATTCAAAGCTAAACATTGGCCAATTTGATCTATGATTGAAACCAAGCGTACTGCCATATTGTGGCCAGGTCGAAATCCGGTTTGTTCATCCGGTAGAATACCATTATCATTTACCCATTTATGTAATTGTATTAGGAAAATTTTTTCGTATAGCTTTGAAAAATATGGCAACAGTAAGATGAGGCGTGTATCACACACATTTACTATGTTCGTTTTGGTTTTTGACAATAGGATCATTTTGGCGACATGCCAGTGTGGCGGAGAACATAAGCTCGATGCAAATGACTTGAAGGAGGACCATATTAGTGTATGATATGGTTTAGGTAATAACTTGATCATTTTATTTGATACATCATTGAGACCTGCCGAGTTTTTGTTCTTTAATGCCGAGATAGCGTTCGTAATATGTTTTAGTTCAATTGTAAACGTGGGTGTTGTGCCAAGTTGCATGTCACTAGTTAATTGATTGTCTGCACGTTCTGCTTCCATTTCAATGATCGATGAATTATTTTGCATGTTTTGGAAATTGTTCTTCATAAAATTCCTTGGATTTGTGGAGCAGTGACAGAGAAGCAAGGGGGAAAAACGGATCCTTTTGGATCATAGGATCCACCAGGATCCAGGATCCGCTTTTCCCCCCTTGCAGAGATGTGCCTCTGCGCTCTTTTCCAAAACTGTTTAACATTACTGTTGTTGAACATTTTGCAATATTGGGTCCAAGCTTGCCTTTTGTAGGCGAATAATTCTCTCTTTATTGTTGTCGCGTATGCTTTGAGTTGTAATATGAAGGTTGGATGTTTTGTTTTCCTTGCAAGGTGTAGATACATGTTCTTTTGTTGTATCAGTTCGACGATGTAAGACGGAAGTGATGGTTTATAAGATTTGCAATATGATGCATAATTAAGTCGTGCTGCAATTAATGCCAAGAAGTGTTCGTAGGTACTAAAAAATTGTATTTTATCTTGCATAATTGACGATAAGTTTTCCCAATACGAAAAAGTAAATGTTAAGATCATTTCAAGCACCGGCCAGTATGCACGCTTTACCGGATGACTTTTAGTTATACAACGACTATAATTAGCATCAATTATAGAAAGCTGCTTGTTTCCGTTTAAGAAACGAGGCATAGCTGCATGAAAACCAAACATTTCAATCGTTTTTACTGCATCTCTAAATCCTCTGTCGATGATAATGACGTCATCGTCGTGCAGCCAGTTCAAAATTCCCTGATCATTATTGTACAGTATATTTTTAGCAATTGATGCATCATTATTCTTGAGCCGTCGGCAAGAAATGGTCCAATAATGGTTAAAACGTATCTTGCCTAGAAGAAACAACTCTCTTAATACGCCATTAGCAAAAAAAACTTACACTCGTAGTAATCATCATCGGTTTTACTAAATTTCTGTGCTTATGAAGACTATATGTTCGTCTTTGCATTTCATTATTACTAGATTTTTGAATGTAAATATAGGTATCGTCCATTAAAATGCAAAGCTGGTCAGGAGTAGTAATAAACAGTTCTGAGGCAATAGATGTTTGATGATGGTCAATAACAGTTTGTCGATCAACATGCTGCAGACCAGTATAATGATGAGTAAAATTTTTCCTCAATGTCAGACGAGCAGAATGAATTGTATGAGAAACACTTCGTTTGTTTTTTAAATGAAATAAACTTGTAAATACACGATTACTAAGGTCTAGTCGCATTTTGACGAGGAAAATCGCAAGTGCAGCACGAACAGATCGGATTCTAGAGTCTCGCATATGTTTAATATAGCCCAGCTCAGGACGATGTTTCCGGCCTCCGGAAATGAGCGGATTGAATTGAAACGCACCGGAACATGCAGGAAACGCACCGGAACGTGCAGGAAAACGCCGGATATCACCGGACCCTGGAAGCAGTATTCCGGGACGGATTTCTCCGGATTTTCCCGGTGATTTCCGACGGGACCCAACAGGAACTTGGTGGAACTAACAGGAAAAATCCAGAGATTTCCCGGTCCGGAATACTGCTTCCGTGAAATCGCGGGGACCGGCCGTTTCCCGGGCCGGTTGCTTGGACCTGGGAGGAGGTTCTCAAAGTGTTCTTAATTAAAATTTATTATTTTAAGTTTTCAACATTAGAAAGATCAATACCTTTTGTAAGTCCAGTCAAATCGACATAAGACTCATCTGATATAATAGTGTAATCATCAAAATCGAATGTCTTGATGTTCATCAAGACAGAACGCATGTTAAGTAAAATGGTTTGAACACCCTCTGCATTTAATACAGGTTTATCATCTTGAGAAGCCGAAATTTGTTGAATAGAGTCATATGATAATTTTTTATTATATAAGTGACCATGACAACATCGTGCACCAGATGGTACAAAAACACCATGCTTAGAAAACATATAATTTCTTTGGTGCTCTGAAAGCACACGAACTTTAGATGTGAATTTTTTTTGGACACACAATACATGTTCTACAAAATGAATATGGACTTATGATAGAAAGAAAGTTCTATAATGTTGAATTACTCGTGCGATTTTGAAGTCCGATTTATCGGAATGACGATGAAACTTAAATCATCGTCAGTTTGTGTTTCTTGGTCGAAAGTAACTGTAGTTAAATTCACCTATACATATATATATATATTAATAGAGAGAGAGAGACTGTGTTCAAATTATTATCCAACCTGTTCTTGAATTCGTTATTATCATTCTCATCAGCTGAAAAATCGAAACTCGGAAGTTCATTGTACATTCCGTTTCCTTTCTTAATCCAAACTAAGAACTTCGAGTAACATTTTTTGCATAGATGATCATCAGGTTCAAGATGTTTCGAGGATCGAGCTGACACAAATAACCGTAATAGAATATTTTTTGCACGATGCCTGATAGACAGTCGAAAGATTTACCACATCCAGAATATACAGGGCGTGCATTACGAGGTATGATAGTATGAAAATAAATTTTTATATAATTCGTTGAACAATACACGTGACCAAATGTCGCTACTATTTTTTCTCTCTCCATGTTTTTCTTCTAACCACGAGATAAATGAATTATTTAAATAATCTAACTGATTATTCCAACGTTCAGAGATAATGTTTGGATGAAAAAAGAATATTCCTGGTGCTTGCTTCTAATCGAAAAAGAAATATAATTAAGTGTTGTATTTCTAGAAGCGAAATAACTGGCGAATTTTCATACGAAAGAAGTTATATAGTAAATAGTGCCCTAGTCAACTCTCCCTAGAAGAATCCCCAGGGAGTCCCCTGACAAATCCCCGGGGACTCACGACAGGGACTCCCCCAGGGATTTCGTTATTTTACGGGGACTCCCCGGGGAGTCGTTGGGGGAGAGTCGATTAGGGTGTTGATAAAGCTATACTAAGATAAAATTTCAGGCATTTAGCACTAAATGACAGTTGAATTTCAATCTTTATTTGATCCAGAAAGTAAGCGTCTTACTTGATAATGAAAAATGTGAAAAAAAATCAGTGAATCTACGATAGTATGTGTCTTAGAAAAAAAATGGTCAAGATATCTGGAAAAAAATAACTACATCAGGAAATAATACTTGCCAAACTCTATCTATCTATTTATAGATACCGACTTGAACGGCTTTTGATAAGTCTCAGTAGTCGAGACAAGCATGGAAAAAATCATATTAGTTAAAAAGCTTGATAATTTAAAGATTCTAAAAACTTCAATTGAAGGACTTACATGCAGAGTAATTGATACAGAATTTAACGCTCTTTCTAACGAAACAAACCGCAGATCACGAGAACATCGGATTGCAGAGATATCGTCATGAAATGGTAATCAATAATACATGTCTTTTTTAGATCAATTTTCGAGGTCTAAATCACTCAGAATCGAATCAAATCAGGTTGAATTTAGTACCAAACGATTTAGTTTTTTATTCTGCATCGAATGGTACATGAGACTATGACAAATTAAAAATAGGCCGATTTAGCCACTTATGCGCCCCGTCCTTTGTTTAAAAAAATGATTCTTCTTAAATGTCAGTTTTTAAACAAGAGTATCATTGGTTAGCTTACCGTTATGTCAAAATAATATGATTTCATTGATTGATAAAAAGGCTGATACTTCCGAAACCAACTGTTTTATAAACCAAGCTCTATACTCTTTTGAATTTCTATGATGAACTCAATATGTTATAGAAAATGCAGGGATATCGTAAATGTAGTAGGTAATGATAATATAGTCTGTGTAATTATACCACAACCTTTCTATCAAATTATTCGTTCTTTCTTTGGTGAAGCTATGCGGTATTTGTTTATAGAAGAGACATGAACTAATATTACTCCTGCTTCTATTGACTATAAATTGTAAACGAAGTTTAAAAATCATCTAAATTTCTTTGATAATATTGCATTTAAAATAATCGACTTTTATTTCTGAAATTGTATTAACATTCCATGCCATATCAACAAGAAAATAATACAACCCAGTTACACACGACGAATTCTATCGGTTAGAATCAAAGTTCAGTTCTTTTTATTTATAATAAAATATACAATTGCAATGAATTTATTTTTTTGAACTTCCAAAACCACTAAATCCCATAACAGCAGCCATATCATCTTCAACTCCATTGTCATTATCATTAGTTGATTGATATTCTTCTAGTTTTCGTTTTTTACCATCCTTCTTTTTATCACGTCGTTGTGCTTTCATTTTTTCTTCCTATGAAGCAATATTGAATTAAATTAAATAATCAAAACATCGTTCAGACATACTTCTTCTTTTAATTCTTTCATACGCTCATCAAAATTATATTCTTTTTCAACTTCATTTTGTTTTGCTTTATTTAATTCAATTCGTTTTCGTACTTGATCAACATTTGATCGTTCAACTCGCATTGACATGCCCATATTTCGTTGATCTAATGCACATTAAAATAATTTCACATATATCTATAGAAATTATATAAACATACGTTTTTTTCCATTGATATGATCCAGAAAATTGATTGAATCTTTTACAATACAATCGCATACATTACAATAATACCTAAAACCAATCAATAGGCTAGAGAAATATAAAATAAAACAATTTTTTCTTACCCTCCAGCATCCGAAGGTGCCGTAGCCTTTGTAACAATAACAGATTTTCCTAATCGGGATTCTAGATCAACCTGAAGAGATTTTACATTAAATATTTAAAAACCAAAGAGCTTTGTTTTTAACATACTTTACATTCGCGTGCTTGAAGAAGTGTTCGTGCAATTTTTTTCTCATCACTTTTTCTCTGTTTTTGTTTCTCATCATCATCGTCATTATCATCATCATCATCACTTTCATCTGTTGTATTTGTTTTCTTCTTTACTGAACGAAGATTTTCAATTCGATCACTTGCTTTCCTTTCAAATTCTCGTACATCCCATCGACGGCGATGATCATCACAACGCTAAATTAAACTAAATAGATTTCAATTATTTTAATATATACTTCTTTACTTACAACACCCGGAACTGACATAATCGAAATAGCAAACTAATGAAATGTCAAAATCAAATCTACTAGTTTATATTTCTTCACGTGCAATGCAAATACGAACAAAATATTTCTTTTCGTATATTTCTATTGGTTCATAGAAATCATCAATGGATATTCGTCAATGATGATGAAGTTTAATTTTGTGAACAAGAAAAAGATATATTGTTGTTTTGTTTTTTTTTCTTATGATTTTGAATAATAATCCTTGGAACCATGTTTTCAATTTGGGATTACGATCTATTTATAATGTTATCATATACTGACGCATTTATTGTAAATCTATTTTCTAATGAAAATTATGTATATTTCAATGGATAAAAATATTATTTTTCTATCTTAATTAAACATTCTTTCATTTTGACATTACATAGATGTCGTACTATCGAAGTGAATACGGGAATAATTAGTATATCTTATTATATGTTGTTTTTCATCAATCATTTATATTTATTATGTGAAAGACGTTGAAAAATGATTCATTGATAACGAGACAATATTGATTTGACGGTCTGTTTTTGGTTTGTATGGAACAAAAGAAGCAACAGATGCTTTTTTTTTAATTGGATTTAGAAAAGGGAAGAAAAGAAAATGTAGTCTGGCTTTTAATCTTTGACAAATGTTAATACATGTATATGAAAAGAATGCAAGAAAAATTATCGATACAAATCGGTTGAATTTTTCTTGCATAATCAATTAAATTGAGTCAACACAATCTATCTTTTTCATATTGACATAAAGATCGTGAAAATTTCTCTTTACATTTAATCGGCTTCTTTTTCTCTCTAGTTTTTATATGTTCATTTGGTTCAAAGATGGAGATTGATCCAGTCGTACAACAACGTTTAACAGATGCTAATCAAACACATCTACTTGGTTATTGGTCTGAACTTGATGATGAACAACGAATAACACTTTTGAATGATATTATAGAAGTTGATTTCGACCGTGTCAAAGATGCTTATGATGCTATCAAAACTGAACTAGTAACAGAATTAAATGGTGAAGTAAATACTCATAATGATAGTAAAGATAAAAAACCAGTAGTGATTGATGATATCATGGAACCGATTCCTGATCATATGGCTGGATCAATCAATGAAGCAAGCAACGAACAAATTAAAGATTATCGACAACAAGGATTGAAAGCTATTTCTGAAGGATCGGTGTGTGTTCTATTACTCGCTGGTGGACAAGGAACTCGGCTTGGTATGATTATTTTTCATTTTATTTAACTATTCTTATTCATTCTTTTATAGGCGTTGATTATCCGAAAGGCATGTTTAATATTGGTTTACCATCGAAAAAATCTCTTTATCAAATTCAAGCTGAGCGTATTCTTAGACTTGAAAAAATTGCAAATGAGCAGTTGGATACAAAAAATGCTTCCATCACATGGTGCGTTCATTGAAACAATGATAAAAATATAAGGATATGTGAAAATCGTTTTAGGTTTATCATGACAAGTGAACATACACAAGGAGAAACAGAAAAATATTTTCGTTCACATAATTATTTTGGTTTAAAACGTGAAAATATAGTTTTATTTGAACAACATACTTTACCTGCATTAAATTTTCATGGAAAGATTTTACTTGAAGAAAAATATAAATTGGCAAAAGCAGCTGATGGAAATGGTGGTTTATATCGTGCTTTGAAAACTCGTGCAGTCTTAGATGAAATGAATAAACGGCATATAAAATATATTCATGTTTATGGCGTCGACAATATTCTTGTACGTTTAGCTGATCCAGTCTTTATTGGTTTTTGTCTACAGAAAAATGCTGATTGTGCTGCAAAAGTAAAATTAGAATTTTGTGGTTTTGAACTTTTCTTTTTTTATCAATTCATTGATTAGGTTGTAAAAAAAACAGTTCCAACAGAAGCAGTTGGTGTCATATGTAAAGTTGGTGATCGTTTTCAAGTTGTTGAATATTCAGAAATATTGGAACAAACAGCACATAGAAAAAAATCTGAGCACAGTGATGAATTAGCATTCAACGCTGGAAATATTTGTAACCATTTTTTTACTTTGGATTTTCTTCGAGACGTTTGCCAGTATGATGAAATTTTTCTTTTTATCTGTTTTTTCTTAATTATCAAATATTCGATTTAGAAAACATGAAACAGAGCTTCGTTATCATGTTGCTAAAAAGAAAATTCCATCGATTGATGCCAATGGTGTATATGTTAATCAACCACAACAAATAAATGGAATCAAATTAGAAAAATTTGTTTTTGACGTTTTTCCTTTTTCAAAGTAAGAGAACTTATTTATCATGAAATACTAGTAGGTTGCACATGTCATGTCGAGCAGTTTATAATCTACTTGTGTTTTGAAAACAAATAAAACTATTAATAGACTTGATCGAATCGAAAATTCTCAATGTAAAGATGATTAATGCAACTAAGATCCGAATTCGACTTCTGATAAACTCGATAACTTTTCTTTTTATTCAGTTTTTACAAATTTTTCGAAAGTACAGCATGACATGTGTATTACAATCCAAAAACATTTAATAAATCAGATCTTGATTCGTAAATTATTGATCTGAGATATTTTCTTGAAAATTTAAGTGTATTCAATGGAAAGGTTCTTTTTTTCATCCAGTAAGCTCGAATCATGGTTTATCATATCTTAAATCTCTTTTTAAAAAGAATTCCTAAAAACTGCCATATGAAAAGAAAAAACTCGAAAATATGATCTAAGATTTGACTTATATAAATTGCTCAATTCGATGGAATTCAGATGCTAATATGTCTATGAAGAGATGCAAGAAGTTAAAATACAACATTTCTCACTTGTTTCTTGATGCAAAGTAAGACCAATCGAATACTATGATCTATGTAGAAGAAATTGCAGAATAAAACTAAATTGAACTATGTACGTTATTTCTTTTTTGAAAATTAGAACATTTGCTGTTTGGGAAGTTCGCCGTGAAGATGAATTTTCACCATTGAAAAACGGCTCAGGTTCTAAAGATACAGCAGCAACCTGCCGACAAGATCTAATGCTTCAACATATTCGTTGGCTTAAAGAAGCTGGTGCTGATTTACCATCGGATGTGAATCAACAAATGTATGTATCATCTTGTACGAAAAGAATTGAATAGCAAACAAATTTTTCTGTTTTTTTAGAGAATCAACTGAAAATACTTGTGAAATTTCACCACTTGTTTCATATGGTGGAGAAGTAATAAATTTGTACTTATTCATATATTATCTACCAATGAATTCTTTAGAATCTTGAATTTGTAAAAGGAAAAACTTTTGATCTGCCAATTTCTTTTGAACTGACTGATGAAGTTACAGAAGTGAATTTCTTTTCAAAATTGCGATTTTATTTATTCATTGCTATGTTTTTTCTAGTTCATTAGTGATTTCCCTACAAAATTATGTTCAACAAACGGTGTAAAACCCGTAGCCATGCATACAAATGCAATTTCTTATTAACTTTTCAAATGAATGAATCTTTTGCCGATATTCGCCCGCATTTTAAACATATTCATCCTATCATAACAAATTCGTATTTGCTCAAGGAATTCGTAGCTTTTTATCCTTTGGGGTTCTATTCTCGTTTTATGTGATATATTTATATACAATTAAGTTATTACTTCTTCTTCTTGTTCTTGTTTTTTTTGTGAAGGGAAATCTTTATATGAGAATAAACTTATGCAAACAATATACATTTAATAAATACATATAAGATAACATGATACGTTGCATGTATTTTTGAGGAAGCTGATAAAATGATCATAGTCATTGTATGATTACTTAGTGATATGGAATTAATTCGAGCTCCACATATAAATATTAATACATGAAATAAAAAAGTTCTCTCTCTCTCTCTCTTCTTGCATACATACCGAGCTTGTAAATGGCGAAATGGTGATTTTATCTTAGTCGCACTAAAGTAAAGCAAAAACAAAGAATTTTCAACAACAAGATAACATTTTGTATATTTCATATTCAGGATTTCTTACACAATACATCAATTCTACATAAGATAACATTATTATCTACCCTGTTTTCATTTGCTTTAATAGTAGAAGTTTTAGGTGCTAAATTTTCTTCACCATAAACATGTTTCAATACTTCGTATCGATCACATAGACCACAAAGGCGAGGAAATTCTAATGAAACATCTACAGCCATATATGAAACTGATGAACGATAAAGACATGAACGTACGTAATATTGAGCCATTCGCTACAATGCTTGGATTAAAATATGTTCAAGTAAAGATTCAAATCCTTACATTTTCCACATTGTAGACCACGTGTATTTAGAGGATATCGACACTCGCATTTGTTTAAATCAAAAGTACCATTATATAAACATACTTTACCTTGGCAATTTAAAAGAAGACTGTTTACATTGAAAAGAAACAAGATGAAATAGTCAAGTAACCATTCAGAATGATTCATCTATCTTTAGTAGTTTTGAAATGTTATCTGTGTTTCACAGAAAAGAAAGAAAAATCGTTTGACAGTATCACGTGATAGAAGTGATTGCCTCTATCTCTTAATGTGTTGATTCTATGTTTCAAGTAATGCCACGAAAAAAAATCGATGATGCTCTGTGTAACGATAAAATATGCGACTCTGTTTAGTTTATATCGTAATGACAAACTGGAGAGGTGTTTCAATAAAATCGACGAAATCTTATAGGATTCCTGGACATGGACCTACAGTCGGATCCAATGTTGGATTTTAACGCAATCCAACTCTAACGAATCACTCTTGCGCTCTGATGGTTCAAAATGCTTATTTGATCGTGAATAAGAAAATGATTTTTTCCATCGGAATCGACAATAGGTCCCGTGTCCAGGAATTCTATCGGGTTCTGCTGGGGAGTCTGATCTCATAGGATTCGATAAGATCCGTTGTCGAATTCATTCACCTGGGTAATAGGTCCCACGTCGAACAGTCCGACCAGGAAACAGCCGGTTCCGGGTAGTTCCGTTGATTTTGTGGAAGCAGTGTTCCGGTTGGAAAATTTTCGGATTTTTTCCGGTGTTTCCGATCAATCCCTGTCGCAAAGCACCGGAACTTGGCAGGAATTCGCCGAAAAAGTCCTGTCGTATTTTTGACCGGAATACTGCTTCCATGTTCCAGCGATTTCCCGTATTTTTCTGTAAGGTATGATGACTTTCCCGCATATTCCCTGGAGTATCCTACGAGATCCGGTGGCCATAATGTTCGACCTGGGGTAATGTAGAGTCACATTACACGAAGAGTAAGAAAATCAAATTTGACATTTCAAATTATAACAGTTGTATTACAGTTATTATATCATCGGATAAACAAATATATGGTCTCAAGTGAGAGTGATTAATTCATGAAAACAAGTATTAACGGATACAACATTGTTTTGAAAAGAATATTAACTCAAACTTTGATTTTAATGTAGACATATCCTTTTAGTGAAATAATATTTATAAAACTGAAAATAATCAATAAATATGCAATCAGTGAAAAAGTCAACAATCGACAAGCAAGAACGTTGGCATACAGTAGAATTATAAATAATTAATAAAAAATTTACTCAACTGGTATTTTTCACCATCACCAATGTAAATTATAAGGATTAAATAAGAAATAATTTTAAGATGTTGACCAAAACGTCCACCTTACCTTAAAACATATATTTATCGATGAAATTCACCGAGATCTATCGCAGATTGAAATTTATTGATTATCAATTGATTGAATCAATGTTATTTAGAATGTCACATAATTATATGATACAAGTCTCAAGAAAATGAGATTTGCATGATTAAGCAAATCTACAGGCAACTAAATTATAATAATAATTGATAAACTAATTTATTATGGTGAAAAAAAGGTACAGTTAAAATAACAATTGTACGTTAATGTGAGAATGTATGAAGAAAAGTGATATTCATACTTTAATTGTGTTTAAATATTTTTCCTATTTATACAGTAACTATTCGTGAAAGTTTTGTATTTTAAGATAAATACATATTTTCATTCTAGATTTTAAAAAACTTGTAGAAAGTTAAGGTTTTCAGAATACTTTTAAGCTTTGAGTAGTCACATATATGAGATGAAAAAGATTCAACTTTCGAACGTTGCTCTGATTCATAGAATATGACATCCTGTGGAAGATTTTCTTCTATCGCCTACTATTGACGAGCAAGATCTTTTAAAACAAAATTGAAAACGAAGAATTCAAACTAGAAATTTGCACATTTTTCCATGTATAAGGGCTAAGATCGAATATTACAAACTCCATTTCAAGGTTATTGAAGTCTCATAGAAATCTACTGGTTAGTAGCCATAGAATACAATTGAGCAATATTCGGCAGTTATATATAGGTGTTAGCACAAGTTATTCTCCTTGCAATGAGGTTATTTTTTAGTAATAACAAATATCTAGTATTTCACTATTTTCCTATGCTGCAATTTTCTATCATCAAAAAACAACATTTTAAAAAATGAACTCAACAGTGCCTTTAATTCTCGTCAAGATAAAATGCACGTGAAAATTGAAAACTTCATAGTCTATCTTTTTTCTTATATAGAATTATGAATTCACTAAGATAGGTTGAATAATAATATTAAATGCTCGTATTAATAATATCAAGATTATATATATCATCAGTGTAAAATAAATCTTCGTTACCAGCTTAGTTGTTAGCAATCTTTTAAATAGCAAAAAAAAAGAGTTTAAAGAGTAAGTAGTACAACGAGAAAAAACGATGACAATAAAAGCAATGATCAAAACAAAAATCAACGTAAACCCCTCTTATTAATAGCAAAATCTCTTTGAAAGAACAATGTGCTGAGTTCCATAGAAAACCCTTCTTAATTGATTCATTTTCTCTCATTTTTATATTTGGGACTCTAGAAGTTTAAGTTAAAAATATGGACAGCATTATTATTTTTTCTGACTTATTGAAGTCATAAAAATAACTTCTCGGTTCGTTGAAATCGTTTTAAAAGCTCTTTTAATTGAAAATCATGAAAGCTAAATGACATTCAATAGAAGAACTTCACTTTGTAAACTTAAGCATACTAAAAGACTGAGACTTAGCAATTATTTAGAAGGATTTAGTTGATATTTAGCTAAATAAAAGAAACCCAAAACAGAATTCTATATCATATAAGTAGCAGTAAAGACCCGAGCACTATCTAGAGCACACTTTTAAAAAAGATTTAAAGATGAACAAAATCTTGACTAGGAATCACAAATGAAAATAGAATGAATATATTTAAAAATGAGGTAAAACGTCTTTAGGAATTTTTGACCGGTGCCGTTCCATTTGTTGCTTTCTTATATCGAGAGATTGGCAATGGTAGTTTACTTGGTCGACGTTGTTGTGTTGACGATGTTGATATACATGATTGTTCAGAAAGAACACTTTCACGACTTGACGTTCGACTTAATGTTGATGTTGCGGGTGTGTACATAGCAACTGGTATTGGTATTAGAGATGGTTTTGCTTCTGTATCACCTAATAAAAATTAAATAATAATAATAATAAATTAATTTCTATTTAAATGTAGATTTTTTTTACTATTAATGTGTGACGATATTGAAAGTTCATCAGCTGACAAGGATAAATCACAATTCGATGATGAATTTTGTTGCTGTGTTAAATTTAACGCTGAAGATATTCGATCAGATTTCTCTTTTGAAGGCTTGAAAATAAACCAAGATCAACAACATAGTTATGATCAATAGAGAAAGTAAAAGTATATTTACCCGAATTGGTGTCACTTCTGTTAGTTGTTTCAATGGTCCAGTTGATTGTTGTTGATGATAAAGACATGTTGGTCGATGAACAGTAACAAGTCTTGGTTTAAATAATGTCATTGTTTGAGCAACGCCATCACGTAGCGCGTAACTTTCTGGATGTAATTCATAATTAGTACGACCTTTAGCTAAACACAAAAATGAGCCAATATACAAGTAAGATAAATAGATTTAAAATAAAATAAAAATAATATAATAACACTATCACATCACTAAACACTGCAAAACCTACGATCATATGATAAATACTCTTCCACATAAGATAAACATCCTGCAATAGGTGATTATACAAATAAACAAAACAATAAAAAAAAAATAACAAAGTTTACGACGATGAATAGACAAAAATACCTGTAGCAACAGTCGCCAAAAATCGACTGTAAATATCTATTCCTGTATAGAATATGTATTCATTTCAATTAACAATATTTTTAGAAAAAATAGCATTTGCGCTCGTATAGAGACTACTCAATATTTTCTAAATCTTGTAAGTCGGAAATAGTCTCCGTCCTCTTATGTATACATGAAATCTTTCATTGGATTTTGTCTCAGAACAGAATTCAAAAATGAATCTGTCTAATATATCTATTAGGTATCTTTTTTTCTAATTACTAAAAGCCCTTGACTATTAGGTACTGATCATACAGCTACTTTTCTACAATTCTGACCACTTACTTTGAAACAATAAGTCATTATAAAAATACAAAATATTCTATGATTTAAAAAACATCATATTTCTATTACCTCGGCATGGATCATGTCGAACAAGAAACTCATCAAGCGCTGTCCAACCGCCACCAACACGAACCATAACTGTTGAACGAAGTATACGAACAAGACGCAGACTTTGTGATTCACCAAACTATAACCAAAACAAATGTATTCATTCTATTGAATTAACGAAAATTTCTTTTTGAATAACTTACTCGATATCGTCCTTCGCCCATTTGTTGTACATCATATTTTTTTGGACATTGACAAAGAGATGTTTGTCGATGGACTTCACTTTTAATTCTATCAATATCAGCTACCACCGGTCGAATTATCTATTGAACAAGAGCGAAGAGAAATTAAATAAGATGTTAATTATTTGTTTAATTACAAATCAATGAAATACCTTTTTTGCTGCTTGAACAGCTTTTTCTAGTTCTTTCATTTTTTCATTGGCACGAGTATTAATATTTTGCCAACGTGTTTGAACAGAAATTAAAGAATTTCTTATATAAATCGAATCATTTTTCGGTAAAACATATTGTAAGTGAGTTGCTAATTTATCTAGATCAATATAATGTTGTTTATAGATTTCTAATTGATTTTGAAATGCTCTGTGGTCATCAGCTTGTTGTAATAATGTTTGAAACAAAGCAAAACGGCGTGGAATTGGTTTTTGAGTATTTAAAAAGCGTTCACTTTCGGTCAACCAAGTAGTAAATTTTTTTAATGATGTATGAAAAATTTCAATGGATTCAGTTAATTGGATAAGTTCTTGACCTTTTTTCCATGTTCTTTCTTTAACATCATTTAAATGTTCTAAAGAAATATAATTGAAAAGAAAAATATGTATTTATTACTGTTATTTACTTTTTAAATCGTTGAGTTGTTCGCTATCATCATCAATAAATTCTGTAATAATTTGTTCTTCGATGTGTTCCAAACGTTCAATTATCAATGGATATTTTGTATTAATTGTACTTCCAGTAACTTGTTTATCAATTAAATTAAGTTCGTGATAAATTTGATCGAACAATTTTTGTTTTATTTTGAATTCTTGTAATTTTTTTTCCAATAAATTATACTTATCATTTGTTTGTTGAAGTAATTCTTCCCATCGATTATTAATTGATGAGACATAATTTCTATCTTCATAATTACTTTGTTTCAATTGTTCGATGTCATATGATATTAACTCAATATCATTTAAAAGTATACGAAGTTTAGCAATATATATTTCAATTTGTTTTATATCATTAAGATTTATATCAGAAGAATTATCCGTTAGGATAGAGAGTTTTACTGTACAAGCATCTAAGGATTGAGTTATATCAGCAATAATATCACCAATACGATTTTGACGAAGAGCTGTTTCATAGATGAGAGTTTTTCTAAAAACAAATAAATATATGATATTATATCTGTTAGAAAATTAAGCACATAAGTATCCTTCAATTCCGATTGAACTGATAATGAACTTTAGGTAGGATGGATCTTTAGAAGAATAGATAAAAAATTGATTATTATGTTGATTATGCCATTGAAAATTATATATTCCGTGTTTGATTTAGGTTATGAAATAGACTAGAGAATATTTCCTATAGACGAGACAATAAAAAAAGTTATTTTTGCTTTTGCATCACAATTAGACTCTACTACTTTCCACAACAGCTTTAGATTGCGTTGAGTTTACTTACTGTTCTTGAACTTTATCTTTTAATTGTATCCATTTAGTATCGATTTCTACAAATTGCTCTTCAACAGGACTCGAATTTTCTTCAATAACACATTCATTTTGTTGTTCGATATCAACATAGTCTTGTTTTAAACTAACAATATCAATATATTTATTATCTAAACTTTCTTTAAATGTCCGAATATTTTCAAGTTCATTATTTGTGTTAAGTTGTGTTGTTGTTGTAGTAAATGATGATTTATCATCTATCCATGTTGATACATTTTCTAATTTAGCATTTAATTCATCTGATTTAATTCTTGATTGTAATAAATCATTTTGACATGTATTTAAATCAGTTTTAACATGATTCCATTGTTGCTCTAACTCATGAAGACAACGATAAATATCATCTGTTTCTTGTTGATTATTTGTTGAAAGCAAATTTAATAATTGTAAACTATGTATTTGAAGAATTTCTTGAAATTTAATTTCATGATTTGAAAAATCGTTTTCTAATTGATTCAATTTATCTTGTTCTTCTTCAAGACAATGACGTGATGTTGAACGTCGACGAATTTTTAATAATTTTTCGGAAGTATCATTCAGAAATGTTGATAATTCATTGCATTCAGACCAAAATTTATTAGCACATAGTTGAATTAAAACAAGATTTTCTTCACGTAATTCATTAGTTTGTTTCATTATTAACCAATGTTGATTTAGTAGAGTAAGTTTTTCATCGAAAGCTAAACATAGTGAAAGAAATTTTAAGAAGATGATTATTTTTCTATATTATAAGCATGATCACAATGATAGGTAGAGGAACAGGACTTAGCCATGCTAAATCTATTCTCTATTCGATTTCTTTTTTTCTTCTTTTCCATTGATTACAATGATTAATCTTGTTGTATGGCATTATAATTATGCAGTAGACATGTTCTTCGAATGAATATGACGTTTGAAATATTACATAATCAAAATTACTATTATTATCGTAAAATTACTCTTTTGGTTTCACTGATAAATGTGTACACGCGAATTTAAATTAGATATCTAAACTCTCTGGCCCCTAGAGCAACGATTAACAAAAAGGCCAACAAAAACAAATTGTAGAACTCTAAAGATTAAATAATACGTGTTTTAGTAACTTATATTTTATTCAATAATTTTCCAAAAATACAAAAAAATTAAATTCGTTTTGAATAAAGCACTCTCCAGCTTCAGAGAGTATAGTTGATTAATAGTGGTATGACTAAGAAATAGACAGAAGGTAATTTAGAATGCTTTATGCATAGTAAATTTCCTCACATGCAGAAATAAAATAAGGAAGGCACATGTCTTGCTTCAAAATAAACTTTTTATGCCTTACTTCCCATGTGTTTTTGTTTTTGAATACTCTAATACAATGAAATCTAAGTTGCTTTTCTTCATTCACTATTATTATCACGAAACAGGACAAAAGCAAGGTCACTCATATTTTGCATTACGGCCTCTACTATCATACATTCATCAAAGTAAACATCAATAATTTGCGTTTACATTAAAGCATTTGATGAACATAGTTACGCAATTACGATATTAGACCAACAAGTACCCTTTTTACAACATCTTTTTACTAGTTGCACCTTTTAAACCATCTCTATGGGGAATACGTCTCCTAGGAATTGGCATAAGAGGGCTGACTGTAAAAGCAGCATTTTAATCTCAATGAAAACGGCAAGTTTTGACATTGAAACATTCGAAAAATTTACCTTTAACCGAATCCGTATCATCTGCATTGCTTATAATTTGTTTGGAAGTTTCTATTTTTGAATGCAATTTATCAAGTGCTTGTTTTCGCAGTTCTAATTCATTATGAACAACATTATTATCCATTATTTGTTCATTTAATTTAATTGGTCGAGTTGATATTGCATCAGTTGTTGATTCAACTAATAATTCAGACAATTCATTCATCTCCAATTCAATTTCATTGATATGATGATGAAGTTCATCGACAAATTGATTCTTTGGTGTAGATGAAATCTAAACATATAAACAATTCAATTTTTTTTCGATTAGTTTTCATTCTTGGTATTTCTACATCATCTGTCGTTGTTGTTGTTGTTGATGAATCGATTTGGTTAGCGTCATTTAGAGGAGTTTTTAATTTGCTTGTTAATGTATCATAACTTCGGCTGATTGATTCCAAAATGCGTTCAACTGGATTATCATTTGAATCAGATGTTGAACTTTGTAATAGTAGTGCTCCTTTCTGATTAATGAATTCAATATTTTCATTGAGTTTTTCGATTTCATCTTGAAAATCTTTTAATTCATTATAGTTGATTGTTTCGATTTGTGTCTGTTTTTCATTGATTGAAGTCAATAGATTAGTAGCTAATTGATAAAACTCTTGTAAATCTTCTTGATGTAATTGAACATAATCAAATGTATCAAAAATATATTCAACATATTCTGACCATATTTTATCTAAAGAAATGATAAGTAAAATAAATTTGCCTATTATAAGAATTACTTACCAATAGACGTGATTTCTTGTTCAATAAAATCACTATCAATATACCGTTGAGCAGTACTGATCAATGTGAAACCGATAGTTTTGTATTCGTCGATTGTGCTTGACATAGATCTCAATTGATTGCCAATATCCTAATTGAAATAAATCAAAATATTTTATCATAGGTATTTTGTTGTTGTAAAATCAATTGTTCATAATTCGATAAAACTAATTAGAAGAAAAAGGTTATTCTAATTAGAGAAAACTTTGTTCAAATGGTATCGTACTGCGATGTATTAGTAAATGTCATAGAAAACGAGGAGAATTTCCACCCAGGCAATAAACAATTAGTTCATCTTTTTCATGATTAGTCAAGAATGTACTATCTGTAGACATGTTCAATAGAATGCTATGCCTTTTTAACATATGTTTTATTGTAAGCCAATAGTATGATGTTATTTGAATTATCAGATTGATATATTGTAAATTATGACTTTTGTTGACGTGATCATCTATTTCGAATTCCCGACTAGTTAAATTCGGGTCATATTGTTTTTCGTAGACTGTGTTGGACTTTACTAGTTATTACAGTATTTTACGACAGAAGGGTTGTCAGGATGAAAATGATTGTTGTATTTGTCGCCTTTAGATGCATTACAGATGTGTCAATGATAATGTCAGTCTTGAATACGAGATGTTTAACCAATGAATCATGAGAAATAATAGCATATATACACACACACTATACTCGTCCTCAGTTTCGGGATAAAACATGGTGAACTTGTGACTCTTAAGGAAATTACCTAACATATTCCTTTACGATTTCCACAGTTTTCTCTCGTCTTTAGATACTATTTAGTGTTTAAATCAAAAAATCTAAAACAATGCGATTTTTCTAAATTACCCAAATTTATATTATGTTCTTTTTTAGAATATCTCAACTTTTTCATAAACTCGAGCAGGTATCGCGAACCAAACTAGAACAGTTTCCATCAAAAACAAATATCCATAGAAAAGAATTTTTATTATTCAAAATCTCTAACTTGCTTTTCGTCAGAAGTTATTTTAATTCGATTCTCTTTATGAATCCAATTCTTTCTTAAAGTTCATTTCTTAGAATATACTAAACTAAATTCAAAATGGAATATAGCTAAGTCCGTAAAAGAATGTCTTTTTTTCTAGAAAAAGAAAACAAGTTACTTTATATTTTTGTAATACAACAATAATTTGTTCATTGTCTAATGGAAGTATGATAGTTTCATTTAATTGAACTAATTGTTTTGCTTGCTCAATTGAATTTTCAGCATGTTCTTTAGCTAGTTGATATTGATCGGTTTTCTGTCGAATATTTTCTAACAATTCAATATATTGAAGTATGCGTTGTTCAATTGATACATAATTTTCAATCAAGTCATCGGTTTGTTTTTGAAATGTTACTGTTAAATTCGAATGATCAATTGGTTTTGATAATTTTAATTGCTCGTATAAATTTAAAAGATTCGGCGACGCATAAAAATTTATCAATTGTTCATTTAAAACTTTTAATTGTTCAACAGGCAATTTCGAATGTTTAATTAATAAGTCTTGACATGTTTCAAGTGTTAGTTGTTGTTTTAATAAACGATCTGTTGTAACTAGAAATTCTCCAATTTGATTTGTAATTAAATCATACTGATTGAGTATAAATTGTCGATTGGTTAGAATAGTTTTTAAATCATTCTTAAATTTTTCATAATGAATTTTATATTCATCAACTTGATTTTTATATTCAATAATATCATTTTCATCTTCAATATTTCTTGTTTCTAATAAATCATTAACAAATCGATGATATAATGTATGATCAATAACTAGATCTTGATCATTATTTAATAATAATTCTAATGCTGAAAAATTTAAATCATTATTTTGTTCTATTTGCTCGACATAAAGTCGTATATAATTTGAATATGTATCAATTAAATGAGTATGTTCAAGATGAAATTCATTTAATCGTGTTGATAAATGATTAATATATTCATTGTATTGATTTGATTTTTCATTTAATGAATGAATATATTGATCGATTAATTTTAATATATGTCTATCATTATTATCAAATAACTGTTCAAGATTTATCTTTGTATTTATATCTGAATCGAATGAATATTGACGTGTACGTAATTGTGCATGGAATTGACGAAAATTAATTATTTGTTCATCAAGTTTTGAACGTTTTAAAGATAAAAGTTTTGAGAAGAAATCATTTTCAATTGAAGATAATAACCAATGATATAATTCATTTATTCGTTCTTTAATTGTTTGACGTTCATGAAGAATTCGTTCGATTAGTTCGAAATGATGCATTAAACGTTTTTGAGCCTCATTATAACATTCAGTATAAGAATCAAGAAGAATGCAAAGCTAAACGAAAAAAAAAACAAAGCATTAGATAGAATTTATGTTTCACCTTCATAATAATGTTTTGTTTTCTCGTTTTTTTTCCTTTTCATATATATTAGAAAATGTCTGCAAAATAACATACTAACATTACTTGTTATGATCTTCTGTACGTCTATTCTTTTTCCTTTTTTTTCTCCTCTTGGAAAGAAGAATTAGTATTGATGTAAGGTCTTACTCGTTCTGCTTCTTTTTATTTCTGTGCAATGGAACACAGAAAGAAAAGGGTACAGAGAATAGAAAAAGAAGAGAAAAAAACAGTTAGAAATCATATGATTCAAATCAGTCTTTGTTTCCTTTTCGTTTGAAAAGGACAAAAAAACTTAAATTATAGCTCACATGTTCTTTTATTTGATTGTGAATATGATTATTTGATGTAACAAACATTGAAGGTGACATAGGTTCATGAGTTGAAAGCATACGTAACTTATCTAATGGTTGTTGAATATTAAGTAAAAGGACTTGTAATGTATTATCATCCTAGTAAATAAAAGTTAGAACTACAAAATATTATTCAAATCAAACTTTTACTTCTTGTTTTTTTTCATTAACAGCTAAATGCTGATCAAAATCATTCAAGGACCTGCGGAATTCTTCGTCGAGATGATTAATTTCATTGAGGAAAATCAGATGACGTTCACACATGTCTGATGTTTGTTTACAATGTTTAAGAAAATCAAAATAATTTGTTGATAACAATTCAAAACATTGTTGAAGTCGTTTGAAAATCATTGCAGATTTTCCACCATCGGTATTTTCAGTTGCGCGTTGAAAATCTTGTATGATTAAATCAATTGCTTGTAAACTTTCTTGAAGAGATGTTAGATCGTTTCGTAAATTAATTCCTGTATTCAGAATATTCTTGAATTTTTCATTATCAGTATTTATTGTTGATAACTGGGCATTATTTTCCATTTCTTTTTCGTTGTCTTTTAGCCATTCAGTTAAATGAGCATATTTGATATTAAACTGATCGAGTCGAATAATAAATTGTTCAATCAAATTACCCAAACCATTATTGATATCAGATATCTAGTGAATTAGAAAAAGAAAACTGATTCAGGTATACTTTTTCATTTGATTTTTCTAGGTGAGAACGAGAAAAATGATGAAAGTTGTCTCCCTCTCTCTAGAAAGAAAGAAAGAAAGAAAAAGAATTCAATCGTGAAGGAGTAGACTTGCTGATTTTTAAGAACAGCTTCAAAATATCAATGAATACTATTTCAGGAGACGTTAAGAACGAAAGCTTTCACTTTGTGAATATCTCAATACGAACAATCAACTTCGAAGAGACTACTTGATATGTAACTACAAAATTCCGTATTCGAATGATACCGAAATGATCTATCCAGTGACCATCAACAAGTTGCTAACTTCATTCTAAAGAAGATATATTAGGACATTGAATCTGTTACTAGTTAACTCCGTATAATAGATGTGTGGCAATAGTATTCTTCTTGCCTATATTTTTTGAGTATGAATTTGAAAATGATGGATCCCGTCATGAGAATTTCTCACACTAACAATGTACTTTGCTAAAATTTTATAAGTTCAAACACAAGCTAATTTATTGACTACAGTCTTTCCATATATAGGGGATTGTTTTAAGGGTAATTAAACCATTAGAATGATTTCAACCTTCATATTTTCTTCTTTGATTGCAAAACAATAAGGATCATATTCGATTCCATATGCTTACTTCAAGTCGTTTATCCTCAAGATCTCTACTAAGCATTGACAATTGCTCATTGATATTTGTCGCACGTTCAATAAGATTATGAACAATTGGTTTTTCTCTTTCAATTTCTACATGTAATGTCTATAATAAAAGTAATGAAAAACAATTTTCCTTTGTAATTTTGTTACAAATGGTTTTAATTATAGAATACTTTAATATGTTCGACATTGATGCGAAGTTCATCCAGATTGTCAGTTAAATAAACATACTGATTTAATTGATTATGATATGATGTTAAACGACCAGCAACATCATGCATATCCAGAATGACACGATTTTCGCCATGCTAAAGAAAATAATAGTTATGAGCAGTTTCATTATCGAAAGCGAAATGATTTCATTCATGTAAACGAAAAATAAAACATATCATGCAAAAAATAGACGAGCAGCTTTTTTCTCTATTATTTTTACGTGAAACCTTGATTGTCGAACCGATGAAGCTTTATCTGAGCGAAATAAACACAAAAATAGTTTTTATTTTGTATACTTGTAAACAGTTGTTTATTAATTTAAGCAATTTATTCACTTGATCAAAATTTGATTTACCTGTACGTTCGGTGTAGATTCGAATGAAGTCGATGTATGTAGTACATCATGATTATTATCAATAGTTGGTGATAATGAATGTTCATTAGAAAGATCTGTTGTTGATGAAACATCATTAGTATTTTCCTTTGGCTCATTTAGTTTTTCATTATCTTGATTATTTGATATCGATGATTCCTGAAAGTTGCAAGAAGATTAGTATCGATAGTTCGATTAACACGAAATCCAATCCCTAGACTAAAAACATTCACACGCGTCAAATATCATGCCATTTGTGAAGATAGATTATTAGTGAAAACCACACAGTTTACATGCATTGTAAATGAAAAATCGAGACAAGAAGAAAAGAGAGTGCGATATTTTCTTCTATTCGATAGCAATTAAAAGCTAGGTATACAATAAAATTATCTAAACAAGCAACTACGCAAATTTGTTCGAACATTCAATGATCGAATCAAGTACACTACGTGGATATATTGATTAGCGTTAACAAACGAAAGACGTTCGTTTTTTTTAAACGATTCGATAATTATTATCTAGATTTGTTAGTATTCAAGAAATTTTCTAAGATAAAACTACAACTAATATAACATTGATGAAGTCCCTTATAAAAGTTTCGCTTTTCTACTCGTCTATTACTATATTTATCTAGGCTTTTTACTAAAATCATTATCAGATGAAAGCCACTAAAAAGAAAGAATGGTTATACAATTCTCAAATAATTTCAATTTTAGTCTCCTAAATAGAAAATGATCAGTACCATTACAAATAATTATTTATGTTAACAACTGAAACCCAAAATTCTATTCTACATAAAAATTAGTTAATTCCCCAAAAAAACTAATAAGAATTTTATTATTACTTATAATTTATTCAACTAAAGATTAGAAGAATCAAAAAAGAATACTAAGGAGTAATTTTTAAAAAAGAAAGAAATTTGTCGGCTAAAACCCAATTTTATTTTTTATTGTTTTCTTGTTTTTTTTTTCTTTCTACTGATAACAAAACATTTCAATTTTCATATACATATATTTTAAATCTTCCTCTATCTTCTTGTTTCTTTTTTAAGACAAAAAAAAACGAAAACAAAAAGAGCAGTGTACAATCGCAATAAAAGGGTGTAGCGGTAGTGTGTAGATACTAAAAGAAAAAAAAGTTCTCTACGTGGGCTGATTTCTTTGTGTTCTAATACTAGCACAAATTGGAGACAAAATACAAAATAGACGTTTATACACAAACAGAACATACAAGATACGAATTTTTTGTTCTGTACACATAACAAAGGATAATAATAATTGTAACAAAAACAACAAATGAAGAGATTCCTAATTAATATATATATATATATGTATGTATATATACGTCAGTGTTCATTGTACGAAAATAGATAATGAAGGAGAAGAAGAAGACATCGGAACAAGTGTTAATAAATAGAGGTAGTAAGAAAGAAAAAACATTAAATCAAAAGACAAAGAAGCCTTAATCTGATTGTAGTCATTAGAAGAAGGATGAACGATGGATGCCACCAAACTCACCTAGAATAAATAGACAAAAGAAAATAAGTGATATTAATGTTATAGTTAATTTTTTTTATTAATAAGTCATGCAAAATAACAAACAAGCAAGCGTATGAAAGTTACTACTCACATTTTCTAATAACGACCGTGACAAATATATATATATATATATATTTAGAGAGAGAGAGAGGATTAACGTACAACAAACATGCATCGTATTGAGAAGAAAAACCAAATATATTGATTAGCTTACCTTGGATACGGCTGTTGGCAAAGAAGATAATTGTTGTTCTAGAAAGAAAAAGAAATATTCTAAATAAATAATATATAGAATGTTTATTCAACATACGCTTTTGTTGAAAACCTGACGATGTACGTCCTCCTTGTGATTGATCTGAAGAATTATTATTTTGTTGTACTCGAGTTGTAGCACTTGAATAGAATGAATTTCCACCAGAACGTTTCCATCCTTCACCAGATTTAAATGTATCATCATCATCATCATCGTCATCCTTATGATTTCCACCATTCCATCGTGTTCTCCAATCATCATCACGACATGTTCGTGTGGGACTTGAGCCAGTTCGTCGACGAATACTGTGTTTTAAATCCTTTGCAGTACCATCAACACTCAATGGACTAATAGCTCGTGCTTTTGACTTGATGCGATGCCAACCGCTTCCTTGGGAATCTTCATCGGCTGAATCTGGTGCACTATTATAATCATAATGTAATGAACTTTTAGCTAATGAATGTCGTCGATGTTTTCTTGATGTTATTTTAGCTGCAACTGTTTCATGGTTGGCTTTAATTGGTACTAGGGGTGCACCAACAATAGCAACAATGCCATGTCGAATAGCTTCTCGTATAGAATATTGCGTGTGGGTATGTGTATCATAGATTAAACCTGATTCAGAATCTACTAAGCCACGTTCAATAGCATCTTGTATTGTATATTCACGGCTGGCTTTAGGATCGAATAATTTCATACGATTATTGTCGAGTAAATTTTTTCGTATAGCTTTTTCAAAACCAACTGATTCATTTTGTAAAGGTAGAAAGACTTCACCAGCGTTAACATCAAATTGTGAAAATAATTTTCTATGATTAAAAGCTAATTCTAATGTTGTTATTGTTTTATTTGTATATGAATCAATAACTTGTCCATCATGATCAATTCTAATGCCGTCTAGTGCTTCTTTTAATGTCATAAAACGTCCACTTGTTGGATGTTCAATAATTGTACTTTGTCCATCGATTAAACCACGTTGAATAGCTTCTTTCAAATTTAATTGTTCACCACTATGTGGATGTTTATAAAGGCCCGTTCGAAGATTCAATAAACCGCAACGTATAGCATCTTCTACATTCATACGATGTAATTTTGATTCAACTAACCGTGCACGATATAGACTAATCTTAGCTGGATTTAATTTGCCACCATCACGACGATTTATTAAACCCAATGAAAATGCATCATATAATGTTATTGGACCTTGTTCACTATCGGCAAAAGCAATACCATTGACATGAATATGGCCACGCTCAATAGCTTCCATTAGTGCCATATAATGTTCTGTGGCTGGATCACGGAATGTACCTGAAATCGTATGAAGAAGAAAAAAACATGAGCACAATGTACGAGTTAACCTTAAAGCGATTGCTTAAAGTGTTTCAAGTTTTTTTGGACGTTAAAAATGCTATTTTGTATGTCAGAAATATTTAGGCTCTCTGGATTTATCAATAATCACCTTTTCTCAGCATAATTAAAATTTCACTGTTGTATTCTGTTAGACCAACAACAATTTACTTTTTATCAAAACAAAACCTAACAATTCCGCACTCCTCCTATGATTGATTTTTCAAATTAATAGTGAGTGTAACAATTTTGTAGAATAATTATGCAAGTTAGGAGAAGAAAATAAAGCATTGATTTGAAATCATAACTACGACCTGAATGTATCGTAGGTGCTATATAGAAATAGTTTAGTTGATATATCATCATACTGAAAATGATAATGTTCTCATAATTCCAATAGAAGCATTACGGAAGATTAATGATTAAGATACACTTGTTTTAGCAAATATTTGCTTTCGTTTTTTAGAGGGTTTCATAATATACTGTACTTTTACTTTGAATGGCTTTTTTGGTCGATTGAAATCCGTCAAAGTTTAATTTTTAGGGCTTTCGTTAAAGTCTCATTTGTTATTCTTGCCTTATGCGTCTCATATACGTATTCGCAAATAAAACCATTTTGAAATGCTAATCTAAACCTTTAAGTTTTCTGCTGTTTCTCATCATTAGTCAGCAAATGAAAACGCACATTGCCTAGAAATTTTCGTATGATTCTTAATGAATATATTTCACGTATTAGATTTAATTTATAGTTGAAACTTATTAGTTTGATTTACCTATGTGATAAATAGGGATAAGAAGTTAACGCTTCTATAGATACTTCAACATAGTCAATTAGTTCAATCATCAATCAATAATGTTTTATGATTCACTAGTATATATATATTTTTTTTTAAAAGTTCAATGGAAAGGCTTTCTACGATTCGCTTCTTGCTCTAACGTTAATTTTACCTGTTTCAGCTACATAAAATCCAAGTCGAATAGCATTTTGCATTGATAATCCTAATGGTTTTCGTTCAACATGTTCACTTATTTCAGCTTCAATTAAATTTTTATTAATAGCTTCTTGAATGGTCATTGTTTCACCAGTTGAAAAATCAGTATAAGTTTTAGCTTCTGTATCAATTATTTGATTTTTTACAGCAACAGCTCCGGATTCCATACGATCTAATACATTATTACGTACACCATGAACTTTATATAAAGTAATACGTTTTTCTGTAATGGTATCAGTTATTAATTCTAAATCATATTCTTCAAATCTCTTTTGACTAATAAGCTCTACATCGAGTAATTTCTTTTCAATAGCTTTATCTAAAAACAAATTTACAATAAGATTTTCCTTTTTTTTTGTTTGCCATTTTTTTCTTACCAAGTGGGATTTTTACACCATATTTTCGATCATGATAAACACCTTGTGCATAATTAAGTATACCAATAGCTTGTGCTTCTAAACCACCGATTTTTTCTAATGATTCACTATCAACAGCTACACTTTTAACAATAAATTTTCGAATTATTTCTTGTACGGATGACGTTAACATTTCTGTATCTTCTTTTGTTTCAATTATTGTTGCATAAACTAAACCTTCGTTGATAGCTTCAGCTAGTTCATACTGAACATTAGTCACTAAATCTCGATAGCTACCTACAGATTAAAAGTTACATATTAGAACAAAAACAAAATCATTTATAAAATCGAGAATCGTATTAGTACACCAACGGCAGGGTACTTCAGTAGTTTTACAATTAGAGATATATGTATGATACCCAGTAAACGAGACAAAAGTTAATGTTTTCCATTTTCTAATAATTGAATAAAACAAAAAGATTCGATATATATTGTTCTTCAACTACATCCGCAAGGTGAAATTTCTTTTAATGTTACCCTAAGGTATCAACAATTTTAACGATACTGAGTTTATGGCAAAATAAAACTCAAAGTGATTAGAACGTTGAAAATGAAAACTAACAATTAAAAATTTGCCCTTTGGTGATCTCAAAAAATCCATTAGTTGCTAGTAAATAGAAATGATGGTTTTTATTCTTTGAGTACTGAATCCTTGAAACAAATTGCTAAAATAGGACAACAAAAAGTTATTTTGAAGAATGCTCATGAAACGGATTGCAGAACAGCAAGAACTATTTATCCTCATCCAAGCATTATAACTGTGTTTTGCAGTGGTTCTATTCAATTGGATCCGATCTAAATCGAGAGATAACTAATGCAGAATTTGTTTTATCAATAATTCAAACTTTTTCGTTCTCTCGTTTGAAAGACGTGATATGATAAATCTTATTTTTTAACATCATGTACTCCCAATCATAGAACTACAATCTGTAACATCTGTTCAGAGAACCATTTTTTTCTTTTCATGACTTGGTTTCTACTAAATTTTTATTTTTAGCATAACCCTAATTAGAATAGACTAAATAACTGTACTAGTTATTGATGAAGATTGATGTTTATCCATCTTCATCAATCAACAATAAGATATTGTTCTGCTTATCGTAATTGCTTTTCAGTCATTTTGATCAGATTGTCCGCCTAAACAGTGAGTAGATCAAGTTGTCAGTTTAATGAAAACTATTTTATCTTATCAATTATGTTTAACTAATGATATTGCATAGACACTAATCATGAGTACATTTTCTTTTATTGTTCTTTAACTTCTGTAAATATTTTCCGTCTAAAAAACATCTCCTGTTCTTCCATAAATGGACAGATGCCTGATATTATGCAAAACAAAGAATTCTTTCCACAGGAACGAAAGACAAAATCAATTACTCAACTGATCTTTCTTAAAAGACCAAATACATAATAGAAATACCATAATGTAAAAACATGTCATATCAACAAAACAAAAAACTGAATAAAATCCGAAGATCTAATGGTTACATAATGAAAAATGAAATTTTGCTTACCTATATCTTTATCAAGTATACCCAAATCGATAGCTTCGGAAACTTTAATTTCTTTTTGTGTTAATGGATGTATAACCGATGTAATAACATATGTTGCTGTTTTAGTTGCTATTGTCAATTCATCTTCATCAATAGATATTATTGATGGTGGCCTTATACTATTGTCTGATGATGAGTCATCATCATTACAGCGAATATAACCAGCTTGAATAGCATCATAAATAGTCATTATATCATTGGTATCAAATTTACGATATTCATTTACTTGTACATCTAAAATACCTTGTTTTAATGCCTCACGCGGTAAGATTTTCTTCATATTTCGTGTATCATAAACCCATTTAATATTATAGGTTTGTCCATTAATTGTGACAACAATTGAGTCATTTGTTGAATTATATTCTGTTGCACCAACAAATTTCAAATAAATAGCTTCATGTAATGATACTTGAGATTTATTATATGGATTTATATAACGACCATTTAGAGGATCTAAAATTTGTTTACGTACAGCTTGCCGTGGAAATATTCGACGTTTTGTTGATGGATCTAATACCCAATGTATCATATAATCAATGCCATCGACATGTATTGGTAACGATGCTGTATCGGGTTCAACACCCATATAACCTAATTCAACAGCTTTTTCAAATGAATAAGATTGACGATTTAATTTTTCATCATAAAATAAACGTTGTTTAGTATCTACTAAACCACGTTGATAGGCATTTTGTAATGGTAGCCGATCACCTGTTGCTGTATTCATTACCCACACAACACGATATGGTTCTCCTTTAATCATCATTATACAATGCCATTGTTCCCATTCTTCTTCAGTCCATGATTGTTGTTCATCATAGGCATAATCATTGATTTGTTGTTTTGGTACTGGAGAAATTTTAACATGATTATCAGTTATATCAATATATTCTTTTTGTACTGTTGTATGAGTTGATGCTGATGAATATGGACGTTGATGATCTTCAATAATAAGTTCACCATGATGTATACGTTGACCTTCACGTTGACGATCATCAATATGAACTGGACGTGGTGGTGATAATGGAACATGTGGACGCGTACCTGGAACAACTCGCACCTGTAAAAAAACGAAAAGTAAAAGAATTTTAATTCTTGAATTATTATGAAAAAATTGTTCTATTTGCTTTTTCAATGAACTTTATCGATTAATTAAAAACTAAAAGTTATCTTTCTTACTTCATGTTCACGATGTGTACCATTAATAATAAGTTGATCTTTTGCAGGTGGTGGAACATATCTATCACCTTCAATAACAATTTCTCTGTGTGATGAATGTCGATCTTCTTTAATATCAAATTTAGCCCGACGATTATTTGGAGTACCATCATCAATAACAACTTCTTCAATATATTGTTGTCGTTGTCGTTCATTTGATTTAGCTCGATTTACTCCATTTCGACCAATAAATATTTCTCTATCAACAATATTTTTTGTATGTTGTTCAATAATTTCTTCTTCACGTGTAATAAAATTTTGTTTATGTCTTGGTAAGCGTTGTATAGATTCAATTTCTACGACATCTTTTTCATGTTGTAAACTTTCCGATTCGTTTATTTCATATGGTGTACGTGAACGTGCTTGAGATTCAATACGTATCGATAATTTTGAACGTGAATCATTTGAATTACCATATGGTTCTTGACTTATTATTGTATGACGTCTATCTGTTGATATTTGATCGGTATTATTAAATATAATTTGTGATGATACAGCTTGCACTTGTATAAGACCACGTTTAACAGCATCACCTATATTGATTTCATCGCCTGTTATTGGATGAATATAAACACCTTTTTTATGATCAAATAATTTTTGTTGTATACCTATAAATATAAAGAAGAAGAAAAAAAGGAATCTTTTTAAAATTCATGTCTTATGAAGTTATTTTTTAATTACCATCTTGAAGGTTGTATACTTTATCTGTGCGTATATCAATAATGCCAGTTATTAAATAAAAAACTTGTTCATGCTGATCACCATAGAATGATGATGGATGTTGATCACGAAATTTACCAATAATTAAACCTTGTTCATATGCTTCAAGTACAGTCATTTGTTTTTGTGTTACTGAATGATAATATATTGTTATATTCGAATTTAATAAACCTGTTCTAATAGCTTCGTTGACACCTAAACGACGATTTGTAACAGGATCAATAACTTGTTCAATAATTAACGTTTTAACATAACGTTTTGGATGTTGTTCAATTAATTCAGTAAATATTAAACCTTTCTCAATGGCAACACTTATTGGAAGATTTTCACCTGTTAAACTATTTACATAAAAACCTTTTGCGTGATCAATAATTCCTTCATCAATAGCTAAACGTATGGGAATTTCTTGACGTGTTTTTGGATGTATAGCACTTTTAAGTGTATAAGTTTTTGTTTCTTTAACTGTACCACGTCTCTGAGTATTTATTGTTTCTTGATTTGCTGAAGATTCAACGGGCAATGGTTGTGCCCGTATATGTCCTTGTGCAATAGCTTCTGATATAGATAAGATTTCATTCGTTTTTCGATTGATATATTGTCCATTTTGTTTATCTAAGATGCCCAAACGTATAGCTTCTTGTACTGGCAATTCTTTATTACTGATATAATCATGAACACCTAATAAATGATATGATCGAGTTTCACGTATTAATGATGTTGATATAACATATTTATCATTATGATGATTATGATCTGTTGTTTTCTGTGGTGGTTGTTGTTCAACGATAATGAAACCTTTACTCATAGCATCATCGATTGATATTGATTCTTGTGTTAAATTATTTAAATATAAACCATGATATGGATCAAGTATTTTTGTGCGTATGGCAATATTCGGATCAACAAATGTATTCAAACGATGATCAAATACACTTGAAATAATAAGTGATTCAGTTTTTGAAATAATATTATATGATTGAGGATCACCAACTTTGAGAATACCCATTTTTAATGCTTCACCTAAGTCTAATTCACGTGATGTAACACGATCAATAATATGATGATTGATTGGATTTATTAAACCCCGAGAATATGCTTCACGTAGATCGTAATTACTAAATATGAAAAAAAAAGAAATGATTCATCTGTTTTCTTTTCGTAAAAAATAACAAAAAAAATGAATTAGTATGACTTCGATTTTTTTCTTGTCGATGCGTCATACTCTCTCTCTCTCTCTCTCTCTCTTTCTCTGTATATATATGTACGTAACAGAGAATTTTATTTAAAACGTAAGATAGAAGAGAACAGACTTTTGTCTTATATGTATGAATTGCATCAATATATCAAGTTCATATTAATATGTTAAGCAGAAAATGAATGTGCTTTATGCTTATATACAACGATGATGGAAATCCATACAGTATTAGCTGTGTACCTATTACATGTTCAATAGTATTTCGTCATCCACTCAGAAGAATACAAACATATGTAAAAGAAATCTCATTTTATAGTAAAGAATAGTATCTAGCTAAGTAAAACAAAATTCCTCGCTTTCATTTATTGTCCTACTTTTTTTGTTGTAATTTTACTAACCGTTGTTCGAGCGTATCGACTACGTAGGCGCTACGCGAGTCTAGAATATTTGCATCGATCGCCTCTTTCAATGTAATGGTCGTCGTTGTATTACTTGTGGTTGTAGTGGAGTCTGCGCCAACGGGAAAAGGACGATTATTCACCGACAACGACGACGTGGAGAGAAGATTTTTGCTGTTGGTTGTGTTAGTAGCCGTATGTGGCGGCGAAGACGATGTAGAAGAAAAATGGTTGTGAGGGTAGCGATGTTGATCGGGCGGCGATGTAGAGGAAGAAAAAGGAGAAGAAGAGGAAAGAACGAATGGAAAGGGAGAAGAAAAGAGACCCGTTGACAAATCGAGATATTTGCTATTGACCGCATCAACAAACGAAAGATTTTTTCGTTGTGTCATTTCATTCGATTTTAAACTTGTTATGATTATATGACTCTTCACAACTGTTGATGTTGGCTGTTGATTTTGTTTTTCTATGATAAATCTTACTTTCTTATTATTATTATTATTATTATTATTTGTTAGATCATTATCTATTCCAAATGGCGATGATAATTCGCTTGCCGGAATAACATAAGTAGTTTCAAGTGAAACTGAACCGTCTAATGATAATAAAGGATAATAATGATGATGATGGCGATCAACAGTGACCTTTTCGTTTGACAAGTCAATAAAACCTATGAGAAAGACAACAGATTGTATACAATTATCATGAATCTTTCAATTTGCATAAACATTCAGAAAGAAAGAGAAAAAGAGAGTATTAGATGTTTGTTCTTCACTTGAAATATTTCTCCATTGACATATACGCTTTATTTTACAATGACGTAAAAAGGGACATGAAGAAATAATGTATATGAAATGAATAAATCGGCAGCGTCCACAACAACGGCCGGGCGGACAATGGAGGAAGCTGTAGAAGAAATGTGAAACAGAGAAAAAAGAAAGAGCATGCACATTTAGCATAGAAGCTTCGATTTGTTGTATGTTTTTACTGCTTTCACCCTCTCTTCATATGTACACACTTATACATATACATTTACTATCGTTCTCTCACTTTTCTTCTCAACCCAAAATGACTGAACTAACTGGCTCAGAGCCACATACGTATATACATATGTGACAAACGAAGAGATTAGATCTGTGTCAATATCGTGATTGCACATCTATCTCATTATAGGCCTTGGGTCGGATATCTCTTTTGTGTGACCATGCTTATGATGCGTAGTCGATGAAAATAGGTGGAGTTTAATGAATGTTATACCAGACACATAGCATTCAAGTCTATACTATTAGTGTCGAAATCTAACATAACTAAGTATCAATGATAATTATTATGAAATGAAAGATTGTTGTACATAATCAACAAATTGCTTTCAATTGCCTATCTAAGAAACTTACATGTTATTATATAAAAAAAAATAACTAGGCAAAAAACAAAACAAACGACTTTATGTCATTTATGGTAAGATAAATGATCTAATATAATATGTATATTCTCTTCTAAATTATTATTGTCATCAGCTGTTTTTTTTATTAGTATGTCTATCTTCAGAAATAAATATTAAATAACAAGCATATCTGTATCTATATATGTTTTATCACAATGTCCAATTTTTCTATGCTTAACTTAATACCAAAAGTAAGTCAACATATACAACACATGGATTAAATCAATGATAGAAGAAAGTTCATTTGAGCATCTCATTCAATCAAAACTAAAAATGAACGAAGTGAAAGAAGGACGATTATAGTACAGGCTAACCCTTTTCGGTATAATTTGACCTTCTTTATGTGCATTTGATCATAAAAAGAAGAAAGACAAACTAAAGTGTGAGAGAGTAGAAATGAGCTCACTGTGATCGACCTTGCACGTTTAAGAGTAAAGTATCTTCTTATCACATGTCTATATCCTATAATTCTTCTTCTTCTTCTTCTGCCTTTTCACATGTGTATGCTGATGTGATTATGCAGTACGCAGTATCATAAACAAGAGAATAAAAAAGAATCTAGTATCATAGAAATAATATCGACCAATCTATAAAAGAATTTAGGTGATAAGCGATAAAGAACACCATGGTCAATTACTATTGGTACAATTACTATCTTGATTACCTGTTTCGTGCTTGTTTTGTTGGCTCTGTAATATGGATGACGGTGATGATGAAACAATTTTTTCTTCATCATCATTATCGGATGAAAGAAGAGCTTCTATAGAAGTATTATATCGAGATGCGATTGTACTTCGATAAAGATGAACAATCGTTGATACTGAATCTATAGGAAGATTAATTGCCTATGAATACCATCGAAAATAAGAAGATAATTAATCAAAAAGAATAACAATTTATTGTTAAATTACTTGTCCAATTGCATTATAATTCTTTAAAAATGATCTTGCATATTCTTCCATATTAGCAAGAAGATTAGCATAATGTCTAATGAAAAACATAAATATATCATTGCTATTATAAATATTGTCATTTATTTTTCTTACCTATCAAATCCTTCAACTTTATGTAAAACAGCTCGAGAAGCATTTTGAATATTAGATGGATATTTTTGTTGTTTAATAGACATTGATGGACAACATAATGATGCACGAAAATGTTTTAAATTTTTGTCATGCATCTAGATGATGATGGTCAAATTTTCTTTTTTTCAAAATATAACAAAAAAAAACTATTCTACATGCAGTGACATGCTTTCCGTTATAGGCCATTAGTATGAGGATGTGTTTTTGTTTTTCGAAAGGTTAAAAAAAATAAGCTAACATTACCTTAACTTCTTGTATAAATTTAATAGCAACATCATTCATATGTTCAATCAATTGTGCTCGAGAAAGAATATCATTGAACAGATCCTAAAATTGAATATTTAAAAGAGAATTTCTTGAAAATTGACTTTTCATACAGTAACAATTTTTGACATTCTTTTTAGTTGTATTGAATCATTTGATATTGGTTCAAGATGTTGCATACGTTTTTCAATATTATAAAGTATACGTTCTTCTTGTTCGAATAATTTTTTGAACGATCGATAAGCTTCAATCGTTTGTTTAATCGATCGTTTTCTATAAAAGATAGTATTTATTAAAACGAAAGCACACGGGAAAAAAATGAATAAACCTTTGAATAATTTCTAATGTAGTTTGTCTTCCACGTGATGCTAATTGTTCGCTAATACTACTTAATTTCTCATTATTAAGTTGTTCACTTTGATTGAGAAGCTCATTGATAGGCTTCTCAAGACTTTTTAAATGATTATGTAATTCATTAAGTTCATTTAATTGACGGTGAAAATAATTTTCATCGTCAATTGGCGAACTTTGAGAAAGTAATTGAGTTTCTATTTCCATCATTTTAGGTGATATATTATTGAGAAGACTTAAAGCAGCTTCAGCAATCAACAATCTGAATAAAAATAAAAATAATATGATTAGTTTTTATTCCGACGATTTTATTTACTTATCAGAATAAATTTTCGAAGTTGTAAATAAATTTTGAACATGATCTGATGTTTGATTAACCAATGAACGTAATTCTTGATGAGATAATAAATGATATTCTTGTCGAATATGATTACGAATCTCTTTAATACGGCTTGCTTGTGAAAGAAGGTTATTTTCGAATTCCTAAAATGTTCAAAAAACAAAACAAAAATAAATTCATAGAAACATAAAATAAGATCAATTATTTTATATCATTCCTCTTTTTCGCGAATAACTCCTGTAGATAGAACATTTGAATTCAGTGGAATATGTTTTATTCGTGTATTTGTTATTGGTGATTTTGGAACAGATAGTTCATGAATATTTAAGGAATTTGAATGATTATTCTTGTTAAGTCGATCATTTGAACTACCGCGTACAATCGATCTAGTTTCAATGTATGTTATATTTGATGGGCCCAATGAACTGGATCTATGATGATTTTCATCAAGCACAGGACATGAACCGTAATGTTGATGTTCTTTGGTCATATGTTTGTGATGGTGATGATGTTCAGATTTTTCGCTTTTTTCCTCACGATGATGCTGATGATGACGATGATGATGATGATGATGATTGTTATTATTATGTTTATGATGATGATGATGATGATGTGGACTTTCAAAACGTATGCGTACGTTAATACCACGTTCATTAGCTGTTACTGTTGGTGATTTAGGTAGAATTCTATCTACTGACGAATAACGTACTGGTAAGATGCGATAGCTAGCACTGCAAGCTGAACTTGTCGATGAGAAACTACTTGTCGAAGATGCTCGTTGGAGATATGTTTGATGCTGAGAATCAGTGTCGGATGAATAATAATCATTGCTAGTATTATAAACAGAACGAGATGGCAAATATCGACATGTTGTCGTTGATGAACGAGGAAGATGTTGGCGATGATCGGCATAAGAAGAAGAAAAAGAGCGCTGCATCACTTGTTCACAATTATTTGTCTAATGAACACAAGTTGTTAATATACACACACGATGATGGCAATTGAATACATATGGTAAAAAAAACGATTGTTGTTCTTATTCGTTAAATAACCAATGCTACCGTTAATGCAAATGGTATCACCAGATTCTTCAGAAAGTCTTTTCGTTGTCGATGGCAAAGCGTCTGTCTAACTGTATTTTTCTTTTTTTCTCCTATTTTGCGACGACATTTGTACAGACAGATAATACAAAAGGAAGAAAAAGTCTTATCTGCTTTCCACTCAAAAAAAAAAACAAGACTGATAATCTGTGATGACCTGTTCTATTATCTAATATATATATATATCCTTTTTCTTTGCGGCTTTTTTCTTCGTTAACAAACGCAGCTGACTGCTTTTACTATTTGATTGTTAGTATAAATGTAGATAAATACGTATCAACACTAGACAGTCGATATCTCAAGCACATTTTTTGTCCTAAGAAATCATTTTCTTTTTGGAGAAAGAACCTTGCGTATTTTTTTCTAGAAAATCGCATATAGTTTTTGATTGATTAAATCATGCATATTCTAACCTTATGTTGCTTAAAATATGTAAGCAGATCATCATTAAATCTTGGTAAATTATTTTGTAATACACAGTTTATACACTTTTCAAGTATTTGATCAAGTATATGTAAATTTGAATCGATCAAATGAAGTTCTTCGAATAGATCTACTATAGTCGACTGTATCACATCTAAACATAATTTTTCAGTAACATCACGATAAATAAAACATCTAACCAGCATTCATAGTATGTGATGAGTCAGAATCGATTCTAAAATCTCCAGTAACGGTAACATTTAGTTTTTCAACATTAGTTGACGTAGATGAATGAGTCTACAAATAAAAAGCAAAGTTAAATATAGCTAATATTCTTTGTTGCTTGTCACATGGTAACTACTTTGCTGTATAATTATCGCAATTAGTCAAGGACACAACTGTTGATACAGTTAGATTTTTTTTTTCGTATAGGTAATATTGAACTCTAAAGAAAATTCCATTACGATCTTCGGATTGAGGCCGCCCCCGATGTTGGACACAGAATTTTTAACAGTTTTCTATAGAAAATTCATTTTGCAAAAAAAGATATATTAGAGAAGAATTTTTGATGTCACTTTTGTTCTATTTCTATTACGATAAATGTGTATTATTTTGTTTTTATGATTCCATCAACAATAAATATCAAGGACTGTTCTTCTGCTTGGATGTCTATGACACATGTCATGTATAAAACAAAAACTAGCCTTGAAAACATCATCTCTAATTGTTTTCCGTGAAACTGAATAAACTATACGTGTTTCAAATGATTTGAATATATTGCAGTTTACTGAGTTACTTGATTCTGCATTCTTTTGTGTACTATACATGTGGTTTTACCATTAGATAATAATACAATTTTATGTTTATTCAAAGAAAAGGAATCCGACCAATGTATTTTATCTCAATTGCCTTTAAACAATATATATTTAAATTATATACATAATGTGATTTCGATAAAAAATAATAATCCTTTCGAACTTCAAATGAATGACATATATATTATGTTCTAACATATATTTTGTAGCTTAGGTTGTTTTCTCTCGAGAAACTCTGCAATTCGTATGACACAAGTAAATCTTTATAGGTGACAGTAACAAAAAATAGTCTGCTTTATACTTGCTTTCTATAAAATAAACTAGCATACAATGTAATTGATGTTATTTGAAGTTTGTCAATATAAGTTTCTCGAAAGTGTCATATCATTCCAGTGATTTGCTTCTATATGCATAGATATTTAATAACCTTATACTTCATCGTTCATTGTCTAATACTAACTCAATAGGATGGGTATAGATTCAACAATAAAAATATCCCATGATGGCGCTTATATGAGACTCGCATGATTAAGTTTGGAAAATCTCATTTTATTGTGCAGAAGTAGAATAGATCAATAAGAATCTATATATTAGGAAAAAAATTTGTTTTTCATTACATCATTGTTTTTTCTATCGAACGAGAGTTTTTTTTCATAATCTAATATCTAGTATTCCATTCTATCGGATGATGTTTATGATAAAATTTTATCTCTAATATCATTCACGTATATAGACTAATGGACTAGATGTTTCTATATCAGAATAGGGATAAATCTAATGGCATGAAACCATTACCATACTAAAAGATCTATCTACATGTGAAGTTCGATTTAAACTTTGAAAGCTAGTTCTTCTGATTTCCTTGATGAGGTCATTACATTGGTTTAAAATATACCGTAAAATTACACTTATTCTACACTCACAAGTGACAGATTCGGAATCATTTTTAATGGTACCCATAGTTCATTATGGTCTACATGATACAAACAATTAGTTCCAACTCAAATGCAATCAATATCAGTTAAGAAATTTAACTGTTTAGCTCAGAAAAAGCGAAGGTGAATTCTATGTTGTTACGAATTCGTTGGAAGGCTCTGCAAGATGTGCGAGACCTATCACGACTCAATATAGATAATTTTCATTTATAGTATCAAGTTTGTTTTGTTGTGAATTACTCCTCTGTGCATAGATTTATCGGAAATGCAGAATCGGTTGCATAATAAGCATTTAAAAAAGGAAGATATTTTGTGTAGCTTTGATTTGATTTGCTAACCTTTTGTTTTAATATCTGATGAGAACCATTGGTGGGTATCGATGATAAATTTAAATTAATATTAATGCGTAAATGTAATTGATGAATTCGTTCAAGAAGATTTTGAATTTGTTCATTTGATAATAGCAATGTTCTATAATTCGTTAATATCTGATCTAATTTCGATTGTATTTCATTCATATAGTTCATTTTTGAATGACTATCTAGTTGTTTTGACTATAAACGAGATAAAAGATAATTTTCTGCACAGACAATAAAGTAAAAACAAACTTTTATTTCAATATTTGCAATATCTCGTTCAATTAAATCTAAATCAATCACTAATCGTTTATATTTGTTAAGATCATTTTCAATACAATGAACACTTCTTTCAAGTTCATGCCAAGCTAAATTTATTGATTCAATATCAGGTTCTAATGATTGATGATATTGAAAAGTCTAAAGAAAAAAAAATGAAATGAACAATTTATGAAGATTTTGTTTTCTACTAATTTACTTTAAATTCTTCATCAATCGATCGTAACTGATGTAACAATTGATTATATTTTGATAGTTCATCATTTTTTAGTACGTATGAAAATTTTTCAAACGTTTCAAATTCTTCAAGAGTTTTAAATTTGATTTCACGATTTAAAAAATCTAATTTTGTTTTTATCCATTTAATTAGGTTCGATGCAAGATTTCTGTATCTGGAGGCTAATTCACTTTCAAGTCGAATCTAATAAAAAGAACAATTTTCATGCAATACGAATTCGAAACAAAACAAACTCTGTCATGTTCTTGTCGCAATGGATGACTGGGTAATGTTGGGCATGCTTTATATAAATAGGCGATATATAGTAAAATACTTTTTTCATCCGGTTCATCAGTATCGACATCTGAATATTGAAGAAAATCAAGTATTCGATTTATGTAAGTAATTGTTGAAGTTTTCAAAGGTACCTTCAGGATCGATAAGTTGTGTAATGCCATAATGTTTTTGTGCAAAATTAAAAGCTTGAGTCAAATTTTCTCTATTGGAAGCACAATAGGCTTGTCTCAAATTAATTAAATTTGGACTACAAAAAAAACATAGAAACAGAAAATAAAGTTAACTTTCATATTTATTAACTAACTTATGTCGATGAAGTATACCAAGAAATGCCCGACCATTACGCCATGAACGCGTAAAATCATCGATATAAATTCCTGGGTAACCTTGACATTGCTGACGAGCCCATATAAGTAACTTATTACGATAGTTTATTGGTATGTGATCGACTGATAGATTTTTCGAAGGTTTTATTGTTGTTTGTTCGGATGCTGATAAAGATTCAATCATTGAAATAGACGATACTGTTTGTTGAGTATTTATTGAAACGGTCTCATTCGATGAAGTTAAATTTATATCAGAAAACTAGAATGAAAATTTATTTGTGTTAGAGAAACGGGTTTAAAAGACTAGAGAGTTGAGACTGCAACATAGATCCAATAGGTTGAATTCTTAAAATGATTCTAGATTTTACAATGAAATTTTTCCTAAGAACAAAATGCTTGTTAAAAATTTCACAAATAGAGAATGTGAAATTTAAACTATGCCTATAGATAAATTCGGCAGCTATTAGAAAGTTCCGTAATGTTTAATGAAGATGACCATGATCTAATCGAGATATTTACTATTCTAGTGGACTTGATGGGTGTGTTTTCTTTTGTTAAAGTTCGTTTTTTTTTAATCGAGTATTTTCCCTCGTAATGTGTAAAATAAATTAGTATTTGAAAATGTGATGAACTCTAGTTTGCATCGACAGTTAGACCCCAACTGAATTCCTCTCATCAAACCTGACCGTTTGACAAATCGTTCCCTAAACTATTAGTAATCTTAAAGATATATTTATGAATTTTTCTGAATCGTATTGTTGTTTGTTTCTTTGATTAATAAATAAACTTACTTGAAAATGAAGAATAATACGCCAAATGAGGCCTAATGTCAATTTTGGATTACCATTTACTAACTCCTCAGGTCGAATATTTACCAGGCGAATCTAAATCTCCATTAAATAAATAAAACGAACGTGACAGGTTTTACAACTTACATTATGATCCTGTTCGAGGCATTCAAGGCACCGTTCAATATTTCTTAATGCATGAAATTTCGATGTACCCCGTTCACGGGTCTATAAAAACAAGACAGAAGAAAAAACCGAGTTTCTTTAAAACGAATCTTCTTTTAAAAGAAAATATAAAACTTACAATTGTTTGATTAGTAAATATTTCCAATAAAGATAAAAGTAAGTGTCCATCTCTTAAATCAAGATATAAATCATCAACATATAAACCATCTTTCTGTGACAAATAAAAGTTGATCCATTTAGTAAAGGTCTTTTTTTGTACAGCATCACGTTGATCAGCTACTTTTAAAACTCGTCGATCAATTGCATCCAAAGCAAATACTGATATCGGCTTTTCTAATATCCAATCTTGATTATCAATTTCTTGAAAGAAACTATTATTATTATTATTATCATCGACTATCATTTCTATTGGCATCTAGAATAAGACAGATAACCTTGAACATAAAATGAATAAGAACACATAAACAGTTGGCATCAGATAGATAAGTGAATAAGGATGAACGAGGAAATGAAGAAGAAAAGAAAAGAAAGAAACAATATTGATGAAATATGTCTACGTGCTTTAGTCTTACAAAACGATGCGACCTTTCGACCGTTCTATAGACAAACGCTTCCGTTCATTAATGTTTATTTTGATGAAATACGAGTATGCGAGGTGCTAAATCAATTGATTGTTTACCAATATCTATCGTATTATTTGCTTGAATATTAGATATTCAAACAAACAATCAACAACACTCTTTTCTCTTACTTACATCGTTATTATACCTTGAGACAGACAAATGAAAACATATCACTATGCGCTACTTATCATTATTTGATCACTTGTCGATCAAAAAGAAGAAATGTAGTACCAGTTAAATTAAGAGATGGTGACAATAGTAATAGCTGTATACACGTGTCTATTCGGACAAATATATACATATATATATATATATATATGCACGCAAAGCAAAGAAACAGTTGGCCTATGGGATGAATAATATGAATAAAGCCAATAAGAGCAATCCGATTTCGATAATGATAACATATTATTTAGATTTTTGATAAAAATCATATGAAGAGAATGCATTCGATTCATGGCATGATAAAGCAAACATCAAAAGACCATGCTCAATGTAAGATGTTAGTATACATTTCATTGAAAACTAATCTATTCATGAAGACAAATACAGGTTTTTTTTATCTCAAATGTTTCTTTTCTCAAGTGATTAATGAAAACGTGTATAAACTTTTGCGAAATGTTTCTCTTACAATCGATTAGCGTCTTCACATCAATCGATCAACGAATATGAATAGAACTATAGTTATTTTCCGGTTTATTGTTAATATTTAACGATGAAAAATCTTTTAAGTATTATACACAGAAAATGAGATATATGGTGTTTCATTAAAAATGTTTCTTTTATTTCCAGAAATCGCTTGTAATTTTGAATATCTTATTGGAATATTCAGATGAAGATACTACAATTTGTTTTTGTACAGAACAATATCCTTCATATACATGTGCTAATTGATGAATAACATTGATAAGGAACAAATAAAACAAGATCCTCACATCTGTCAATCTCTTCGATTCCGTCGATAGACGTGGTTGTTTGGTAAATGTTTATCAAAAGAACAGGTTTACAAACAAAATGAACAGATGTTTTTTCTAAGATTTATGGGAATTCAATATATAATGAGAATTTGTTTTTCCAAAAACATAAATCTTTTCAGTCAGAAACAAAGGTTCACAATAAAAGTGTTATGATTTTCAAAGGGCAATAGATTTATTCATCAACTGAAAAACAAAACACGTTGTCATGACGTGAACAGTGCTTTTGATACTAAAAATACAAATGCAATACAATCTGTTTATCATTCTCTATACATTGTATAACGCTTTAAATTGAGTTAAATAGAAATGGAATGAAAAATTGAAATTTATATTTTGAATATAAAGGTAGATTAAATGGGAAATAATTCGATAAAGTATTCAGTTTAACTATAACATGATGAAATAACAAGATTGATGGGGGAAATCGCAGAATGCATCAAGTTTTTATGCGAAATCGTAGAACTCAATGAGTTCCTTGAAACGCTCGAAGGAATTCTTTCTACTTTAAATCTAATGAATTAGAGAAAAGTTAATGTAAACTTTTATCTGCTTTAGAAATTTTATATTTGCGTTAATTTCATTCTCAATATTTTCATATAGGATATACATACAGTATATCAACTAATAGCATATATCTATATTCTAATTTAAACACTTCAATTCGAGTAATGAGGTTCATACGTATAAACACAGGACAGAACTACTGTTTTTCAGCAATGATCAAAATTCTCTAAGAATACCTTTTTAATTACTCATAATTAAATCCTTGCCAGATATTTCGATTTCATTGATCGATATTTTACATGGTGGCTTTGTCTTATGTCTTAGCGGAAAAGAAAACAAGATTCGGTATTTAATTGAAACGTGATTAAGATGTGTTTTGAATGTTTATTCTGAATAGATGAACCTACCATAATAATAAGGTTAATTTTGTAAGAGTAGTTGAATTACCTACGTATATCCAAGGTATTAAAATATTTAAAATGTAAATAATAATTAAAATAGTAAGTATTTGAAGATTTTTTTATGACTGAAAGCTAGAAAAAAAAGCTATTCACAATGAAATTTAGATATAATATATTTAATAGACTCAAATAATAACCTTCATGTAATGTATTTATCGCATAAGCTGCCCAAAGATCATAAGATTCAATGATATTATACAAAAAAACCCTGTCACATAGGACTAGTGTTCTTTGGATGATGGCGAATCATTTTCGGAATGGGATAGATCGTTCACTTATTGTTAGTTCTCATTATATCACTTCGTCCATGCAAGTTGATAAGTTAGAATTATAAGATTTATGTCATGTTAAATGATTCAGTACGAATAAGAAAAGTTGATCAGGATTTTACATTGAAAATACAAATAGATTCCTTTGTTTCATCAAATATATTAAATAAACGTAAGAATGAAATGAAATCAGTCTGGTGTAAACGGAATGATAAAGTATTCGAACCTTATAGATTCTTATGAGTGTTTTCTCGGTATTTATTGTTTATTCTTTTTCTCATGTGTACGAATATTTTTTTTTGTAATTGTTGTTTAATTACAATCACAGATGACAATAAGTCGAAAAACAACAAAAACAAAAAAAGGAAATATAACCGTTCTGTTAAACTTGATAACCATATTTTTGAAGTACGGCAAGATGTTTAGCAGCTTGGGGTTTTGAGGCTACTTTTTTTGTTGCATCTGTTTTAAGTTTTTTCAATTCACGTTGTCGTAAATGATAGTGTTTAGCCTTGATTTTTCTTTTCTTTTCTAATGTTGCAACAACGGTTTGATATTGCCAACCAACTTCTGTTGATAATCGGCCAAGTTCGGTAAAACGACGACGTGGTTTAAGTCGTAATGTACGTAAAGCACTTGGAACAACTAAACGTTTTTGTTTATCGTATGGTGTTGGAATACCTTCGAAAGCATGTAGACGAACTAGAGCTTGTTTTCCACGTTCAGTTTTATGTGGTACCATACCACGTACAATACGTGTAAAGATTTTTGACGGTGCACGAAAATGAAACGGACCACGTGCTGGATTAATGTTACAACGTTTACGAAGGAATTCCAAATATTTAAGTTTGTTTCGATAAAATGATCCACTAATGTTAAGACCTTCGCATCGTACAACAATAACATTGTGACCTTGTAAGATTGTTTTGGCGACTGTTGCTGCTAAACGACCAATTAAGTGGCCACGCCCATCGATAAGTATTGGTTTGGCACGAAAACCTATTGGTTGTAACTAAAATATAGAGACATATAATAAGTTTTATTCGTAATAATACTTTTCATCAAATACACTTACAGCTTTCTTGCGTGCAAGAATTGTTTTTGGCATTTTTCTTGCTGTTATTTAATTGATCGAAAACTATCTACAACAAAAAAAAATATGTCTCTTTAATATTTGTTGAAATTACATGAGACAAGAAAATTCAGCTGAGAAAAAGAATTCTATTGTCGAACTACAATGAATATCAGATAAGTGGCTTCATATTTCTGTCCTTTTCGAAAAACAATTCGAGTAACTTTCAGCTAGTCTTTCTATTCCAACTATTGATCTTTCGTACTCGAAAAGAAATAAACAAATAACTACGGATAGTCGTCAGTATTTTCTTATTGATTCTTTAACAGCCAAACAAAATGATCCTTCATTTACCAACTGTTCTCTCATAGATGAATTAATCATGAATTTTTATCGATAGATTTATTAACAAAAAAATTATTTTCAATGAAAACAAACTTTATCTTTGAAAGAATAATTTTACAAATAATTAATTCCAGTTCAACATCGAATTTGAGTGACCTCTTTTCAAACCAATGAAATAATATTTCTCTTTTGTCTTGTCTATGTGTGTTTCCGCTTGTTTATTACACAAATATATATATATATATATATATATATATATCATGAAGAAAAATCTAAATATACTATTCTTTTTTTTTACTGTTTATTTTAGAAAAAAAACAAAAACAAAACTACATCATCTAAATTTTCATTTCCATGTTAATACATTTCATAATCTCTGTTGTTTTAACATTTTCTTTCACACAATCATTTATTTTTGCACTTCATTTACATGGACAATATTCAACTAATGAATTTTTTCGATTATTAACTAAATTTGGTATACAAAAAACTGATCAACATCGCCCAGAGGATACATTTGGTTATATATATGGTAATATAACGCTTGATTGTTCAACAAATAATTGTTCAACAACAAAAACAATTTTGTTTCTTATTCTTGATTACGATTACTTTTTACCGTTATATAAAAAACAACGTTCACAATCATGTTCGGATATGATGAAACAAATACAAACAATAGCATTTCACAGACAATGTCATGAACAAGGTACAGAAGATTTTTGGCGGCATGTGCCATGCCAACAAGATCAATTGTGTTATGATGAAGATCAACCGAAAAATGTAATACATAATCAACAATTTACATTTAAAATTCGTGACATTAATCAACCAAGGTGTGTATTCTCAGCTATGTTTCTGCATATTTTCAGAATATTATAATTATAAAATAATATGTAGTAGTCAGACCCAAACCAATGTAAATTTTTGAGTAAAAATAACAGCATAAACTGAATGAGACCATAGAAATAAGCCACAATCTTTTTTCTATGACTGAAAAAAATTCTGTAAACTGTTTTCTCCCATAGAAGACTTTTCAGCATGATTTTATCGCTATCAAAAATTGAAAAATTATTTTTCATTGAAAACTGAAATAAAATTAGACATAAAATAACAATCAAAGTCCAATGGGAAAACAGATAAACAATATTAGGTAGGACACAAAATCAAAGAGCTAGATTTTATATAATCATGCAACACGTTTCACAGAAAATCTTCCGATTGGAAACTGTCACCATATGAAATACTGAATGACATCTACTACTTAAGTTCACTACCTTTTGCTTGCTAGCTGTTATTGATTTTTTTATATCCTATAAGATTTATCCTGCTCAATATAATATTTTCCAATCAGAAGAAAATGACTAAAAAGAAGTAATTTTTGCACAACTGATAGAAAAGAAAGGACGTGCCCGACAAGATTATGATTGGAATAAAAAGATTGTCTATTTTAGATTTTGGTATCTAAGTTTAATATCATGCTATTGGCACCCAGTAACTTGTCAATGGGAGAAAGTTGATGATAATTTGCGAATAAATTATGACGTTTGGATTGTAAATGGCAATCCAGAAGCAGAACATCGCGATAACCGTTTTGAATATCATTTTTCATTTGATATGTTCGATCTCGTTGAAGTATATTCTGTTTGTATATTATTATATCTATTTATTCCATTACCCTTTCTTATAATTAAAATGCGTTCATCATTCGATTTCAAACATCCAATCGTATTATCATACTTTTTATTTCAATTGTTATTCTTTATTGGTAATACATTTAATTTAATGCATTATTTTATTTTTGCTTATAATGGCATTGGTGTTTATGTATTAATTCATATTGGAAATTTACTTACAATTATTGGTGAATCAATTCTTATTCTTCTACTTTTATTCATTGCTAAAGGTAAGTTCAGATGATCTTTTTTTTGAGAATAGTCATAATCAGTGTAGGTGCTCTATCAAGTTTTTTTATGATCAGAACTTGTTAGAACCATTGGTTATCATGAGTCAATAAGTATGTTTCTCATAGTAAAGGAAGATGACTATGTTCGATAGATATGCTTCCATACGAATCAAAAATAGGGTGGGTTTTTTAACATTCCTTTGTGATATTGAACGAGATCAAAAATAAAAAAAATAGTCTGTTCTAGAAAAATTCAAATGCCATATGTACATATCTAAATATTCTATAGGATGGATGTTTGCATAGAGCAAAGCTGATCAGAATTTCAAGAATTAGGAAAAGCAATCTATCCAAAGTATTCGAAGTTTAACGGCGTCTGAAAGTCATTGAGGATGAAAAAATGTTATAACTAATCATATATTCGCAGAGAATTTGAGAATAAGTACAAAGATGCGCAAATCTTATAATACTATTCAGATCAAACACAGTGTCCCCGTTTTTTCTCTATTCACTCGTATATTGCGTTGTATAAATGTGAGAAAGTTCAAAACAAATTAACAACTTGTATGGATGACAAGTGCACTTGACGAAAAAACGATGAGGTTTTACGTTAATGGCAACACTCGAACGAGAATCTTTTTTTAAATAAATAACAGAATAATGATACAGCAGCAACTTCGTTACAGAAAATAATAAATTGTATGTTGTTGTCGACTGAATTTATTGTAGATTTCAGTTTATAGAAGTTGCATGAAATCATAGGATATAGTTCAGATCTCTTGAGGATATAATATATTCTTTACAACACATTTATTTCCCGAACAAACAAAATGTGGTGTGCCAGAAAATTTTCAGTTGATTTTATTTTTCAAACATAGTGTCAAGGAAAGAAATTGACACTTCTACTAACTAAAAAATAAGTCACTGATGTACAATTCAATATTGTGTATCAAGGAGAGTTAGATAGTATTTCAAAACATTGATTCCACCGATATTGTCTAAACAGCTTTTATAAGACTAAATAGCAATTGTCACTTCTATATATTAGATCAATACAGATGATGCTGTTCTAAGAAACTATCTACTAGAATTCTAAAACTTATTTTTAATTTAATTATAGGTTGGCTAGTGAACACACCGGTACTGCGTCAAGGGAAGAAAACAGTCATGTTATTTGTTCTCTACACAATAGCTTGTTGTTCTTGTTATATATTAAGTATAATGACGATAAATTCAGTAACGGATTCGAATCATTATCAAACATTTGCAAATTATTTTTCACTCTTATTTCGTTGTTTTGTTATGCTTTTATTTGTATTCGAATTAAAAGAAACGACACAAGAAGAAAAACTTTTAGAAAAACTACAATTTTTTCATCATTTCGGTGCATGTTGTATGGTAAGCGAGATTTAGTGAAGAAAGAATATAAATGTTTTAGTTTTGGTTATTTTTTTTTACAAAGGTTTGGTTTATTTATCCAACAGCTTTAATATTTATAATGTCGTTTATTACAGAACTTTATCGAGTTAAATTAATAATAAGTGTCGTTACCTTAGTCAACTTTTTAAGTATATTAATTATTTCCTATATACTTTTTTCTCCAAAAACATTTATAAATCTACCGAAAATACCTTTCATCAAGCATGACGGTGAAAAATTGAATAAAACAACTGATAAAAATGGTTATCATAAGACAATGCTAACGGAGCAGGATGAGGATGATGAAGAACAAGAAGAAATTGAAATTTACGGACCATCACATCTGTTACTAAACACTTCAACGCAACGGAGCTGATATTTTGTCTTTAAATTTCTTGTTCTTTTATTGTTTTGTATATAAATACAGTGAACAACAATGACCTATTCGATTGGAAATGTGTTTCATATGGATAGGATGATCCCTAGGAAAAGAAAAAAAATTACTTCGTTTGTTTAATAGTTTCATCTTGTTTTCTTTTTTTTTTATTTATTTTCATTTATTATTGTTGTATGCACATTTTGCTGAAATTAAAGATGGTATATTTGGTTTTTTCTTTATTTTAGATTACTGAGAACGATCTCTATCGTGTCTGTAATATGGATGATAAACGATGAATAATACAAATGATTTTCATCCGTCTTCTTCCTCAATGTTGAATAACGGAATAAATGGTATGTTGAATGATTTTATTTGTGTTTGCAAAAGAATAAAATCAATAAAACAAGTGTAGCCTACGAGAACGAGTTTCTGATTACAGGATCGCTTTAAAACAATTTTTTTTAATTTAAAAACCGTACGTTATCGTGTGGTTTTCGTATAGGAGAAATCCAATTATTGTTTTAAGAACGTTTTTTTAAAACAGTTGAAATTTTTCAGACTATTTCGAATATCTTTATGAAAAACTCAGTTTTTAGAAAATGGTAGCGTTTTAATATCAATATAATTAGTATTGAAAAGACAATGCAATAATTGGACTTCTAATAATGTATGTAATTTAAGAATTGTGAAATGTAAATTTTGTTGTTTTCATTCTAAGATTCTTGAGACTTGAGGAATAGTTATTCTTATTAAAAGATATTTGCATACGTTATGTAAATGAAAGTATCGGCGTGTGTGTATTAGTTAGTTGAAAAGTGATTAAAATTTGCATTTACTAGGACGGCAACATGGTACTACTGCAGAATCGTTTTAAAATATGTGTACAAAACAGAGACCAAAACGAATGACAAAAATACCATTCGGTCCGATTCGGTTTTTCCGGACCTGGATTCGGATTTTGATTCTGCTCTTCTGGTGTATCAGAGTTTTCATACCGTTAGTTTCCGGTTTTCAAGACCGGGATTCGGATTCGATTCGGCTTTCCCGGTCACTCAAAATTTTAATTCGATGCAACTCGGCTGGAAAAATGAAAAAATCAATTCGATTCGATTCGATTCAATTTCATTTTTTCAGCCAAATCGAATTGAATTAAAATTTTGAG